GGATACGTTGCTGGTCGTTGTGCTCGGGGTCAGAATTCTCGATGTCGGGGCAGTGACGTGGAAAAGACGCGTCGCGGGTTGGGGACGATGAAGCTTGGGGCGCGGACGGATCTTCGGTGAAGAAGCGCTGTTTCTTGAGAGGCGGCTGATCCAAGTCCCCACTCATAGTGATGGTAGAAGTGATGGCGGCATTAAAGCCATGGATTGAAGATGAAGTGAGGCGAAAGTTGGGGAGACGCGCCATAAGAACGCGAAATCAGCTGATCGACGTCAGCGATTAAAGAAAAAAAGTCAACCAGCCAAGACTGTTCAACACCCTTCCCATGAATCTAGAATCTACTTCCAAGGCTATTCACTAGTTATCGTATGGAAACACCATTCAAAGGCTACTACTGGCATTGATTAACTAGTTAATAGTTAATACTAGGTAGTATGTAGGTCAAAGGCCTCCGGTCACAAAGGCTTAGTCAGTTTCCACACCTCTACTTAGTTAGTTATAACTATCTAGTTCTTTGATAGCCTCAGCTGCCCTTCAATTCTACATATCTCAATATGATTATTGTCTCTCTTATAATCCTCAGTCAGTACGAGTGGCTCGACAGAAGTAAATATATATTATTATGATATTATAATATTTCCTTTCCAAGAATGACGGTGTTGATTGGCCGGGTGGGTCAGCACTCGACTGAACCAATGCTGTGCCGTGCATTACCATCTTCCGCGGCATCTCAACTTTCCCAGGTTGCTTTTCTTCTCTCCCTCACCTCCCTCATGTCCTTCTTCAAGCAGACCGCTCGGCCATGTCGGGCATATATATCATGGCAATGCTCATTACGCTCTCATCGTCCTCAGAAGAGGCTATTCAGCCAGTCTCGGGCAGTCGCTTCGCCCTTCACGGCTGAAGAAGTCACCGGCGCACATAAGTATTGTGTTGGCCTACTCTCGTATGTTCGCCTACTGCTTTTGAATTGTCGATTTCACCTCACTTCTGAAGCTGCGCGATCGCAAGAAAAACACAACTGACCCTCCAAATCACCCAGAAAATACGACCGTCCTTCCTACACAATGAGCACATTCGTCCCATCCGAAGCCCGAACCTTCTATATCGCCCTCCGCGCATTAAACGTCTCCCTCTCCCTAATCCCAGACACAACCTCCTCCCCAACAATAGGCCTGATGCGGCTACAATTCTGGCGCGATGCCGTGGCCAAGATCCTCGCTGGCGCCCCACCAAAGGAACCCGTCGCCATCCTGCTCGCCTCGGCCATTTTAGACCTAAACCAGCGCACCAACGGTCGCGCAAGAATCACAAAGGGCTGGCTCACCCGTCTCATCAATGCGCGTGAACAAACCCTCACCAACGACCCGTACCAGAATATCGCCGCCCTGGAATCCTACGCCGAGAATACCTACTCAACACTCATGTATTTGACTCTGGCCGCGCTGCCCATGACGTCTGTCACGGCGGACCATGTCGCCTCACATATCGGCAAAGCTGTTGGAATTGCGGCCGTGCTGCGCGGATTACCGCTCGTTGCTTTCCCGCCGCCGCCGAGTCAATCGCCTAGTGGGAGTACGGGTGGTATTGGGTTGAATGCTGGTGGGAAACAAGGTGCCGTTATGTTACCGTTGGATATCATGGCGCAAGCGGGGGTAAAAGAGGAAGATGTTCTGCGACGAGGTGCAGAGGCGGAAGGTCTACGCGATGCTGTCTTCACCGTCGCGACGCGGGCGAGCGACCATTTGATTACGGTGGAGCAGATGTTGAACAACCTCCGGGCTGGAGAGGATGTCGGGCATGAATTCGAGCATGAAGGTGAAGAGGGCCATGAGTATGATTCCGTGGACCTCTCGGGTAGTCCCAAGGAATCGCCACTTGATGAGGTGAATCGTGCTTTTGGCATTTTTATGCCAGCGGTGTCGACCCGGTTGTGGCTTGATCGCCTGCAGCAGCACGATTTCGACGTCTTTCAACCCGAGCTCCTTCGGTCAGATTGGAGACTTCCTTGGAAGTCCTACATGGCTTTTCGACGGAAGAATATTTAATTGGTGAACAGGCAAGCCCTTGTATAATAATATACATGTACTATAAATAGATACAAGGCCTCATGATGGCCCGCCGAAGAGGCAAATGTACAGAACTACGAATAGTTCCCACTCCCCGAGACGACTTCCGTATACGAGACGTCGTAGAGGCTTTGCCAATGCTATCTCTTCTTTTTTCTCTGTCGTCGCTGCTCCCTCGAACTGACAATGAGTCGTCTCTGCGCAAGCATGACGGCGTAGCGCTGGATTTTGTCACGCCTATGAAGAATTTGTTAGCATTTAGGAGCCAACATAGCATGGGTATCGGAGAACTTACATCAGTAGAAGGGTTGTGACGAAGATGAAAGGGATTGCGATCTTCCAAAAGTACCTAGAAAACAAATTGGTAAGTACTTCGACCGATGGTCATCATGCTTAAGTCCAAAACTCACGAATCACTGTTTTGGATGCCTTGAAAGTCCTTGAAATTCATTCCAAAATACCCCTGAATACGAGATTAGCAAACTGCATCTTCAAAGCGATCGAGAGTGGGACTTGACATGCCGTCAAAAAGGTCATTGGTAGGTACAAACAGGTGACAATGCTCAGTTGCTTCATACTCTCGTTTTGATAAGCACCAATCGTGTTGAAGATAAGATCGATCATGTTGTCAGCGGCGCGCCTCATCTGATCGTATCCTTCAACTATAGTAATACAATGATCCAACGCATCTCCAAGATATGTGTGGCACATGGAGCTGATGGTGATAGTCGTGCCTCCAAGGGTCTTAAGGTTGGGAGTAATGGTTCCAATATGCGGTGTTTCGGCCTGTGGTGGACGAAGCTCAGAGGGGTCGGTTGGTGTAGCTGCCCCAGTCGGGCTGAATGGACCGCCGCGCAATATTCCAATGCCGGGCGTGCCAACAGGTACCGATCGATGATCACGAAGAGCATTGATAACAGCCATCAATGGCTGCATTGAATTACGAAGAATAGCAATTTCGGAAGTCAAAATATAGAGGTTTTTTGACTGGTCGATATTCGGGTCTGTCAAAACCTCCAGCTCCAGGTCTCCAATAGCGTCTTGATAGGCCATGGTGACCGGGATGGCAAGATCAATCACTGCGTCCAGGATTGCTTGAAGCAGCATACTAGCGTCACAGGACTGACGGAGAATTGTTTCGGGTGAGCTAAGACGTCGAACGATCGGAGCTTCAATATCGTCGGCACTCGTTTCGAAGAAGGACGTCACTGTGTTATCTGCGTGAAGGAACACGGAGACTTGCTCTAACGTTACGCACAGCCCTTTTGAAGCAAGTGAAGCATGGCGTTCCATGAATTCGATTCGGTCCTCGTTCGGTCCACCACGATAACGCTGGAGGGTTCGAGCCGTCGCCCTTGACCCATCCGCCACATCGCCGAACTGAGATGCGAATTTCGAATTTTGTAAGCCTGGGCCAGGGCGGACACTCGACCCAACCGTCGCCTTTTCTTTGCCATGCCGGCTTGAGGGTCGTTTGGACCGGAAAAGATCCTTTAACGCGTCCCATATGATATGTCTCTTGGTTGGTCGTCTCATTGTGACAGAGCTCTTACTACTTGAGACAGAGCTCTTCCTCCTTTGCTTATTGTCCCATCCAGTCGGTCCTTCATCTTCCGAATCCGAGTCACTTTTCTCATCGTGGAGCTTGACGAGTTTCTGTAAAGTCAAGACAACAAAGGCGTGATCTGAGTACCAATCGGCCTTGGTGCGATTGGTCGTATGAACAAGATCTTCAATTGCCAGACGATGCAGGCCCTTGTGATTTCCAAGCATCTGGATTACATCCCAGCTTAGCCCGTTCACGTTGATCCAACGGCATTGAACCCAGGATTCTCTTTCGCGTGCTAGGAATGGCCCAAGTGTCTCATTATCGAGCTCGTACTGTCTCATCTCATTCTGCGAGAAGTCAACGACCGTGATCTCGCACTGCCGTTGCAGGTCTGCGGGTAGATTGGAGGACCATTCCGAGCTGTAGGCGGGGAGTGGTTTTGTCGGGTCAATACCCGGTTCTGTTCCTGGTTGCCAGGATGAGTCTTGTGCGAATCCCTCCGGATGGTATGACCGTGCAGTATTCGACCTTCGGGTTCGTCTCTTGGCTGTTTCAGATGTATTGACCCTCGCTGCCGGCACGAACGAGTCCACGATGGATCCTTCTCTTCGGGTAGGGGATATCTGAGAGGAGGGCGAGTCTCGTCCGGCTTCGATATCTATCGTATGAAGGGGCTCGTTGCGGGAGGGGGGTTGCTGGGCATAGTCGAAGGAGTGGACGCTCATGGCTATAAGTAATTAAGGGGGCTGCGAGCGCCCTGTTCCACTTGTGAAATAGTGTCTCTTCATCAGCCCTCGGGAGTAATAAACGAGGGCGAAAATGGTCTTCACGGAGACACAACAATCGCGACAAAGGAGATCCGCATGCCTGCGGGGAAATGACGTTTGAAGTTAATCGGCCACGCAACTAGGCGACACAAGAGACCAAAGAGCAAGCTTTGTATGGCCCTCGAAAGTAAATCGTTCGTGAGCCCAGATTTGACGGAAGCCAAAAAAAAGATGAGTGGGATGAAATAAGATTGGATGATAACTTGGACAAGGTTCCCCCCGGAGAAGGAGAAGGGGCGCGCACAGGGCAACCGCGGTCCAAACAAGACCCAGACTGACTGCACAGCCTCCTGAGTGGAACCTACAACTCTACTCCGTACTCCGTACTACAATTCCCCTACCTCGACAAACTTGACTTCGTTTATCTGCTTCCAAGGTTTAAGCAATACGCTAGGCCTGCAGGTCTTCAACGCCCCCCACCGCGCATTGACGGGGACCCGAAGGCAGCAACATTCTCTGCGTCCGCCTCTCTCTGATTTGCCTTGCGATGCTCGAACCAAAGGTCACCCCATCTGACGATCCACTTAGCTCGTGTCAAAATGGAAGAAGCTTTATCTTCATGCAACATTAGCCGACCTCTCTGGGGCTATAGTTGACCTCAATGCTTGATCTCGGACCTGAGCCAATGCGCCCTCAACCAAAGCCATGCCTTTTTTGGAGCACCCAGGCGGCATGCTTTTGAAAATGTCCACACTCTTGGTCCAAAGATCTACGAAGCTGTTTCTTTCCTCCAGAGCGCTTTCGAGACCACACTCTAATGTCAACAATGTGGCCGCCAGGACTCGGTGGTAATAACACGACCAATGCTGAACACCAGGGCCATCGACCAGTACCTTGTTTGAGAGCAGAATTGTTTCCCGTGCTGCACCCAGACAAACACTCCTGGCCATCAAAGAGGAATAGAACGGTGTCGAAAAGATTGTATCGGCGAAGAATGGGCGATGTAATACCAGCATGACATGGTTGAAGCCTAGTAGAATGTAAGGCTTGGCCCATTGACACAGATCTGGAGAGCTTACGTAGTTCAATGTCAAAGCATTGCCGTTGTACCCAGGACATATTGCTCCATGCTCGCTCATCTTCACTGGCCGCCGCGTACTTGGGCGCGAGATGTGATGGGAGTTCTCCACGCCAGGTCATTAGTTCGGCCTGGTGGTTCATCATTCGACCAACAAAAGACTCCAAAGGATGCCGCTTCTCACTCATGTTCGAAATCTATTCCCGGAAGTATGAGTATGTTTGTTCCCCTGGATTCATATGTCTAGGAACCCACCAAATCAAGAATCTTGCGAACAATGCGGCTAAACTTGGCGTTGGCGACGATGAAGTTAAACCTGCTCATGTCGGAGACGACATCCTACCACCGAGGTTAGTAATCATATAAGCTAAGGAACAATAAATTCTCACAGAAGTGTGTTGTGGGTATGGCGCCTTGGCATCAGTTTCGCGTATGCAAAGCGGCTTGCCATACTCGAGACAAATATCAGATTCCAGGCTATAAAGTGTCCACCAAGTCCGGAGTGCGGACTGGGAATCCATCACTTCCGTTATCATATGACTCGGGCTACCGTTGATGCCTATAGAATAGGCCATTCGGATAGCGGTGCCCAAGTAGTTATATGTCACTGTGAGCACATATTAGTCGGGGCAGAAGACGTTAAATGCGGTGGAAGTGGACTTACAACTAGGCTGTGCTATATGATGTGCATAAATTGTCTATTCACTTGTGAGCATAGATACGCGGAACTGCGAGGAGAAATAATCACCATCATCAGCGCAGCTTGGACAGTGTCTAAGCTATTCGTATTGAACAAGGTTCCAATTAGTCCCTGGGCCTCGGTGAAGTAATAAGATGCCCATTCTGAGCTCTCCGGTCCTTTACTTGAGTACAAGGAGCCTAATGCCAGAACGGAGTAGACCAAGCACTGCCTTTGTCGGGATAGAGACGTGTCTGACTCGGAAGGCGAACTTGACCAAAATTGTTGGTATGCAGACCTGAGAGTGCTCGGTGCCAGAACCGGTATGGTATCACTGACAGCTCCCAAGAAGCAATCGAAATGTGCATCAGCTATTCGCTCCCGTATTATCAACCCCCCCTATTTTGTGTATGCTGTTTGTCGCATATATCAGCTCTTGGAGCGCTCCATTCAGAACAGCAGAGGTTGCCTCTGACTCCCGATCTGAGCGCTTCTGCTTTTTGTTTGGTCGCTCGCTGTCGTATTGGGGGTCATCCAAAAGTCTCTCCACTGGGATCAACAGGTTCATTGTAGAAGTGATTCCATAAAATGACACAGAGCCATTGTCCTCAGAATACATAGTCACTCCAGGTAAATTCTGGTCCGATATTTGGCCACTGTCTTCAGAAGAGTCAGGCGTATATCCATACCTGGGAAATAACTTGAAGTCATACATACCCGATATACTCGCAGTATTTCTAGGCTGTAAGGTTCTCTCGCCAAATACCGCTCGCTCTAGCTCCACTACGCGTGCATTGATAATGTCAAGCCCCCTGGTTCTATTGTCAGGATCTGATGGTACTATAATTAATTGGGACAAACATACCCGGTAATTTTATTTGCTCCTGTAGAAGGATCGTAGAGGCACTCGACATTACTTTTCTCACATGACTTGCAGGGAAGCAGGCCGTCACACTACTAAGTATCAGTCCCGGGGCTGGTATGAAATTCCTGGAATCTTGAGAACCAACCTTCAGCTTCCGAGTCCGGCAAGGATCGCAAGCCTCCGTCGTCTTTCTCCGGGCACCAATTGATGTGTTTAACTTGCGTCCTGGTATAGACATTGGATGAGAAATTCAAGTGTATGGGCTTCTTATCCGGATTAATCATGAGGAGGGCCTGGCCCAGGCAGGTAGATTATAGGACCCCCACTATTGATTATGTCACGCAGATTTGGGGAACCGGGATCCCCCCCCGAGCCTATCACCGGATCTGCGTCCTCCGCAAGCACTACTAGTAGATAATTATATGCGCTCGTAGTATAATTCATCATAAGTCCTTAATTCATTTCTAAATGCAGCTATAATTCTTTAGAGAAAGATATCTATCTAGTAGATATAGATGCCAAAATTCTATCTCAACATGCGTATGAACGTGACTAGAAAAGCCACGCAAGACCTTTTTTATAAACTTTGTTCCACCCAGAGAGGTTTGCGTTTTCAATCGCCTGGATAGCCTCGAATTCGGCCTCCTCGCGATCAATCTCGGCTTTTCCAGTGAAGAGATCGGCGTTGTGAGGCTTGATAAGCTCGGTCTTCTTGAAGAACTTCCAGCCAGTGAAAGCCATCACATAGAGGGGAATTCCGAGATAGGAGGTGATGAAGGTCTTGTAGTCAAAGTTCCCGTATTTCTCAGGGTTGTGGATAAACACGCCAAAGCTGCGGGTGAATGCCACCAGGACGCAGAAAAATAGGGCGATGGAGGAACCAATGATTCCCAGGGGAGCCTTGTATGCCAAGGTTGACTCGTCGACACCCTGTGCGCGGCGAGCACGAATGAAGAAGATGTGAGTGATCAGAAGGGAGATCCAGGTTAGCACTATGGTAGAAAGTTAGAGCCGAGTCATACTTTAGGTACGGGGAAATGTAACATACGTCCGAAGATTGAGACCATGTCAGTGAAATATCCGAAAACAGCCTTGGAGCCACTGGAAACACTCATGAATGCGAGTAGACAGAAGCAAGCCGAGAGCCCCAGGGCATAGATGGGCACACCGGCCGCATTGGTGCGAGAAAATATCTTGGGGGCCTTCTTCTCACGCGAGAGACCATATAGTGTTCGAGTCGCAATGTAGAGATCGGAGTTTGCGGCGGAGAGCACGAAAACAAGGATACAAGCATTGATGATATGAGGAAGAGCAGCAACTTGCTTCATTGCGACAACGAAGGGAGAGGCAGCGGCAGAGCTCTTGGCCTTGGTGGCGAAGGCCAGATCTTGGGAGTTGTACGGGACCAGCATGCCGACGAAAAGAACACTGAGAATGTAGAAGACGATGATTCGCCAGAAGGTAAGCTTGATGGCCTTGGGAATGGTCTTGCGAGGGTTCTGGGCCTCTCCGACGGTAACACCAATAAGCTCGGTACCTGGAAAACAACAGAGTTAGAAGATCCATAAGCGAAGACGCGACAAATCTAGCATGTTTCTGGAATATTCTTACCAAGGAAAGCAAAAGTGGCTTGGACCATAGTGGACCAGAAAGCAAGGAACTTTCCAAGATTGCCGTCGGTATATTTGGTGGCAAAAGCACCAGGTTCTTGCCAATACCGAAAGCCTCGCCTATCATGGTCTGGACCACCGCCCATGGCGAAGATGAAAGTGCAAAGAATTATGCCCAGGATGATGATCACTTTGAAGGAGGAGAGCCAGAACTCTAGCTCGCCGAAGAACTTCACACCAAAGTAGTTGATCACGATGATTGTCACCATAAAGATGGCAATCCATACGCCCGGACTGACATTTTCTGCTGAGGTTTTGGGCCAATATGTGATCACGAGGGCTGCAGCCGTAAGTTGCGTAGGTGGGAGAATAATGTATTTGAGGTAGTAGCTGCCCAGGTGGTTCTATATCAGCATTTTTGTTCTTCTTTCCAAGGTTCTGCCGCGGTGGGATCAAGCGTGTACTTACCACCATCCGAGGGTAAATCCGAGGGCAGGGTCACAGAAACGACCAGCGTATCCTGTGAAACCAGAGGAAAGGGGCAACCAGGCAGCCATTTCACCGAGGCCGCACATGACCGTCCAAACAACAAGACCCATGAAGCAGTACGCGATCAACAAAGAGCCAGGCTATTAAAAATAGTTAGTTTATTGCCCAACAGTTTTAAGATAAATTGGCGATAATTCACATACCCCAGCACTAAAATTTCAAATCAGCAAGGATTCATACACACTTTTTGAATGGGACAAAACTCACGTCAAGGCACTACCAGTGCCAACAATCAATCCAGTACCAATAGCACCACCAATTGCAATCATGGAAATATGACGAGCCTTGAGATCTCGGTGCAGCTGAACCGGCTCATCTTGCTCGCCTTCCTTAGTGTCAATGTAATCGGGCTGCGCTTCGAGAGCGTTGATCTCGTCGGGGTGGCCCATCTTGCCTCAAGTCGAACCAGATCGACTCAAATTTTATAAGCAGCAGATGAGTATGAGAAGAAATGAAAAGAGGCCAGAGCAGCAATGGGAGGGGGAGCTGAAGATAAATAAAATAGAACGTCGCACAGTTCATAAGCGAAACCCGGGGTCAAACTCTACTACATTACCATTACCATTATCATTTATCTTTGTCCTCCTTCGCCCCCTTCGAACAGTGGAGACAAATTCCTGGAGAGACCTCGGAACTAAGATTGTCATGGACTAACTACACCACGTTTGCCTGTGCTCGGATAGTCTGGGCACTTGGCGGTGCTTGGCAGTGGCTTACCGGCCATTCCGTCTCGCTGCCCTCTCTCCTCTTGCTCCGGGTGAGGCGCATCTAGAGTCGACGGTGAGCAAATCAGTCAATCATCCGAATTGCTTAGATTTTTCGTACCGAAAATGAAGCCCGAGAAGTTCAAGAAGTCCTGGTAGTTATCTCATACCGTCTCAGATAAGTTCCTGGAGATATGGATATCCAGATAAGCAAGGCCCACACCAAAGCACCTCTGGGGATAGGCTTCCGGGGTTATGACAAACAGAAACTGCGGTGATTTGCTCCCTCCCCGGAAAACCTTCAGGTATGAAAACTCGCCATCCTTAACGGGGATACCGGGGGATGCCCAGCCTCCGATGCGATTGGAAGGCGACCCCGAATGTAGCCCTGACTAGCCGCTCACGGGAAGGGATTTTTCGAAGCCGGACCCCCTTCAGTCGGCACGCTTCGCCCGAACAGGTCACATTCCAACTGATTGCGGCTCGATGGCTTCTTGGCAATATCTTGGCTCGGCGTTTTTCTCGAGATTTTCCATGTTGCCTCGTCTTGGCAGAATGGCTGGAGGACCCATGGCCAGATAAGCCGATGGGCGCGGGGTACCATGGTTTGTTACGGGTGGTGATTGGGTACTTATTCCACGTAACTCTTTCTAACTTTTTCCCCAGAGTGTGCCCAGGGGCGGTGGAGCCATGTTTACACCTAGTCCGGAGTGCTTGACAACTTGAACCCAGTATATGTCTACAGGTCCCGGAATTTTTCGGCTTCTTCGGCCCCTTCGACGTACAGAAGGAATCGCATTAGAGTTATGCTTTCTCCAACTCGTAAACCCCGCATTATTCCCTCCACAGAATTGAATGTATGACACCAGAAAATTGAGCCTCGTCCTCCGATGATATGGTATTGGCCTGTCTTTCTGCCCCCAATTCTCCAAAATCGGCGCCGCGCCGTGTCAACACGGCATCTGCTAAAATCAGCTGGCGGGGCTGATATTAATTTCATTTCTCATTAGAAGAAGATAGAAATGCTGTCATACTCTATCTTACAGTAATATTCGAAATCAGATTTACCTCTACACTCTTCGACTTAATTCCCGAATTCTACTTTTAAACACGCTAATCCAAATATGGTAATTCCGTCGATCCATTTGTTCCTAGAATGGAATCCGTATTTTATATAACGCGGGTGGGACCTAGTCCTTTGTAAATTACAGGAAACTGCTATACATACGACACCACGCTACTCATGATCTTTTCGGAGTTTGGCTTGGTATCTATTAACATGAGTTCGAGATGATTCCCGTGGTTTCCACGTTATGTTTAACGTCAACTAAGGTTGAGTTGAAATAGAAACTCCACCCATGACTTCTGCTTTTAGAACTTGGTGGGGATCGAATCCCCGTTTGGCCCCCGGGCCAGTCTACGCTTACCTTTTGGCCGGCGTGCTTTCGTAGGTGCTGAAAGTAGTCCTGAAAGACCAAATTGCTTCAGCTACTTCGTCCGGTCCGAGTGAGCTTTTGGCTATTATTCCTGCAATCCTGGTGTTGTGCTTAGACCTTATTTGACTCAAGAGCTTTTTTGAAACACAGCTTGGTAGAGAAGGCTAACGACATACAAGCTAATGCGCCGGATTGCCATTCGTCCTCAGCATTCACTCAATTTTGCTCGCTTGTATGAGGTAGGCTATGTATCATGGGCGAGTAAGCAAATGCTCTTCCGGATCTTTCCTTGTTGGCATAACACCGGACTGACTAATCCGAATATGGCATGGTTCAGGTTCAGGACCCCTATTCGAAGAGCGTGTCGCCGAGGGCACGCGTCTCTTTAAAGGATCTGTGATCGTCGTTAATTAAAGAGACCACTGGAGTTTATTTCTGTAAATTGAGTCCAATGTTTACGTCAAGAACGCAATTTGGAATATTAATAAGGCTCGGGTGTTCCCATTCCGCACTGTGCTTTGCGAACCAGCGTGCAGTAATTAAATATGTGTAGTCATGCGATGATCCGCTGTGACCTTGACTAATTTGCGTCTACTTCAACATGATTTATTCTATAGAGGCCATTTCCTAATGTAATAAACCTTGGAAGAGCGTCATCCACATTTCAAACACCGAGAAATCCTTCAAGGTAGCGTTTCAATACTTACTAAGTTACAGGGGTGGTGAGGGGCATGACAAAGAGGAATGCTGTGTACAGTAACCCCCAGAATGCCACTTCCCCTCTTTTTCACTACCCTGTTCTTCACTTTTCACTCCTCGACAGAGATATGATGCCAAAAATCCTGTGTTTGGAAAATCCTTTACTTGGTAAGACATCTTAGTTTCAGTTCATAATTATCGGCTGTAATAACACGTTCATTAGATGTTCAGGCCTTCGGGTATGACTGTTGCCGACGCGACTCCGGTCTAATTTTTCTTCTAACGGCATAAAAGGACCCCGGAGCTTCTTGATAAGTATGGGTTAAAAGCAAACAATGCCATTCTCGCCACAGAGACCCCACAGGGGTCTCTTTGATGATCTGATTGATAACTGGTCGGCGGAAACGACCGCAGGCGGTGGTGCTCAGAACACAGCAAGAGGGTCACAAGTATGACGAGATTTCTTAGCTTCTTCGCCTTCTTTTTCTTTGCCTCCTTGAAAGTGACAGAAAATTTTTCTAGTATATGCTTCCACCCGACAGTGTCGTCTATATCGGTTGCGTCGGTAATGACAGTTATGCTGAAACCTTGCGAGAGTCGTGCCAAAAAGCAGGGGTTCGTACGGAATACCTCGTCGATGGGACACACCCAACAGGTCGATGCAGCGTTGTTATCACGGGCAAAAACAGAAGCCTCTGCACCGAGCTAGGTGCCGCTAATCATTACAAATTGGAACATTTGCAGCGGCCCGATATATGGAAGATCGTTCAGTCGGCGCAGATCTATTTTGTCGGTGGATACCATCTAACCGTCTGTCCAGAAGCGGCTTTGGCCCTGGCGAAAGAGGCCGCTGCTAAAAACAAAGTATCGCTCGCTTTTCTGTCTTTTCTTAGCACTTCCCAACGTGCTGACCCGTAGTTTCACTAGATTTTCGTGATGTCGCTATCTGCTCCCTTCATTCCAGCTGCATTCAAAGATGCCCTTGACAAGACTGATCCATTTTGGGATTACATCGTGGGCAACGAGAGTGAAGCCCTGGCATGGGCACAATCACATGGAGTAAAGGTAATAACTCGCCGTCTATTAAAATATTATCTGAAAATGAGGTCTTTTTTCACAGAATTAACGTGAAGAAAGTCCGAGTCTGTTCTGCGATCGCCGAGCATCTCGCCAACCTACCAAAAGCAAATGCTCAAAGACCCCGGGTCGTATTGATTACTCAAGGTTCTTCTCCCACCGTCATTGCGGTATCTGGAACTCCAGGATATAAGGAGATCCCTGTCCGCAAGATTTCTGCAGAGGATATTATTGACACGACCGGTGCTGGGTGAGTGTTCCTTGGGTTTTTGAACGAGTAACCCCATTTGGGAAGATCATAAGGCTAATATAATTACTATCTACCTAGTGATGCTTTTGCAGGAGGACTTCTGGCCGGTATTATGCTACAAAAATCGCTGGAAACCTCTGTCAACATGGGACACTGGCTAGCGCACCAAGGGATAAAACAAATGGGCCCGAAGTAAGTGAAAAAGATTCATCCGTGCTTACGTTTGTCCTTACTGAAAATTATAGCTATCCGTTTCCAAATCAGTCCTACACCACGGCATAAAATATTTCACCCAAATTCCTCGGCTGTTAACTGTCCAGTTTAACAAGGCAAGAATTATTCATTGACAGTGAAGCGTACTGCGGGTTTCAACAACTATTTCTCATGTCTATCTTCAAAATTGTCTTCTGGTAATGCTAGAAACCCATTAATGCAAGCTGATTCTAGATTTGAGGGGAAACAATTGAAATCGGAGTAGGATGTGCAATTCGTATGAAACCTACTCACATTTATATATAATGTATGTTGGCTTCAGATCACGCTGATCGATCCTTGGTAGGCAGCTCGTGCAAGGGCCAAACTCTTTGCTGCAATGCCGAAAATGTGAGTCGCGAATACTAAATCAATGGAGCGACGCTGACGTAAACAGTTTTTGATTGATATTCTCAACGTTTGCACCGAGCCTAGTGAAGGTGGTGGTGGTGGCACTAGTGGTGGCCATGGCGGTAGTACTGGCTGATTGTTGACTTTGTACACACCTATTGCCTAGGCACATAAAGATGCCGACGAAATAATTTTGATCAACTGTGCTAGAGTTGCTTTGTTTTCTTAAACACCCTCAACAATTAAATGGAGCGTATCGCAGACCTCAAAAACAGAAGCCAGGGATATAATGACATGATTTCAGTTCTTGCAGCTGAGAGCTCTATGTTCTATATTATCAACCGAACAGAAGAAAAGGTGACGCCTCCCAAACGCCCACCTTGTTCGTGCCAAATTATTTCATGTCAAAGGAGTGTAAATGAAGGCTGCTGTCATGAGAAGATCAAGACGTAAGAGACGAAGAAGGGGATCTTGTCAGACTGTTGGGGTTCCCGCTCTGTTTGGCCTCTTGGCATTGAAAGATTCGATCAAATTCTCAGGCAAATTACGGTATTATAACAAAGACCCATCTTTTGTTACCAGGGAATACAATACAGTCTGGCATGGGTTCCTGCGGGAAATGCTAAAATTAGACTAGCGTGTTTTTAAGCTAGGATTCGGGAATTCAAGCCCAAGAGTGTAGAGGTAAATCTGATTTCGAATATTACTGTAGATCATGAAAGTAGGATGTTTAAAATATCGTGTTGGGATGACTACCGCCCGGGCACTGGCCCCAGGCGTGTCTAGCCCTGGAGGTGGACTCCATTCCCCCTCCACTCCCCCAAAATATATCCAAGTTATCATGGTATTACAGGAATTGTGCCTTGGGGTCTACTGAAACTTGAACCTCCAAGGTTGAATGATCGTATAATCGGTTTGCCAAATTCCATTACTAGTATGATGTAGTACATCTCCGACAGAGGTTCGACATTTGATTATGAAAAGTCCTAATCTTCCAACTTACAATATCAAACTAAAGGTTCTGAGAAATTAAAGCTCTGCCAGACTACCTTTCTCGCAAATGTAAAAAGAAATAATTAGTCGGTGAGTGAGTGGTGATATGTGCATTCCTGGGAAACACATAAGTTCAGGCCCTTCAAGTTCTGCTTACAGGCAAAACATTTGCTATATAAATTCTGACATCATTGAGCCTAAATATATTGTCAGAAATATGTCTTAGTCTAATTTGTGCAATAGTCGGCTAGGGCCAGACATGCCAGTGGATGATGATTCCATAAAATATAAAGAATTATGTCAGGCACCTGGGCAGTATATACCTAGGTATGTAGAGCACGGCCAATCTACTGCTGCCAGTGGTACTACCAAGTTCATCCAGGCGAGTCCCAGCCCTGGAGGAAAATATATTGAGCAACAGCCTGGGCCTGAGCGTAAATGAGTTATTTTCACCGAGCGACTCGTTACGATCAGATTTGTCTCAACATTCGAGCGTCTTTCGTGCTCCTACATTCTCCTCAGTTCTCACCTTCAAGTTGGACCTAGCCACTCATGAGTAACGCGTAGGAGAGAAAATGAAGATTGGAAAACTAGATAATCACCGAGAAACAATAGAATTTATAAACAGAGTAGTTTCGGAATTGAGTTACTTATTTCGAGCGGAGCACATCATTTTAGGTGTTAATCGCAGCAGCACTGACAATCGCCATGGAATACGCCAAGCACGCCATGTTGTTCGTGATCTGTTTTCTCACCTTTCTTACCCAAAGCGACAATTTTTTGACAGGCAATTTTAAGCTTGAGGATCTAGCTAATATTTCTAAAACCCCATGGTTATTCGGCCGATATATTTTGCAATTGGAATAGTATAAAGACGAAGCTAAAATTGATTTCAGCTATTGTATATTTCCTGCGAAATTCAAGGGACCTTGGAATTTGATCGGCCATGTCACAGATCCAAGTTCCTGCCCGCTCTCTCAGGGAGTTGGATATGGAGTTGTCATCGGTGTTGGATTGGCATTTGCAGCAGGTAAATCCAATGATGATGCTTTGATTTTCGAAATCAATGCTAATAGGCAGGAATGATACTTGTCACGAGAGCGCTGAAAAAGACAGTGGGAGAAGACAATTCAAATGCCGAGACGTCAGTTGCAAGCACATCGTGTCTAATAACTATTTCTCACTAAGCTTGACTAGTTTTATTGTGGCCAATCGGAATGTCGGTACCGGCTTAGTCGCGTCGGCCGTCGTCTCGGTGAGAAGCAGCTTAATGCTTTCGATGCCGACCAATGACTAACTTAATATTAGTCTTGGCTATGGAGTACCATGCTCTTAAGTACAGTTCTAGTGGCATATCAATATGGCATCAGTGGCCCCTTCTGGTACGGTGCTGGCTGCTCGCCCATGATTGTTTGCTTCGCCTATCTCGGAACCGTGTGCAAAAGCCGGGTACCAAGCGCACATACCGTGTTAGAAGTCGTGAAGATACGATATGGTAAGTTTATTCTCAGTTTATCACTATGAACCTTGGCTTACCTTCTAAGGCACTGTTGCTCATCTGAGCTTTACATTCTTGGCGGTTGTGAATAATTTATTCAACACGATCAACATGATTCTGGGTGCTTCATCAACCATAACATACTTGTAAGTCTACAACAAGACGTTATTGAGCATATTTCTCACTATATTAGAACTGGAATGCACATTGTGGCTTCCACATTCCTGTTACCTCTTGGGGTGGTTATATACACGCTTACAGGTGGTATCAAAGCAACGTATGTTTTCAGCTGCTCAATGCCAAGTGGCGTGAACTAATGCTACGTAACTTCTAGCTTTCTGACGGATTATCTGCACACATTCATTATATTGATTCTTTCTTGCTACCTAACCACTAAAGTGCTCCTGTCTGATGAAGTCAAGTCGATCGGTGGATTGTATGACCTCGTTATTCGGGCTCAGCCCGACCATGTCATCGACGGGAATTACCAGGGCTCGCTTTTAACCATGACTTCCCAACAAGGAATATTCTTCGGAATAATTCTTCTTGTGTCAAATTTTGGGGCGGTAATAGTGAGTATCATAACGCTTTCGATAGAATACTCGCTCACTCTGTACAGATGGACACTGGATACTTCACGAAAGCATTCGCTGCATCACCAGGAAGTGTTTTACCAGGCTATGTTACCGGAGGAATATTTTACTTCAGCATCCCATGGGCTATTGGGACTATCATGGGAATGTCCGCTCTAGGGCTAGAGAGTTCAAAATCGTTTCCAACGTATCCACGAGTAAGTGCTAGGAGACGAAATTTCCAAGTGACCTACCTAACGGAGTTAAGGCCATGACACCTACGGAAGTAACAAATGGACTAGCCCTGCCATATACAGCAATAGCAGTAGCCGGAAAGGGCGGAGCTGTGGCTATTCTTTTGATGGTTTTCATGGCGGTGACCTCCACTTTATCCGCCCAGGTAATCGCAGTATCGTCGATAGTTGCTTTTGACGGATACCGAACATATTGGAATGTCAACGCAACAAACAAAGATGTGATTCTATGGAGTCGGGTGGGTGTCATCATATTCGGGCTTGTCGCTGCAGGTCTTACTACTGTTTTCCACTATGTCGGAATTGACATGGGCTGGACTCTATATATGATAGGTAAGAAATCCCGATTGGCCTTGGGAAAAGACGTCTAACAAATCTGAAGGTGTGGTTACATGCCCGGGAATTTTTCCTTTGGTTCTTACGTTCCTCTGGAGACGGCAAAGTCGGATTGCGGTAGTTGCATCAGCCTATCTCGGGCTGGCATCAGGACTCGCCGTCTGGCTTGGGACGGCGTACCGATTTTATGGTGAAGTGACTGTCTCTACGACAGGCCAGACTCTACCATGCATGTATGGTACTGTCGTCTCGGCCTTCAGCCCACTTCTGTATTCCGGTTTGATTTCCCTATTTGCCCCTTCGGATTTTGACTGGGGAAGTCTGGCAAACAAGAGCCTGGAGGTAAGCCCAGAGAGTGAGTCTCACGAGCAGACCCAAGAAATTACAAAAAGCGAAGAGATTTTAGAGTCAACGCAAAGACGCTGGGCGCGATACGCTCTTATATGGGCGATTGCAACATTCCTAGGTCACTGGGTGCTTTGGCCACTTCCTATGTATGCTGCGCGGTTTATCTTCAGCCGGGGCGTAAGTCAACACGGAACAGAAACTTATCTACAGATCATAAGCTTACCAATCATGAATAGCTTTTTATCGCGTGGGTGGCTATGGCAATTGTTTGGCTCTGGCTTACATTGTTGACGGTTGGTCTATACCCACTGTGGGATGGACGGAAGCGAATCCTCCTGATTTTCCAAAGAATGCTTGCATAATTAGACATATAAATACAAGCAGTGGAGCTGGGGGTCAAAATTGGAGATATAAATCTACTATTTGATATCTAGAATCTTTCAGAACTGCACAAGATCTTTCACCTGCACCACTTGCCCGGTTCGGATTGCCCTGTTAGCAGCAATTCCGGTCAAAATTGACATGGCCCCATCAACATGAGAAGCAGCGCGATTGAGATCGTCTGGCGCCGGAGTTCCAAAAAGATCATTGAGGAGTTTTGGATCTCCGCCACCGTGACCTCCCTCTCCCTCGATAATGGGTATTTCAGTTGGTGGGGCAAACATGGGATGTAACGTAATTTTCGTATGGGCCACGGCTCCCTCTTTGCTTTGATCACCGCCAGAGTTGACGTAAGACTGCTCGAGAACGTCCATCTCAAGGCGGCCTCGAGTTCCATTAAACGAGACCCGGAAGCCCTCCCATGGGCAATATGCGACTAAGCTGTAGGTCAGGATGGCCCCGGACTTATAGCTCACCAACACACCCATTGTGTCTTCGATGTTGATCCCGTCGCCGAATACACTTTGGTCGCGATAGTATCCATCTTCATGCTCTGCATCGAGATACATTTCTTTCAATTGTGGATGATCTTTCATGTGAAGCGCAAAAGGGTCATCAACAGCGGCGGCGCTGCCATGGGCACGAGAATAAAAATTCGTCTCTCCTCGTAACTCGGCATTTTCCTTGCCATAGAATTTCAGGTCTCCTTGGGCGAATACCGTTTTAGGCTGACTTCCAAGCCAGAAATTGACCAAGTCAAAGTGATGAGTTGATTTGTGCACGAGCAGCCTCTCCACTATTGCGTTTGTCCCGATGCCAACGGCGAAAGTAGTCAGCGCCATGTCGAGTATTAAGCATCCATTCAAAATGAACTGAAGTGACTTGACCAATAGAACCATTTAGCAGCAGTTCGCGAATTTTGGTATTGTGGGGTGCGTATCGGTAGTTGAATGTGACACGTAGCTGCTGTTTGGTGGCTTTCACTGCATCAAGAATTTCTTGACATTTATTTTCGTCCACTGTCATGGGCTTTTCACTGAGAACGTTGCACCCTAACTCCATTGCTCGGATGATATACCAGTGATGTGTCCGGTCGATAGTTGTCACTATCACCGAATCTGGCTTGGTTTCTTCGATCATACGGTCAAACTCCGTGGCCATATAAGTTGGTAGAGCCTCAGATCCGAGCTCCTGTACTCGACTATTCGCAACATTCATTCGAGTCTGATTGGTATCACAAAATGCCACAAGGGTTGCGGTGTGCTTGAAATCTTTGACAATAGCATTATAGAAGAACGCTGCTCGGCCTCCCGTGCCGACCACGGCATACTTGGTAGGAGCCATATTGTTACCTTTATGATAGTGAATATAAGACGAAGTTCCAAAGATTAAAAGGAAAGTGAAAGTGTGATTTCCGAATGCGGTGAGCAGGAAAGCATCTCTTGGGCTTCTCGGTTTTCCGTCATGTTGTTTTCCGAGTCGTACAGCTACCCCTCACAACCAAAGGATCACCCCGCAAGGACCCTGGATCCATCGAGTTTTTCCATCAATAGAATGGTTGCATACAGTACCAAATAATTTTATACCCCACGCTATCCAATAGCTTCCCCAGAAAAGGTACATTTAGCTCTATGCCGTTCGATCTCGCCGGTCCTGCTCGTCAACTGCAGTGGGGGCACCGGGTACAAATAAGCCGAGGTGATAGTAAAAAAAGCAAGTGTCACTTCATCGTAGCTACTGGTGATAGCACGCACCGAATTAGGGCGGAAGCTCTTTCGAAGTATCATGATATTATTTTCTCCTCGGGCTTAATCAATGTTCTTCATCCACGTGGAAGTAATGAAGTAATGAATTGGTAGATACTACTTTATCTGATAATTTGCCTATGCTTCAAATATTGCCCAATATTCGCCAGGTTGGAGATAGCGGAGACACCATAGCGAGCAGTCTCATTTGTACTGACCCAAGGAGCCTCCTCGCCTGCCCTGAAATATTCAGGAGGTGAAGTTTTGAGAATGGTCCAATCTAGAAGATCTGTGTATCCATCTGAATCGAAAAATTGATCCCAGGCCGCATCTGCAAGAGAGTCACTGCTTTGTTTTACGGCTGCAAACGCTGTGAGGGTGGAGTGACTTTGCCTCCAGGTCGCATGGTCGGGGAATTCAAATCCGAATTCTTTGCGCTGAATATCAGGCCCTCCATTATATGATCGACAATATGCTAGCCAAACTTGCATAAAGACTTCCATGGAAGATGAGTCTCCTTCTTGAGTAAAGTAAGATAGCTCTGCAATGACCTCCGGAAATCCAAAAAGCATAGATAGGTGGGATATGGCGTATTCTGGGGTTGGGGTTGGGCATTCGCGTACTTCTCCATTTGAGGGATCTAGCAAAATTGAGTTGTTTCCGATCCCATGCTTGAGACTAGCAATTCCCTCCAATAGTCGAAACAGGAGTTCGCGAAATTTAGGCCATCCATCTACTCGTCTCTCCCATGCCGTTAACCATGTAGCAAGAAGAGGACCGCAATCTAGGCCAATATTTGTCATTGCAAAGCCATCTGGAATGCCAGCGTGTTTCTGAACTTTGCGATGAGAGTCCAGGACCAGCAATGTATTTTGGCACTCTTGGAGCTCCGATATCAGATCGCCAGTACGTTCATCTCCTGTGAGGTAGTAATATATGCGACGATATAGTACGTTGGATATTCTCAGTTGCTTAGAGCTGTCGCTGAAGTGTTGTACTCCGTGTCGTGTTCCGAACCCCTTGAAATTTCCAGAGTGGTAGACATCAACCTCCCCTGTATGTCTTGTCATAGCCTCTGCCATTTTGAAAACATCAGCTCTTCCTGTGTGCAGGAAGTACAACCAAAGCCATGAATCGGTGGAGAGCTCCGAGTTGTCCCAGGCAAACCCTCCAACATCGTAGCGCCAAGCATGCCGATACGCATCGTAGGTATGCTGGACATCACCGTAATCCCAAAAGCCATACCATCGATTCTGCTCAACTTGCTGATGATAATAGTTGAATAATAAATTGAGGTTTTCTTCGATCTCGATTTCTTTAGGGGATGGGGATTTCCCCGATATGCGGAAGTCGGGAGCCCAACACCCGTGAAAAGCATGAGCATCATGCATATGCGTTGCAGTAGCCATCAGGCGAGGGGGGCTGCGCACAAGGAATGAGAAGGCACTAAAAGAAGGATTCGAAGGCACATCGCGGAATGGCTTGAGAATTATTTGACTGGTTCTTGCAATGCCGTTCGCAGTAGCAAATCCAGGTTCGAAATCTTCGTAAGTCACATTGAGAGCTTCAAGTTGTTTGTCATAGCTGTCTAGGCCAAGTCCATCATGAAATGGTGCCGTTTCCAGCGGCTCTGCAAGAGGAGAGTATAGCCAAACAGTAATAGATGCCTGACGGGATGTTAAGTCATCCAGGTCCAGCTGGGTTGGATAGCGTTCCCAAAAGTCAGACATGCCAATGGCGAGACCTCCATTCTCAGTGGATCCTACAAAAGCAGTCCCGTCAGACCTTCCACCTGCAGTAACCTTGACCCAAGAACATTCTGGCTTCGTCCGTTTCTTGATGGCGAAACCGTCAGATGAAAGTTGGCTGAGTGAATACGAGTCCCAAGATGGGATATATGAAAGACCCCTGGTAATTTCAGTTCTGGTCCAGTCTGTTTTGTTTAGACAAACATGGCGACCCGATGTCTGATCCACTCGATTCTTTATCGTAGGTCCGTGTCGTAGACCAGATAGGCCCTTGACCTCTTCTTTCAAAACGCCACCGCCAGAGCCCCCGTAACGAATGTGACGATTGTGAAGTTCGCTATCGTTCAATGGCACAAAAAAGCGCAGTCCGAGAGATGTGAGCGGCTGGTCGGGGTCTAGGTCATGGATGAACGAGTGGATTATCTTGACGGATGATGCATTAGAGTGGATATAGAATCGCACATCGAATGGAAGTTGACCATTGTTGTTTTTGTCCAGGACAACTCCGGATGCCTTGATTAGAGCTCTGTTGAATGAAGTATTTTCAACTTCGACCGATTTGACGAGGGTGTTGTATGGCTTGCCATCGATTGATGCGATCACGGTAGCTCCCGAGCACACCAGTCGCCCATCGATCGCAACGTCTTTCAAGATCGATGAGCCACCTTTTGGGGGAAAATTGACTTGAAGACCCTGTGGTGTGATCACAGAAAGACAATTCTCATTATGAACTATTTGAATTTCTTTTTTCCCCTCAGCTGACCATGGCGCACCTTTGATTGTGTACTCTGTGCTGTACCCAATGTCGCCGCTGACGGAGTGGGCGCTCCATTTAAGCGAATCGTCCGGCCAATAAGCAAGTTCACGCGAATCAAGCGGCCATTGGTTTCCATTTGCCTCAATAACAAAGTTTTGGCCTGGCGGGTACATACCCTTCGGCCATGGCATTCCAAACGACACTCCATCTTCCAGGGCCTGGGGACCATCACCGGTCAGCCAGCGAAGATTAGGGGTCGACATGTTAGCGAAGTAAGTGTTAATATTGCGCTCGGACCGTCCGAGAAACAAGCGTCACAAGCAATGCGGGACAAGAGGCCAAGAAAAGCGTGGCAGGGGTGAAAGGAACTTCATTTCAGCACGCTGCTGGGACGATCGTGAGTCTTTGACGGTTTCCTCAGCGGGGTTCCGTTGTAGACGACACATCACGCCACCGTTCGAGGATTGGCTTTGAATTAACGGTTCACTAGCACACACTTTGATCCCAACTTCATTTCCAAATTCCACCAAAGAAAACTCCCATTCCCATACCCACCAAAGTATAATCACATAGGGCTCGGTTCCTGTTTACCCGGTTTTTCCAAAACAGTTTAATCTCGGTCGATCGATAGCCCGCAGATGTTAACCAGAGCACGGAGATTGCTCCATCTGGGGTATTTGGGTTTTCTGGGGCAAGCTATCCCCCACATTTGCCTGTCTGAGGGTGCGGAGTCGTTGCCAGGGATGGCGCCGCATTCTGCGGTACAAAGAGGGCCGAAGGCGCTGACACAGGGCGAGATGCAAATCATCACCACCACTGCGAACTAAGTCTCACTACGTTTTTCCCTCGTTGAGGTCGGCTCTCTGATTCAATATGTCAGAGCACCAAGAAGATGTTCGTGATCGGACTACCACCATGGTCGTTCACGATAAGGATGAGGAGAATTATGCCTCGGCCATGGAGACCCTAAAAAGTGCCCAGAGAGCTACTGAAGATGAACATGCCATGGGGCTACGCGAAGGTATTCGGAAATACCCGAAAGCAGTTTTCTGGTCCATCTGGTTCTCCTCGGCGTTGATTATGGAAGGCTTCGACCACGCATTCGTCAGTGGCTTCTTTGCTTTCCCTGCCTTCCAAGAGCGATATGGCACCCTGCAGAGCGATGGATCTTACCAGGTCCCCGCAAACTTGCAATCAGCTGTCAGTAATGGTGTGAATGCTGGGGAAATTGTAGGTCTGTTGATAAACGGCTTGCTTGCAGATTGGATTGGTTACCGATGGGTCATGATCGGCTGTCTCATCCTCATGACAGGTTTCATATTTCTGCAGTTCTTTGCAACCAGCATTTACATGTATCTCGGAGCCGAAATTCTACTGGGAGTACCATGGGGTGTTTTCCAAACTCTCACAACGACATACGCTGCTGAGGTCTGCCCCAACGTCCTGCGACCTTATCTCACGATGCTGGTGTCTCTTTGTTGGAGCATAGGCTACCTTCTTGGCACCGGTGTTCTCCGCGCATTCCTTTCGTCACACGGGCAATGGGCTTACCGGATTCCGTTTGCATTGCAGTGGATATTGCCAATTCCTCTGGCCATCGGAATCTTCCTGGCGCCAGAGTCACCTTGGTGGCTCATTCGGAAGGGTCGTGTCCAAGAGGCAGGAAAGGTACTACATAAATTACGATCCAAGGATAGCTCAGAAGACGAAATTGCGGACACTCTGGCAATGATGGAGCAAACAGTCAAAATTGAAAACGAAATGAAGACGACAAGCAGCTACTGGGATCTATTCAAAGGGGTCAATCTACGTCGCACTGAGGTCACAGTTGGGACTTACCTCATACAAGAGCTTTGCGCGCCACTCGTCGCTTATATCGTTTATTTTCTGGAGCAAGCAGGTCTTCCTGCCACATCGTCATTTGACTTCGGCATGGGTGAATATGCCCTAGCAATAGTAGGCGTGTTTATTGCTTGGTATCTAGTTCCAAGGTTGGGCCGACGTACCTTAGTCCTGACCGGAACTGCTTTCATGACCGTCACAACTTTTGTTATCGGCTTTATGGGAATTCCCAGCATCAGCACCCATCCTAATATAGGCTACGGGATTGGCAGCATTTTATTGATTGAGTACTTCGTCTTTTTCATCACCATCGGCCCGATCATCTACACGATTGTGACTGAGATTCCTTCCAACTATCTCCGGAACAAGAGCGTTGTTCTTGCCCGTGCTGTGTACAACGTTGCAGTCTTGGTCTATGGACAGCTTGTACCCCACATGATGCAAAAGGCCTCCTGGAACTGGGGAGCCAAATCCGGCTTCTTCTACGGGTCTATCATGGGTCTTGGCTTGATATGGGCGTATTTCCGACTTCCCGAGACGAAGAACCGAACATTTGCGGAAATGGACATTCTGTTCAAGAATCAAGTGAAGGCACGAGATTTTGAAAAGACGAAAGTAGATATTGCTAGTGAGACGGTGTCTCAAGATTGAATCATCTGGGTTAGTCTATACGTACCAATGCTTATTTAGGTTCGGGGTGCAGCTTGATAAGTTATGCTGGATTTTAATTTATAGTACTTTCAGAGTTCGGCACAGAAACGACGTAAATTCATGATCAAAGTAGTTCCACACCCCGTTCCAACTGTACTTGATTCAAGTTCCCATTCGGAGTATTGTTATACTATGTAGCTACTAGAGTAGTACTAGTAAATCCTTGTATATTCTGGGACTTGCCTGCAGGTAATGGGCATTTTGCCCTCTTGAAGTTGGCGTCGACTTGGCGTCGACGACTTCTAGGTTGCCCTTTTAGGTATGCATCATAAAATAGGTGAGATTTCAACTCAAGATCTATTGCAACTTTCCCATCAATTGATCTCCGGCTTTGCGTGAAATTTTTCTCCCAAAAATCTGTCTAATTTGATTGATGACCCCCAGAAATTCATCCATGTTGGAATCCACCCTATACGAGCGCGACGACATTAATCAGACCCGCTTGGATTGATGCTTCCAACTCCATGCCCAATATTAGATCTCCTATAGACAATAGATCCACCAGGAAAAATGGTCTCCATGACTGTTTTGAAATTTCTGTTGTTCCTTATGTCTTGTAACCAACAAGGTGAAAAAGTCGAATTTGTTCTGTAGTGTCCAGTGAGATATCGCATAGGAGCACGGCAGACCCTTCGGCATCCGAAAGGGGTACCAACGCTGGGCAAGCGGGGGCGGTGGAGGATTCCGGGGTGCCTGGGGGGTTGTGGGCCGCCATCGATTGGCTCGCGGACATCCCGAGAGTCTTCTCCTCTCTTCTTCCCAGGTTGCTTCGGCTGACACCCAGGTTGCTTCGGCTGACAATCCAGCTTGTACGAGTATATCAACTCCCCAATACCCCCCCAATTGATCTAGCAAAAAAAGGCAAATTAGAAACTTGACAATGACTTCCAACAAACGTGCTCGCTATGATGATGATGTGGTTCAGGATGGGGAGTTGACATCGGCCGCGGAAGGCTTCTTTGAAGCTCTTGGTATGATTGAAGCCTCCTTTGAATTTTCCCAACTGACCAAATTCTTGAAAAGCCGAGGCTGGAGTTACGCACTGTTTCGTCAATCTGTACGTCTACCCAATTGGTTCAATGAACTGAACATCTGGTGATCTGACCCGTCCACTAGAGGGAGCGATCACCCTGCCATGCTTGAAGCCATGATTAAAGCCAAACAAGGTGCGACAATGCCAAGATAAATGGAGATCCACGGGACTAACAATCATCCAGAGAAGTTGGCCAAGTTTCCCAACATAATCACCTGTCCTTCGGAATTGGTGGCACTGTCGGCAGCACTTGGATACGCCCAGGTCACAGGCATCCCGGTATGAGCTCCATCGGTTTTTTCTTCAGGATTGTTTTGCTCATTTACTATTAGCAATGCGTCCTTGTTCACGTTGATTGCGGAACTTTAGCCTTGGGACAGTCGGTCCATAATGCCTCGATCGGCCGAGTCCCCGTCCTCTGTTTTGCTGGCCTGAGCCCCTTCACCCAAAGAGGGGAACTTCTAGGCTCCCAAACCGAGTATAAACCACCTGGCTCTATTCTCATTCCTGCCAATGCTAACAATTGAATCCGGGAAGGTTTATTCATTGGTTACAAGATGTGCCCGATCAAGCCGCAATCGTTCGGCAGTATTGCAGGTACTCAGCAGAAATCAAATCCGGCCGTAATATCAAAGAAATGGTGAACAGAGCATTGCAATTCACCTTGTCCGATCCCAAGGGCCCAGCCTACCTCATGGCAGCAAGGGAAGTCCTCGAAGAGGTAATTAAGATGATACCTTCAACCAAGCACGACTGCTAACCCTCGTCTGCAGAAAGTTGATAGAGAATTTCTTGAAGAAGAATTGCTCAGCCCTATCGTTGCCAGTGCATTGCCGGATTCAGGTAATAATTCCTCGATAATGATTATCAACACAATCTGACTTTTTGCTTGCTTATAAGAGGTTGAATACATCGCAAAAACTCTCATGAGTGCGAAGAAGCCTCTTGTTATCACGGGTTATTTGGGGCGCAACCATAATACACCTGCTCTGCTCGAGGCGCTTTGTGACAAGCTACCAATTAGTGTGGTTGAAATGGTCGGTTCTGATGTCTGTATCCGCAGTGACCACGAAGCCTATCTTGGTGTGACAGTTACTACACATCCGGCAGTTTTAGAAGCCGATGTCATCTTGATTATGGACTGTGATGTTCCCTGGATTCCAACTGCTGGAAAACCAAAGAAAGGTTGGAATAAAGACTTCAGGACACCCAACGAGCATTCACTGACAGTATAGGCACCAAAATTATTCACCTTGATGTCGATCCACTGAAGCAGCAGATGCCCCGTACGTATCCACGATATGTTTTCATTGACCGTGCATGACTGAATTCTTTTAGTATTTTCTATTGGTGCCATTCGAAGACTCAAGGTGAGCGGCGAGCTTGCTTTGCAGCAATTGAATGGCTTTATAGATCGCCAAAGCCTGGACAACAAACAATACTCTGCGGAATTTGAGTCTCGCCGGGCGCGCTATACAAAGTGGCGAGCGAACCTCAAATCTCTAGAATCACCCTCATCTGAAGGCATTGTCACCGTACCCTATCTAGCATCACGACTGCGGGAGCAACTTCCACAAGACACGACTTTCGTCATGGAAGCCGTCACTAACGCAGGTCATTTGATTCATCATTTGAACTTGACCAAGGTAATCCAGCCAGTGCATTGTCTGAAATTCATATTCTAACGTCAGAATCAGCCAGGAAGTTTACTTGGCAGTGGTGCAGGTGGATTGGGCTGGGGAGGCGGCGCCACTCTGGGCGCTAAGATGGCCAAGCCAAATTCTTTTGTCTGTGGACTGTGAGTACATTGGCTCAAGCATATGCGGACACCTCTAACAAAATCCCAGAGTTGGTGACGGAACCTACCTCTTCTCGCAGATGGAGAGCGTCTATTGGATTGCAAGGCGTTACGATGTGCCATTCTTGCTTATTGTCCTGAATAATGGCGGATGGAATGCACCGAAGGTCTCCGCTTTGCTGGTCCACGAGGATGGATTATCATCAAAGTCCAATAGAAAAGGTGACTAAAACCAGGTCTTTCAAGTTCATCCTGCGAAGAAGGGTCAATGCTGATAATAAGCAACGAAATAGATTTGAACATATCCTTTGAGCCTTCGCCAGACTACCCAGGGATTGCCTCTGCCGCAGGGAATGCCTGGGGGGCCACGGTCAAATCACAGAATGAGTTGGACCCTGCCATCCAGCAAGCAACAGAGATCGTGCAAGCTGGGAAGTGTGCTGTTATTGAAGTTGCGTGAGTGTATTCTAACTGTTGAAGGGATGAACCAAAGAGCGATAGGCTAACATTCTCAAGTGTACCATCCATTTGGAAAGAGACCTAGACGAATCTTGGGGGTATTGGCCAAATATTGATGAGATGCGCTACATATGAACCCTTTCCCAGGCTTCTCGAAGCTCCTTATGGGGGGGGGCCTTGCAAGTTGACAAGGAATGGGTCTTTTGTTCTGGCTAGCATGCCCAACAGAGCATCTGGTTCGACCTCATCAGTCACTCGCTCTCTATCTGATTGGTGTGCGGGCGGCAACCGCATACCACAGAGTTCTCTTTAAAAAGGGCTAGACACATCGACACTCATGCAAGTTATAAATTAGCCCTGATGCTGTTTTATTTGAACCGGCAATGCCACACAACTACCCAGGCGGAAAACACTGTTTTTAATCTAAAGCTTGAGCGAGAAGTTAGCAAAGCTTCAATCCGCATAGTACAAAATTCCGGGAGGCGAGTCACGAAGACCTTTCAGTACATTCTTTACTTATGACTAGTAGGCATTGTTCAGGAAACAACTTGGACTTGAATTAGTGTCTATTCCACAGGATCTAGTAGGTAGGAGCCTGTAATTGTATTAGATTTGTTATTTTTGTACAGTATCACATTAAATGTGAGCATTGCGACGCCATCCCGATGCTACTTCCAATCACACCACGTAAGCCATACATCCGTGAGGATATTCAAACAATATAAAGGGTAATTGGGTACAAGAATGGTAGAGATAAAAGAAAACGGTAGGTGCTAGGAGGGTAGAGGGTAAGGAGAGTGAACTGTGGAAAGTTATGCTCGAGCACTGGGTCGCGGCTTCCATTGAGAACGGTAGAGACCCACTTGGGGTTGCTTGCCAGTATGGGAAGAGTTGCGAGGGGAGTCGCGGAAATCCGGATAAAGCCCTGATTCAACGTCCATGAGAACAGCACGTTGAGGTTCCGCAGATGCCCAGCCCGACGTTTTAACTCGGCTCTTGCTTGGGGAAGAACGTGAGGTGGTAGATTTGGGACTAGACGCAGAGAGTTGAGTTTTTTGTTTGATGATATCACGAAGTTCGGCATCATCTTTCGTGATCTGAGCTTTGATGAGAGCCAAGTCATTGGAGGCTTGCAGGGCGGACATGACCGACTCTCGTGGCGTATATTTGTATTGCTCTGGGTTGGGAGCAGACGTGGGAATGATCGATGGATCGAGGAAAGCGGCTTCATCTTTGGACAGCAGCTGAGAGATATCCAGAGTTTCACCGTGAGGAATCTTGTTCGGATGAGAAGGGGTAATACAATCCATGTCAACCTCTTTCCGGAGCACATGATCGATGTCGACGGCTGAGAAATAGGCACAGGACTGTGGTAGATCGTCAATACCAACTTGCTGCGAGAAAATTGCGCGCGTCCAGAGATTTGCAATCTGAAGAGCCATAGCTGCGCGGTATTTATCTTCATCCTTGACCATATATCGGATTTCATCGTGGACAGTGATGGCTAGACGTGCATGGATATTAAATCGCCGGATCAAAAAGTCCATACCGACGATCAATAGATGCAAGTAATCAACACCTGATGACTGAATGGCCCAATTGATTCGGGACGTCATGAAGCTTCCCTTGTTGATAAATCGTCGCATCAGGGCCTCCGTAATACCAGCACCCAATGCGGGGGTTCGAGGTCTTTCCTGGTCTGCGAATTCTTCGAGCTTATTGAAAACGAAAGATTCGGTGCCACCTCGCCAGAACGGAGTTTCGCTTAGAATTCGTCGGGATGTCCGTGTTCCCTTGGTCTCCTTGTAAAGGTTGGCTGCAGTTGCCTGCGTTTCCCTTTCGGTCAAGGATGGATTGAATTGACGAAGGAGAGTTGCAGCGAACTTCACACCGGCTCCATAGATTCGGCCGTAATTAAAAACCTTCGCGTCATTTCGAGAAATTCCGAGAATGGATGCACTTCTTGAATGCAAGTCTGTACCTTCGGCCTTGGAACCCTCCAAAGTCATGAAACCGATCGCATTTCCACCATGGAGTTGGAAAGAAGCATCTCCGACGAGACTAGCAATCCATAGCTCCTGGGAGTCGACGTCTGCACCGACAAAAGCATACCCGGGGGTGCTTTAATCATCGCCTTCAATTCAGATCCAACCCGATTGGACTTGGCGTTGCTCGCCGTGAGCCATGTGTTTTCCACAGCACGGCGAGTTATGGTACCCATGGGAAATAATTTGAGGCAATATGAACCCCACTCTGTGACTGGGATCTCCACTTGAAGAGCCACTGTTCTGTATTTGATCCTCGTAGACAACCATCTGGCTCATGATACGATCTCTCGCACTAATCCAATAAGAGCAGGAAGCGTTCATGTCCAACGCTTCTTTTGCGAGCTCAAATTGAGATGAAAGAATCCCGCGCTCAAAGTACTGCATATACCCTTTGCCAAGAGGATTGGTACATCTCGCTTGTGGGCCGTCTTTATGCGGTATTTTGAAATATATGTTCTTCCGGTCTTCTCGAAGTTGTGCATTCTTATCCTCGGCGGTCATATCGCACCGAACAACTGGCTGATTTTCATATTGCTTCACCTGACTATGGGGAACTCGGAAGGTCCACCCATACTTGTCAGACCAAATGAGAGGGTAACCATCCCATGCCAATTTCAAGAGAACGGGAGCAATGCGAGTTCGGACCGTGAGATTGATGTCCGCGTTGCTTGAAGGAAAAAGATCTTTGTACCACTTGGGCATTCCCGGTTTCTTCTGGCGCGCGGCAGGGCGGGGAGGATCACCCTTTTTCTTCCCTTTAACCATTTTGATCTCCTGGCCGGACCAGTCCAGCTGGCCAAGCCAAGGATCGTTATCATAAACATCTGGTTGATCTTTGACATTCAGAGCTTCATTGCACAGTTCATTCAATTTTCGCTGCACCTCATCAAGTCGTTTGTGGTAGGTTACTTCAGCATTTTTGATATACTCCTGCCAGGTCTGGTTGACAGGAAGTATGACCGAAGACAGATGTCGGAGGGCACCGAAACTGACCGGGTGGGGGCATGTCTCTAGGAAATTGGGGAAGACTTTGCGGTAGACACGATGGGTGATAGCGACATCGGCAGCACAATAATCGACAAGTTCCTCCAATTTTGCTAGCAGAGATTCTCTGTCAAGTTCACCAAAAAAGTCTCTCTGTGCCTTGTCGATGGTCACGTCACAATGGAACTTGGCCACATCTCGCAGGGAGTTGACTGAGCTCCTCCCCACCCACAACTCTTCCTCCTCCTCTCTCAACATATTGTTTTCAAGCAATGAAGCCAGCTCGGCCGAATTATGCTCGCTTGCGATCTTGTCCCTCAGAGCTTTGTTCTTCTTATGTCGCATCCACGTCGGCCTCTGTTGCGAGCACATTCCGTTGACAGCAACATGGAGGGACATCGTGTCCAGGAAGAAATTCTGTGTTTGCTTCATATCGTATTCTTCCAAAACGCGAGCGCGGTCATAGCCAATGTTGTGGCCAACCACGATCCGGGGTTGAGTTGGATCTCCGAGGGGAATAAGGTGCTCTTTTTTTGTCGATTCGCCGAGCAGCCACGGGGATATCCAAGCATACCATGCTGTAGGGCTCGCAGCACAGGCCATGACGGCGAAAGGATGCTCCTTGTACATGACCTCGGTGTCGAATGTAATCATTGACTCATTTGGAGCATCTACTGGTTCCGCAGAGCCATCCGCGTTGTATTTGGTCCATCCACTGCGATTCACCCACTTGCGCGGTTTGTCCGGACAATTAACGGCGACGAAGGATTTCGCATAAGATAAGTAGGGCTCCGACGCATCCATTCCAAGCTTATAAAAATGTTCGTCTAGGGTCTGGCCATGAAGTTTCGGTAAATCGAATGCGATTGGCTCGGCGCCTTTTTGCGATTTGCCCAGGAGTTCGTGTCTTGCGAGATGGTCCTTCGCTAACGCAACCAATTCCGGGTCCGGTATACGACCCTTGTTTGGGAAAACCTGAGGATACACATAATCGCTCAGTTGTTGCACTCCGATCTCATTAAATCTAGCCGAGGCGGGCACTGGGCTAGGTTAGCATTTGCGATTTCGTATCAACCTAGGGGTAAAAATGGCAATGGGCCTACCCGATAAAGGTCGCTTCGCTGGAGACTCCACGTCCGGCAGGGTGGAATAGTGTCTTCCACATCCTGTCGTGGTGGATTTCCGTGGGTATCGAGGAAGAATAAGTACTGAACATAGTCGTGGTCGCACGGAGCTCACAACACCCCTGGAATGAGGCGTGCCGGCGAATTTCCAAGATAACATCGTATGGGGATCGGTATTTCGATCATATCAGGTCATAATGTAAGCGACTACAACCCTGCAAGATTGTGTTGGTGATTAAGGACGACGTCACGAGATGATGCAGATTGCGATTTTGTGAGACTATCCCATATCACCACTGCCTATCGCGGTATCTGAGGCGTCATGCCGGAACGGAGGAACCCTGCCGCCGATCCCGATGATACTAACCCGATTAGGTGACCGCCTGCCTCTTTGGCTTATCGCGCGGCGATAACCATTCCCCATTCTCCCCTCACCTCATGGTAGCCCATGATCGTCGTCTATTTCAATACTTGGGTCGGCGTCGCCTTCGTCTTCTTCCCCGAGGCTTAACGGCGCGAGTTTTCTTCTATATGGTTTACGATCACTCATTACGTCTACAATCATCTCTCCTTTGATCTGGCTCACCGGACTTATTCTCCCGATCTCTTAAACCGTCACGCACTTACCTTGCCACAACCCTCTCAAAAACAATGCAACCGATGATAAACAAGGCCCCTTCCGTTTGAAAAGGACATTTTGAAAGAAACTACACCATGAGCCGCAGGTTATCGGTAATCGACTTGACATCGGCATCCGTGCCCGCTCCCGCTCCCGCGCCCACATCCACATCCACGTCCACGTCCACCCATCGCCAACTTTCATCCGATATAACTTCCGTGGACTCCTTCTCGGACTCCTTGGAGGAACAGCCAACTCCAAACTTAAGGAACCACACGGTACCACGGGGCGCTAAACGAAGGCGAGATGGAGAGGAGCTCGGACATGCAGGACCATCGTCTCGTCCTCGACTAGATCATCCAATAGATCCTCGAATAGAAGGGCCCATTCAAGCTATCGATCTGACCGAGGTTGATAGCTCTTCTGAGCTCGCCAAGACACTCTCTAGCCTAAGAGAGGACGCAGTCAAATCCCAGCAACCGCATGGAGACGAGGCGAATAGTGCACGTTCAGTACTGGGATCATATAAATGTCCGATCTGCATGGATACACCAGAAGATGCGACAAGCACGGCTTGCGGTATGTTTATTGATGATCCGGCCGGAAATGCTTTGAACATCGCCGAGCCAATATGTCCTTCCGTCTTATACTGACCTTTCCTGTGAATAGGCCATCTATTCTGCCATCGCTGTATCCTTGAATGTCTGGCGACTGCAGATGCCAGAAATTCAAGTTCCGACTCAAATAAAAATAAAGGCACATGTCCTGTGTGCCGAAAATCAATAACTAAGAATGATACAGCGGGGCCTCGGCGGAGTCTTATACCTTTGCAGCTGAAGTTGACAACCAAAAAGCGCAACATGGCCCCACCAACTGAAGCATGAATTGGCACTTCATTTGATTTTTGATTTTCAAAACATTGCGATATGGAGCATGGTAATGGCGTTTAGTTTGCATTTGGAGGCAATTGTTCCTAGTATTTTATGGATCGAGTAAACTTTCCCGGGAAAGAAATGAATTTGACCTTGAACGCGAGCATTCAAAGCAAGTGTTTCGAGGTCCATTTTAAAAGAAACAAAAAAGCAAATGCTTTTCCATTGTATACTTGAGTGGTATGCTCTTATTTCTATACTCCGTAGACTTGGTTCCAAGGTTAGTACTTTTGTCATTAACCTTTCAAAGAACTTTTAATTTAGCCAGTCCTAAGCTACTTGATGAACAAGTGAATGTCAAAAAAGTCCCGTAAAAGTATCCGGCTACTCATACAGGGCTGTTTCATGAATGAACGCTGCAATATGTACAAATATTCTCAGAATCGATCAACAACTAGAAATGCTAAGCATAAGCAGCCCAACCTAAAAGCCAAGTTAGTTATGATTGAGCATCAGGATTTTGGGGAAACCTACCACAGTATAGAACGGCAAGATTTTTCTCATCGGTCGACTGTTGGATAAGCTCATTGACAGTAGCAGTAACGCTCAGCGTCTTGCTCAATTTTTTAGCGACCACTGTTAAAGCTCTATCGGCTTCGCTAGGCTCATTTTTCGGGCTCGAGCCTTTGTCAGTGGTTCCGGTAAGTACTGGTGGCTCATCGCCTCCCTCTTGATTATCCTGCATTTTCTTCATCCGCAGAGGTGACACAGTCCAGCTGTAAAGTGGATCATAACGAAGAACGTCCAAAATTGTCATGATACTGTAGGACTCTTGTCGGAGGGCCTCCAGTGTGAATTCACAACACCTCCTGAAGATTCCTTCGGTCTTGGTAATGCCGAATCCGTCAACCAAATCTCTCAGTTAAGCGGAAGGGCACGACTTCAGGGACAGGCAAGATACGGCCTTGTTCAAAGGCCACGCCCAGATCGATGTGAATCACCTCTCCAGTCTTCTCGTCGAGCAAAATATTGTGGCCATGTCGGTCGCCAAGTCCAAGAACATGTCCGAGGATCGAGATCGCGGCTGTGCTCCTCGTGTACGAAATTCGCTTGCTGAACCAATCGTCTGGGTTGTTGAACCTCTCCATAAAGAAATACTTCATGACTGGGTGGAAGTGTTCCGTAACTTGACGGTATGTTCTGACGCGTTGCTCGAATGACTTGGTCTGCACATCGGCGATATGCTTCCGGCAGGAGTTGGGCTTCATATCCTTCGGGAAATACCGCTGGTGCGCAGGCATTAGAAAGTCATTCAAAGGAATGGTGTTAGGAACAAATTCAATGATTCCTGCATTGAGAGTGAGAGGAAGAACCTTGTAGGTTCTGATCCCGAGGTTTCGTTGCCGAGTAGGCTGATGGTCTTTGAGCAGGCTGCTGACTTGCTCAAAGACTTGCTCCATGATCGTGTCCTGGCGAAGATCGTCGTTTCCTCCTTTGTACTATTTCTCAGTTAGCATGGGCAGCAATTTGTGGGGGCCATCGGCTGATTGTTGATTTGCGCTTCAGAAACTTATGAGTATTTCCCTGGGGGTGACTTACCAGCTGCTTGTAGCGAACACCGTCACTCGCGATTGCAGTCACAATCTTGGGTGCACTGACACCTGACGCAAGTGTGAACTCCGACTGGAACTTGGCCGTTGTAGGGACATTGCTGTAGTCACAGTCCTCTCGAAGTTCAATTTTCATGGTGGGCGGAGGAAGCCTGTACGTCGTCACGTCTTGCCCAAGACGCTCGCCTGTGGGCAGCTTTTTCAAGGCAATCTTGGCTCCGCTTTTGTATTTGTTGTCCATTCGATCAACGGCAAACCGTACGTATGTGATGTTCATATTATGAACAGCAATCCAGGTTGGGCCGATGGTCTTGTCATTCTTCAAGCGATCCACAAGTTTGTTGGCGGCGAGGAAACGGGAGTGTGAGGATTGGTCTTTGCCTCCCTTAGATTTGCTACTAGCAAATATTTGATACATGCCGTGGAATGGATGTTGAGCACAAACTTGAAATACCAATCCAGTCAATAATTTCTGGAAGTCATCGGACACGTCGAGCAATCGAGAAGACAATTGATTCATGAGTGGTGCGAACTTCCGGCTTGGGACATCATTCAGATAGCGGGAGACTGCGGTGTTCGCGATCTTGCTGTCTGACTTATCGAACCAGAGCGCACAAAATCGCAGTGCGTCGTTGTTATATGCGTCGCTCTCCCTCAAGGCAAGGAGATAGTTTTCGAGACACTGCTGTAGGAATGCTTCTCGACTTCGTGATAGACGCTGAAATTCACGATCATCGAGATCGAACCATTGCTTCGTTTTGGCTCGGAAGATTTTCATGGACTCCCTTTCACGGCCTGTGGAAGTTTTCATCATCTCTTCAAGACTCTGAAGCTCCTTCTCTTTGCGATCACGAAGCTGCTGCACTCGCCTGAAGTCTTCCAGGCCATCCTGGTTCAGAAGCTGCTGGTCGCAGAATGCAGCAAATCCGTGATAGACTCGCCCTGCTGCCTCCCCGTCTGATGCTCCTTTTAGTTCCTTCACTGCCGGGTACAAGTAATCTTGAAGAATCGCTTCTGGTTTCTCTAATCGAGCCTCAGCGACGTGGTGACCCAAAGTCACGAGCAACTCAGCACGACTAAGAGGGATTGCTTGCTTGTGTAGATCGCTGTAGCCCTTGAGTTGTTGAAGCATTCTAATCGAAGCTGTCATTTCGCCCTGGTCCCACAAAACATTTGCAAGATCAAATTGCGCTGCACCATCAATGTCAATTCCCAGTTCAGCACAGGGCTCAGAGAGCTTGGAAAGACTGATTGCGGATTTCAGCGACGCCTGTGAGATTCCGTGACTTCTTGTGATTTCTAGCGACTGGCGAAAGACTTTGGCTTCAAGAAGACGCGAGTCTCCCGGGTTCAAATTCAGCTTCGATTGCAAGGCATCGTTCTTTCTTATTGAGGAGCAAAGGCCCTCGTGCCAGCTCAATATCTCTCCAACTTCATGGTAACTTTCAGTTTTTAGCCAACTGCTCCGACCGATGATCTCATTCCATTCATTCTGCATTTCACCGGAAGATGATGACCGGAGGAGATCACTCATCTCTGTCAGAACTCCCAGGCTGCGCATTGCAGCTCGTAGTTGCATGGTTGATTGGCCGCTCTCGATAGCAGCATCAAGGGTCGTCAGAAGAGAGCTGTCGATAGAAGTATTAATTTCTGACAAGGACGAGGATGCGTTCAAGCTCTGAAATGCGCGGAAGGTCATGCTTTGTGGGGATGATTCCAAGGGTGAGATAGGGATGTCCCATTGCTGAAGGTTCGTTGCGGCTTTTAAGGTACTATCAAAAGAGAACGACAATTCCTTCGCGGTTCCTGAGGCATTCACCATAGTATTCGCAATACCCTGAAGATTGGTGGAGTTAAGAGCTTTCAGAACGCCGTAAGCATTGCCGTGGCCCAACATCTGGATTTCGCTGTCATACTGAGCACTCTGGAAAAGCAGATTCTTGAAGCCCGAACTCTCATACTCCAGTCGCTCCATAACTGTACTTAGCGACGAGCTCTGCTGGATTCCGTAAAAAAGATCAGGATCGTCAATATTTTTGAAGACATTGTGCAACAAACCAACTGGTGGTTCAAATTTGGCAACAGAAGCCCGACGAGAAGCCCCAATGGCTCTGGATGCCTCAATCTCAAGGAATAGAAGAGATGTTTTCTGGAGGCCACAGTAGTGTGCCGCAGAGGATGCCTCGCCGAAATCTATGTCAAGCCATCTGTCACGCTGGACGATCGTGACTTCGTCTGGCACCGGCTGATTCCGAAGATACAAGACACATGTGATGACGAGTCGTGCGTGCAAAACGCTATCCTCGCGCACATCGCTCAAGATTTGCTTGAACGATTCTGAAATGACTTGTCTTACCGGGCCCTTGTCATCCCCTTCTGCCAGCAACACATCATGAATGATGTATGGTAAGATCTGAACAGCGAGGTCAGGAATAACGTTGAGAATTTTGCGCAATGGCCCAATTACAGGGTCTTCTAATGCAGCATTGGAAAGAAAGAGCGAAATTTTACGGGCCCATTCGGCGACAGCGAGCCCATCCGCCGATATATCTGTTTTGTTGCATCGCTCTAGCTCCGACGGCGAAAGCGGTATTGTTGGACATGTGTAGGGACTCCAAATGAGGGCTTTCATCAGTGATTCTGGAATGACCTCAGCGCAGCCTTGGAGGTCTGGGGATTGGGCGATCTTGCTCAAGATCAGTTGTAATGTGTGTTCGATCAATCCAGCGTCTCTGTTGTCTTGGATCTGTAACTTCTCACACAGGGCTTGGATTACTCGAGCTTTGGAGTAACAGAATATATTTGACTGGTCACTCAGCTCGACAATTTTGAACAAAGTGAGACCCTGCTCCCGTAGGAGGTTCTCATCAACTTTTCCCGTTCTCGCAAATGAGCGCCCAATGACTGAGGCGGCCCAGAGCCGGTACTCCGATCCACCATCAAACTTGTTTAGAGTATGCCACAATGGAATAACTTGAGAGGTGGAGTCCAATAGGTCTTCGGTACGTTCAACACCGACATTAAACGACCAATTGAATTCAGGGCAGAGAAGGGAGAGAACAACATCCGCAATCGCTTCTCCCATGAGAGACTGTATTGAATCACGATCTGTGAGGACTTCAAGCACCAACTTCTTTTCATTCTCCATGCTTGGTGAGCCATTTGGTGCTGATATTTCTTCGGCCAAAGCTAAAAGTCTTGGGAAGGTTTCCTGGGCATGAGGCTCCCATTCTGGCGAGCTGTATTCTCTCACCACCCCGCAAAGCCATTCGTGGAATCTTTCGGCGCTCTTCAAAGCTGCCTTGAATTGGTCTTCCTCGGTATTATCTCCCACCTTGAGGGAGAATAATTTGCGCAGAGTCACGAACGTGGTAAGGATTATTCCAGCCGTAAATCCGGGATTTGCAGCCAAATATGGCTTTCCAGCTTCAAGGAGATACCAAAAGATTCCCAGCGCATCTTCGGAACAGTGGATCTCCGCCAAACGTGGGCGAATGGAGTGAAGTAGCATCTCGAAAGGATAGTCTTGAAGAGCTATTGGTCCTGATAAAGAAACTAGGATTCTGATCTTTCGAATCACAGAGCACATGTGAAGAGATCCGAGAGCAGGGTGTATTGATTCCAGAAGAGATCGACACACAAAGGTAACAAGTGTAGGCGTCCAGATTGACTCGACCTCAAACCCTGTGCGTTTGCAAAGAAAGTCTAGTTCATCAAGAAGATAACGGGCCCGAAAGGAGGGTTGTTGGCCGGGAGGCAAAGTGCTTTCTGTTGCACACTTTTGGAGGATGGACGTCTGAATTTCGAGTGCATAGTGAAAGCTTGGCCGTTTTGAAAAAGCTCGCTCGATCTGATCATAGCGGTCAAGAGACTTGAAGAAAGTGACGATGATATTTGGAAAGTGAGATTCGACTTCTTTCATAAACCCATCAGCACCTAGTAATTTTCTCAGTAGAACCTCCACTCCTTTGGGTTGACTTCCCTGCTCTGGGGGTATGCTAATGTCCCGGGCAATGCTGTAGGCTTCTGCTTTTGAGAATGAACTCCTGATGAGGTCTTCGTGGGCTATATTCAGGTAAGCTGCGAGCTCATGAGTTTCAGACTCCTTGGCTCGCATCATCATTTGTCCAGTGATCTCCTCCTTGACATCAGCCAACATTTCTTGGAGACTTGCATATGCGAACATGCTAAACGGCATAGACATGACACTTTGCGTTTCTGTCCAGGTATAGAGGATTTGAGAGGCAAAGAGACGAAAGAGTTCTTGAGGGTTGTCTAGACCCAGCGCGTTCGAAACGGACTTCACACATTTTCGGGCATAATCCAGAGAAAGAGGGACCTGAGCTGGGGTTTCAAACATGTGATATATACTTCGGCGCAGCAAAGTATGCCATTTTGAGGCCAGTCGAGACAAAACAAAAAGACGAAGGGCAATTCCTTCAATCCAGTCAGGATCTCTGGGCAAATTTTCTAGTACGTCATCGAACATGGCATCGTGATCCTTGAAAGGAAATCGCTCGAAGAACGTTGGAATTAGTCTTGCGGCGGTGAACTTGACAACAATATCTCCTTCCTGCAATATTTGAAAAAGGCTTGTGCGCGGTGACGGAAGAAGTTGATCAGAGCCGTATGAGGGGCAAGCATTGAGCACGGCGTGTAAAAGTTCGAGCAGCAGGATATAAACTCTTGGCGAGGCTCGTTTTTTGGTCAGTAGAACCTGCAGGAACCAATCGTACAGATCCATAGCCGATTCATTGAGCGTGTCTTTCTGATTGCTTGCCCAAGATGATACAAAACCAAACATCATGTTAATACAGATGCCGTGAGAGGCCTCACAGCGTTCCATTTCATACGACTGGAGGCATTTCTCTCCAACGTGCTCGAGGACTTGCAGAAGGTCTTCTCTTTCTACCGTGGACATACCATGATAGATATTAGATAAAAACCGGGATGCGGAGAGCAGGTCTGCCTCATCCAATCCAACCAGATACTCGACCAAAGTCGACGACCCCGATTCACTAGTCTTGTCATGAAATCGATTGAGAACAGACACTTGGATAGTCAGGAGGTTTTGGAATGTAGACGCGTCCGTAAGCAATCTGCCATACTGTCGGTTCTGAGAAATAATTGTTTGATCTGCAGATGCTCCATCTTCTCGGCCCGTTATGTGATCGTCCAAATCCATAAGATCACTGGGCAAAGACTGCTCTACCTTGTTTTTCTCGCGAAAGTTCTCAAGTAGGTCTGAAAGTGGGACCATCAGTGGATGTAGAGCCTTCCAGCGAATATCGTCAACAGCGGGTAGGGATGATGGAAGGATCGGCGACAAGATTTCAAGACATGGAAGAGTAGACATTGGACCAGAAACTGCAAAGGAATCACATATGCATTTCCAGAGAAATTGGCAATTTTGAAGAATCTCTTCGCTCTGAGATCCAAGCTTTTCTGGCAGGCAAGCCAGGAAAAGGGATGTTGCGGTGCAAAACGATGTCAAGATTTGCAGGATGTCTGTAGTGAGATGAACGGATTTATCCTCAGCAATTGTCTGCCAGGCCTGGACGAAGAATTCCCCTTTTGATTTCAGTAGCTCTAGTATTACCAAGTCATCGGCATCTTGTCGGGTCGGTGGGCACAGATCCCATGAACCTTGTCTACCCCAGGGGTTGGCATTTTGAAAAGCCATGTCGACGCTGAAGAGATATCCTAGAAGCTCCCTATTTTCGTGAAACAAAAGCCATGTCCCAGCTATAGGCCCTGTTGGTCCTGGCGCTTGGTCCTGGGGTATATTACATGGTCTGCCAGTACATGCCATGAAAAGGTGGAGCAAGTTAAGTGGGCGTGCAAACATCGAAACTTGGGCAGTTTGAATCCGATCGGTAACGTTGCCTGTAGTATCACAATGAGCAAAGCATAACTATCGGAGAAGACTGCTGTGTATCTTACCAATTGTCCAAGTTTCCCTCAACCAACTACATATCTGTTTTGACGCACTTTGCACAGAGGCCAAATTCAATTGTGTTTTTCGCCGCGCTATCGAGACCCATAGGCTTAAAGAGGCGTCCGAAATTGAAGAGGGCCCATTAAGGTTCGCAGACATCAACATTGAACGTATATAATCCGTCACGACGGAATTTTCCAGCAAGTCTGCCTCGAGAATCAGGCCCATTAGATTGCAAGCCGCCCTCGAAGTGGGAAATGACGATATCACACGAGATGAAAGATCCATAACGCGCACCCACGGGCTTTTCAATACTGGTAGCTGAGCGTCAGGGCCATTGACAAGACTATTTTGAAAATCGGTTAGACAGAAATAGAATCTCGAATATTGGTATACTGACCTGGCTAGTGCCACCATAGTCCACGAAGATATAGCACTATTGTCGTCAAGAATATTCGGAACAAGCCGTTGGATTAGATCCTCTTTTTGCTCGATACTCCGCTCGTTTACAAGGAACGGAACTAGTTGCAGTGCGCAAACCCGTTGTGTGCCTGTTGCCGATACTGCATCCCGAAAAATGTCATCGATACTAGAATTGAAACGTCGCCTTTTGCTTGACTTGTCGTCTGCAACATCGTTATCGGGTGAGTGAACTTGGGGGTTTCCTGACAGCTTTGAAAGATTTGCGATGGACCAAATAACCGTCCAGTTGTGTTCCGATCGGGAACTCCCGAGACGCGGCCCGTAAACAGGCCGGTTGTTTTCCATTGGTATACTGTCCAAGGTAATATCGTCAATCTGGAGCAGATCTTTCTCCGGTCGCTTCACATACTCGGAATGCAACGTATCAATCAAGTCCTCAATTGATCGTTTGACTGTCTCGGATGGATCTTCATGAACCCCATCAAACAAAACCACCATCCAAACCATCAACGTAATCAACAATTCGTCCTTTAGTTTCATGAGTTTTGTGGGCCAAAGGCGTCGAACCACAGGAATAAGCCCTAGCGTAGATGATCTAACGAGATCGGATTGGTCAAATAACACTTTGAGGGCCACTGCATTTATGCTGCTGAATGCCAATTGTTGCGTGTTCCCTGCAATTGCGGGGCACGTTATGACAAATTCAACCAGGGCTTGCAGGATAGTCTCAGCAGCAGCCTGAACAGGAGCACTGGGGCTTACTGTCAGAAGCTGGATACATTCTACCACTTCGCCTATGGCATTGATATTGCTCGCAGACCTGGCCCTGTTTGCAGGCCCAGGTGTCGTCAGTCTGACCGGTGTTGAACGACTGTCGTTGGCATCTAGCAGGTCTTCTGGAGCAGATCTATTGCCACTTCTGATACCGAGTTGACTTCCATCACCCTCCTGGGTGTTGATGACTGCTAGGCAAAATTCGATAAGCTTTTCCCATTCCGCATCGCCCAGATGTTCACTGTGAGGCGCGTAGTGAAGTAATGAAGTCAGGCATTTGGTATAATCCACGCTAAGAACGTCCCATAGGCCTTCTCCGGGCACGGGTATGGTGTCCGTGATGTGGTCAATAATCGCGCGGACCGTCTTGGTTCTCAGGTTGCGCAGGAAGACGTCCACAGCCGTTCGAATGACAGAGGCACATGTGGATAGGCGGGAGACAGCGGGGCTTCTGGAACTGGAACTTGATCGTTGCGCTCGATTGAAAGCCGGTCTTTCCGATGCAATAAACCGAAATAAAGACTCAAAAATCTTGTGACAGGCCTTGTCGTTAAGGTCCGAGCTAGATAAAGTTCAGCCGCAAGTCAGGGTCGGGGAAACAGGCACTTGTGCGAGTTTTGGGAGAGGCTTACAGTCTTGAGCTTCCTTTGTTTTGCTGTAATATATATTTGAGGTCTTTTTTCATATGTATTCTGATCAGTATAAGCTCTTTTGTGTAAAATTCATGCATTTGAACATCAACAGACCTGTTAGACCGTCGGTGCGCTCCTTCTGCTTGTCCGAAGATAGCTGGCCAAGCACATTTTCGATCGACAATTGCCCCATCGCGAACGAGTGAGATTAGGAGGTATTTCCGGTTGTAAGAATGACAATCCGCTACCACGAGTGGTCATTCAGTCCGCCATTTTGTGATCCTGTAGTTGTCCGATCGATGTCGCGGTGTTTGTTGATCAAGTCAACTGCGGAGGGCAGAAAGAGGATCACCGCCCGGTGCAGAAAACGCAGTGTAAGCCTTAGGCGCAGAGCACAAAGTTGGCAGGTACTAGATTTCCCATTTTTAGATCAACTTGGAATATATCATATATTTATTAATTAACATTGAATTCATTAATCTGGTATGTCTTAGGCCAAATAATTAAAAATCCTCTACAATAGTTCGCATGAACCAACCAACTAATTTGAAGAGTGTCGCAACCAGTAGGAAGTTGCTTGCTACTCACCGCCCGGAATTTTGGTAACAACAATTGCTGAAGCTCAGAGAGCTGCCTCTTCCACCTCCTTCACCCCGCGCCGCCATGGCAGAGCTTCACGATAACCTGGCAGGTCTGCGTGGCCTCTATCAGGATCTTTCGGCCGTCTCGGAATCCTCCTTGACAAATATCGAGCGGCTGTGTTTTGAATTGGAGACCCATATCGAAGACTTCCGAAAACTCCTAGACAAACCCGCCAAAAACAATGCCAGTCGCCAAAAGGTTCTGACAGGTGAGTACCATCCGTTTCCCATAATCTCTTTTTGGTTGTAGTACTCTCGCTGACTCGTTACTTGAAAACATAGGGAAAATCACAGTTGCCGATGTGGAGTACTCGATCAACGGAGACTTCCAGCAAGGCGCGCTCTTGCTGGCCGATGCCCTAGACCTGGACGAACTGGAGGCTGCAGTACTGTTCCTGGCCGCCCAGGAAGACTCACAGCGTCTCGATCGACCCCCTCTGATTGCTGCGATTATGCGATTCCACGAGCGCCGACACTACATCTTAGAATGTTTACGCCTTGTCCTCCGCGAATCCTTCGAGGTGGAACACGAGTCAACCCACATAATGATGCAAGAAACTGTTTCATTCGTGCTGGATATCAAAAACGGGGCCCCCATGAACAATGCATCATTGTTCGCAAGGAAGGCCATGGACTCCATGGGAAGCATTGAGAAATGGCTGTCATTGCTTGGGGACCAACTCCAGAAGGCATCGATCGTCGGCCAAGAGGGGGATGCAGATATCATGGAAGCTATTGAATACCAGCGGCGTAGCTTGCAACAGCAGCACGAGTCGCTGAGCGCAATTCTTTTTTACCTCTTTAAATCCACCTACCTGAGCTCTGAAGATCTTCGCGTTCTTGTCAATATTTTGAAGAAGATCGATCGTTTCGACGGACTGCTGATCCATTACATGCCTGTTGCAATCGAGTCCTTTGCGCGCTATGGGACACCTGAGAACACTGGTGTATCTCGTGAGCAAGCGCGCAGCTTACACACAGCCATTACCACGGCCAAAGATGGCCAGGCGTGGAAACTACCGAATTTCCATGCCGCTATCATTTCCCTGTGGCTTGCAGTGTATAGTGGGTGGTACTATGACGACAGTCCGACTTCCCAACCAACAGGCGTCGATATCGAAGCGGAATCGAAAGGATGGCAGAAACAATTCATCACCAGTCTTGACGAAGGTGCCCTCGACTTCATGCTCGCGATTTGCTCCAATGTCAACAGCGAAGAATGGGCCGATCCAGCCCGCAGTGAGCTAGTATCACTGCTTCTTAGGGAAAGCGACATCCCCTCCCCGAATCTGATCGTTGCAGCAACTTCATGAAGGAGCTTCTGATGGAAAATTTCCAAGGGTTTGTCGAATCATGCATTGCCAACATGCCTGATGCGATCCGCAAACTTAAGACAGAGGAGGATAACCAGCGCTTAGACCAGCTTACTGCCTTGAGGGATGGTCTGACATCTAGCCTTCATCGTGGGCTGGTAGAGGCTCGTACACATTTGGAGTCTCTTCTGATGATCATCTCTTTCGCTTTCGAAAACCGAGAAGAAGCCGCCCAGGAATTTTGGAGTGACCCCGATAGCAACCTTTACGGTTTCCTTCAATGGGCTTCCAAGCGCCAGACTGTTCCTCGTGTCAGCGCCTTCTGTGAGATGCTTTGCTCCATCTCCGGCGGTGATGAGAACGCATTGGCTGCGCATAGGTTTCTGTCCGAAGAAGACAAATTCATGGGCTCTAAGTTGAAACGATCATCGAGCATGAACTGGACACAAATGTTCGCCGAGCTCAATCTATATGCCACTCGCGTCAACGAAAAGCCTTCTAGTGGTGGCAATACCCAGCAGGGTCAGCTTCGTTCCCGCAAGCCAGATCCGGTCGATATGAGCGAGCCTGAAAGTCCGGTTATGCTTACCTGCTACCTTCGCCTCATGGGACACTTGTGCAAGAACAGTGCAGCTGTCAGAGACTGGATGCTGCAGAATCAAACATTTAAAGTTATTGAAACTCTTCTGCGTCTCTGCAGTGGCCCGATACCAACCCACCTGAGGGCAACCACTTTTGCCACGCTCACAGCATTGATGGTTGAAAAGACCCCCGCTTATGGGGAATCAATGTGGATTTCTATCGACAACTGGTTATCAGCTGGCTCCTTGGCTGCGTCGGCCATGGGCAAAGTCCCTGCTGCCTCCGAAATTTCTGCGTTCAATCAGCAGCAATCTTTGCAGAAGATTGGTGAGAGTTTCGATCAAACTAACACATTTGTTCTTTTGCTCAATTCCCTTGTTGCTCCCGCCTCTACTATCGAAAAATCCTTGGCAGTGTCTTTCACCGACAATCTCGGATCAACATATCGCATGGCTGGAATCGAACCATATGTCGACTTCGTTCTAGGACATGCTATGACTCGAAAGCCCCAAGATCTCAATGAGTACCAGTCCCGTCTACTGAACTATAATTGCTTGGAATTCATTGTGGCGAGCTTAAGATCCTTCAATGAAGAATTCGTCACCGTGTTCAGTCAACCGAATCTCACCCCTCCTGGAACAACTACGGTCACCGACTATGTTCGACTTCACCCATTTTCCCGTGTTATGGAATGGCTGTTTAATGAGGATGTACTCAAAGTCTTGTTCGCGACCAGTCAGCAGGATGTTTCTGAGATTGCACGTGCATCTTCTGACTCTGTCTTGTCTTTGACTCTCCTCCGCAGTGTCGAAGTCATGAACCTGGTCGTTGATCTTCAGTCTACCTATTTCAATATCGTCAGACCTTTACTCCGATCTCACCCTACAGCCAACCGAACCAGTGTTGCAAACTCGTCGCTAGCTTCATTCGAGGATAGCGTGCTGAACAATTTGACCCTGGTTCCCGCTCTTTGTCTTTATTGTGGTACTGGGCACCAGCAACTTACGGTCACTTCAATGGCTTTGCTAGAGAAACTTACAAGCTCCCGTAAGCTGAACAAGATGTCTTCCCCGGAACTTGCAAAGTGGCAATCTTCGAACAAAATCGTCGAGGTGCTGGCTGGCGAGGTTGATGTCGACAGTGTATCTCGCTCTCTTGTTTCTATGATGGACCCCGACTCAAGAGAACTGGAGTATGGCACTGAGGCTGCTGGTTATGTCATTCGAAAAAGTTTGCTAGCGCTCCTGAATAGCTGTCTGAGCATGATCACGGACCGACCCACCGTTGCCCATCTCCTGTTGGGTTTCAGTTGCATCGGTAATATCCTGGATGTGTCTGCAGAGGGTTTGTTTGCAAATCGGATTTCTCTGCTACATTCCATCATTGGCTTCCTTCAAACTTATCCGGACACGCTCGGTGATAGCTTGATCTCCTGGACTATTCACCTCAAACGCATGGCTTTTGAGGTCTTGAAGCATCTGTGGTCTTCGAAACTTGCGAGTTATTTTACTCTGGGCGAAATGCGAGCGCACGGGTTCTTGGCCAACATGTTCGCTGGTCAGCCTATCGTTGGAATCAACACACCCTGGAATGGTCACCCGATAGTCTCAGATCAGTTCTGGCTTACTGACGCCACCTCTGCATTGGCAGAGTTCTTGCTGTATCGAAGCCACCTATTCGCATATGCTGCGACTGAGATTCGCTCGGCGGCAAAGATTGGATCGCCAACACTTCAGACAGACATCTTATCGACGTTGCTTGGATCTTCGGTTCAGGAGGATGGTCAGCCGTTTTCTCATCCTTCGGTCTTCGACCTATTTGACTTTGCCGACTTGGATATCAGCTGGAAGAGGGAGCTACCTCCGTTGCCCATGCTTGCCAAGGTTGTTACCGAAGTTTTCTCTAAACAGGAGGATGACTCGCCGGTTCTTTGCAACGTCGCCGAGTTAGAAGAGCTGATTTATGCTCATAAGTTGGACATCTTTGGCACCGTTCCACCTCGTCCTCATGAAGAGGAGCAATTCCAATTAGAGGCAGAGGACCTGAAGTTGTTTGTTCTTGCGACGAACCAAAGCCGTCAGATTCAACGCAATCACTACCTCGCCCTCCGCTCATGGACTGAACTTATCACCACAATCACCACATGTTCCATCATTGATGAGGCGAGCAGGCCGACATTTGTTCTGCATGCCATCCAATTGGTCCTTCCCAAGCTCGAGGCCGCTATTGAGGGAGATTCGTCCGAGGCCGCTGAGCTAGCGCGGTTGGCCGAGACACTGATCAGCAAGCTGACGTCCGACATGTCTGTTGATTCCGCCTCGCAGAGTGGAGACATCATTGACGAAAAACTACTCCAACTTTTCCAGGTTTCGGTCCGAGGAATTTTGGTGGCTTCGGACAATGTGGGTTTGCGAGAGGTCTTGTACAGCATTTCGGCACAGTATCTATCCCGTATTACATCGTCCGATTCAACACACGATAACCTGAGGCGTCACACCCAGCGAGTTGTCAGGACTGCCGGTCCAAGTTTTGTCGAGACTATCTGTGACGATGCATACACTGGTCAGGAAAGTTGTCGTACTGCTGCTCTTCTGCTTTTGAATTGTCTCGGGGCTCTGGATAACAAGACAGATGGTGTCCTAGCCGAACTGGTCTCCCAGTCGAACTACCTGAGTCTTTTCATGGATGCCATCAGGTCACTACCAGTCGAGTTGCGAAATGCTCAAGCAGTTGGTAGGTTTAACATCTCAAATCATTTTGTCGATTTCGTTGTTCTAATTTATTTATCAGATACCCCTGCCCTGTTAGCATACTACGAATCATTACTAGCGCTTCTCCAGCAGCTTGCTCAGTCCAAGAACGGTGCTACCTATGTTCTGAAGTCTGGCCTGTTTGATTCAGTTCGCGAATCACAACTCTTTGCCGCTGATCCCGATATTGGCATTGGTTAGTTATATGTTCCTAAGTGAAACACGAGAATAATTTGCTAACTCCCACAGACATTGACAACTCCGATGCTCTTCAAAAATACTATGACCTTCTTCTATCCGTCATCCGTGTTGTCGTGTCAGCCGCGTTTTCCCGAGGCGTCCACAACGAGCAAATCAAAGAGCAAACTCGCGTATTCATTTCGGAGAACCGGCCGTGCATGGTGGGTATCTTCAAGCGATTTGCAAAGATTGGGGGCAGCGGCAACGCCGACCATCAAGAGACCCTCTGTGAATTGGTCAAATCTTTCATGGCTCTCGTGACAGCCGCCGAATTTCTCGAGGTAAGATTCATCTACAGTCATCAATTACATGGTCTTGTAACTAACTTTTCTCTTTAGTATGAGGAACAAGAGGTGCAGCAACCCACTAGTTTCATGTCGTTCTCATGATACTGTCAAATGATCCGGCTCGCTTCTCACCGTGGATGGATCGGGGCGCTCAGGAAGGCATGACGTGTACCATATAGTGCGGAGTGGGGGGTTTCTTTCTGGTGGCTGAGCGATTTAGGAGTTACGATTCATAAATGCATTTTGACATACAACTTTCGCATTTTTTTACTGGCTTCCAAAGTTTTGGTTGCCATTAAATTTCAATTTACTCCATGGGGTCTTATCATCTCCAGGGCTCTAAGTAAGAATACCCTAGTCCTCTGTCTGAGTTCAATGCCAATGCCATCGTAGACAACTCTACTCTACTCTAGGATCCTACGAGTAGTTATACTGCAAGTATACTATGTAGAGGTGGTCGGAGCTCCATATCTTATCGCCGTGTGGAGCCAGGGCCCTTAGTCTTGCAAGGAGCAGTCAATTCCCCTCAACAACACCCAACTCCCGAGGTCCGCTTCCGCTCAAACTCTCGTGCTTGACATGTACGATACACCCCCACGACCTATCGCAGGCTAAGAGTTCCCCAAAAGAGACTGGTCGAACCGGGTAGATGCAGCAGAACTCGAGCGAGACCGACCAGAGGAGCGGTAAGCGCACATCGATCGGCAAGAGGAAGCTTCCTGAGCAAGGAGAGCAAACGCCGCCGCAGACGCAAAGGACCATCTCTCAGCTCCTCACCAATAATTCGCGCGACCATTTATCTCCGGCCACCTCTCCCTCCACGAAACGCTCACGTCTCTCTCACTCCCCCGCTCGTCCCGCATCAGGGCGCCCGGCCTCGCCGAACAAGATGTACAACTTCTCCGGCTCACCACCCAAGAATGGCGCGGCTTTTCTTCGAGCGAACCCGGGCGCGAGCAATGTCCCTCCTGTCAAGGCGCAAGCATTTACCGCGAACAACCGCCAGAATGCCTTTAGTCCTCATGGCGGGGCCAAGAAACTGGTTGTTAAGAACCTTCGGACCGGGTCTCGGGCCAACCATGAGCCTTATTTCACCAAGACATGGGCCCAGCTCAACACGGCATTAGCGGCGATCTTTGAAGGCAAGAAACCGGAGGTATCTCTGGAGGAGCTTTACAAGGGTGCGGAGAATATTTGCCGACACGAACGGGCGTCCTTGCTGGCCAAGAAGGTCCATGACAAATGCAAAGAATATGTAGCTGGGAAACTACGGGATAACTTGGTATCCAGAGCAGGTGGCGGAACTGATGTCGATACATTGCGGGCAGTGATTGAGGCATGGTCGGCATGGCATTCAAGACTCGTATGTTACCCGACCCGTGAGCCTAGGCCACACCATTTTACTGACTACTCTAGATTACTGTCCGATGGATCTTCTATTATCTTGACCAGTCATTCCTTTTACACTCCAAGGAGTTTCCGGTGATACAGGAGATGGGACATATCTTATTCCGCTCTCATATTTTTACCGATCCAAGTCTCAAGCCCAAGATCTCACAAGGCGCCTGTGACCTCATTGCGGCTGACAGGGGCACAGAAACCACCGTTCTCCCGGATCCCACCCTTCTCCGAGCTGCCGTCGAACTCTTTCACAATCTCGATGTCTACAGCAGCGAATTCGAGCCTTTGTTCATCAATGAGACAGAAAAGTTTGTCGCATCGTGGGCTCAACGGGAAGCGGGAGGCTATTTGGCCTCGTATGTTGATAATAGTCACCGTTTGATCGAACGGGAAGTGGAACGGTGTGAGCTGTTCTCTCTCAACCGAAGTACGAAGCAGAAATTGTCCGAACTACTCGACGAGATATTGGTGCTCAGGCATGAAGATATCCTCCTTGGCCAGACGGAGATACTTGGCCTTTTGCGATCGAGCAATAGAAAAGCTCTGAAACAATTATACAGTCTTCTCAGCCGAGAAGATCTTGCCAACAAGCTCAAGCCATCCTTCAGCGCATACATAATTGAAGAAGGATCAAATATTGTGTTCGATGAAGGCAAGGAGGCCGAAATGGTGACTCGTTTATTGCAATTCAAGCAAGAACTCGACGAGACCTGGATTCAGTCTTTTGGTCGAACTACTGAGTTAGGAGACACCTTACGAGAAGCCTTCGGCAAGTTCATGAATCTGGGTAAGCAGATTGATGCAACAGGTGGTACGGACAACCCGAAAACGGGAGAGATGATCGCGAAGCATGTCGATCGTTTGCTGAAGGGTGGTTGGAAATTACCATCCGGTCAACAAGGCGCAACAATGGCAGATGAAGACGCGGAGATTGATCGACAGCTTGATCAGGCACTGGACCTCTTCCGGTTTGTGCAGGGCAAGGCCGTTTTCGAGGCATTCTATAAGAATGATCTCGCCCGGCGTCTTCTTATGGGACGCAGTGCCAGTAATGAGGCTGAGAAGAGCATGCTTGTTCGGTTGAAGAAAGGTCTGTACGATCCAAAATTTCCTTTCCAAATTGAACTAACAATGTTATCCTTTTTTTTTTAGAATGTGGACCTAATTTTACGCACAACCTTGAGTCCATGTTTAAAGATATGGAGGTGGCGCGTGATGAAATGGCCGCTTACAAGAATCTTCAACGAGAGCTTCCTCGCAAAGATCGCGCCCCCATCGATCTGGATGTTAGTGTACTGTCAGCTGCCTCGTGGCCGACATACTCCGATGTCCCAGTCCGGATCCCGCCCAGTGTTGCGACATCCATCACCAACTTCGAGAGCTTTTATCACAATAAGCACACAGGTCGCAAGTTGACCTGGAAGCACCAGCTTGCTCACTGTCAATTACGGGCTCATTTCCCCAAAGGAGTGAAGGAACTGGTAGTCAGCTCATTCCAAGCGATCGTACTGATCTTGTTCAATGACGTCACCGACGGTGAAACATTGAACTATGCAGCCATCCAGGAAGCGACTGGACTTTGTAAGTGGAGATTGGTTTAGAAGGTCACGAATCCAACTAACATGATCCGCAGCGGACCCGGAACTAAAGCGAACACTACAATCACTTGCTTGTGCCAAATATCGCGTCCTTGTCAAGAATCCGAAGGGCAAGGATGTGAACAAGACGGATGAGTTCTCATACAACACAGGATTCAGCGACCCCAAGATGCGGATCAAGATCAACCAAATCCAACTCAAGGAAACCAAGGAGGAGAACAAATCCACGCACGAGCGCGTAGCGGCGGATCGACACTTCGAGACTCAGGCCGCCATTGTGCGGATTATGAAGAGCCGCAAGACGATCAAGCATCAAGAATTGATTGTGGAGGTTACGGAGGCTACCCGCAGCCGGGGCATGCTACAACCGGCTGAGATCAAAACCAACATTGAGAAGTACGTTATTACTCCCCTGTTCTGATATTCCTTGTGGACATACTTACTAACTATGATCAGGTTGATCGAGAAGGACTACATTGAACGAAGCGATAACAACACCTACGCCTATGTCGCATAGAGAAAGTCGGAATGTTAAGCCACAAGCAGCCCACCGGAACACGAAATGTGTGGGGCCACGCCTTTCAAATGGAGGATCTGTTCAATTGACCTTATAGTGGGATGCTCAAGGACCTCGGATCCCTGGGGGAGAAGAGTAATTTGTGGCGTGTGGGAGTACACACCAGACAGTCGCAGTCTTTTCACGATGTCCGATGGATAATGATGGCGTTTCATGGCCATCCAACCTCTTTAGTATTTTAAATGATATTCCCTTTTCATGATCTTGTGACCTGTTGTTTTCCGGACCCAACAAGTGTAAAGTCGGAGTAGCTCCGATCCGCCGAGTCGCAAAGATCCAGACTCGGTCGTTGCCGATAGATATCCCCGGCCACTCGCCGACCCCATCAATTGGAGCCCTGAAGTGTTCCGACCGCGGTAGAAGGGATTCTAGAAAGATCGCAGAAGGACGTGCGTAATGAGGGTAGTACAATGCAAGAGGGATTCAGTATGGTGATCCCCCGCCAAAATTGCCAAGCCGTGCGTAGTACGGAGTACTTTTGTGATGGAATGATTCAATTCAAATTAACTACGGAGGACAATGAAGTATCAAAGAAATTAATGTTGAGCAAATTCTCGTACTATGCTCTATCAATTGAATCGAATATTTCCAGAACAAAAAAAAAAAAAAAAAGAAAAAGCTGTAGGGAAATAGAGTACTGGTCGGTGCGTGGACCTTTCGGGGGGGAAGCTTCTCTCGGGAGAGCAGCAGCTCAACGGCCAACCATTGCAAGGATTGCAAGCACTGGGAGGACTACGAGTACTGAGTACTCGGGCGAGACTTACAGTAGATTACAGTAGAAGCTGCAAGCGGGTGGCAGCGGTGAGTCTCGGACGACAAGTTGCCACCAGAACTTAGGGTACCTGGCGTGGATGGCGGGATGTCCGCACAGGGTAATCCGAGATGTCCGAGCCAGACCGGCATGTGGATGGATGTGGATGAAGAGGTGGATGTGGATGCAGTCATCGTGGCCGATCTGCTTGTCCATGTGAGCAAATAGTAAAAAAGAAAGAAAAGAAAAATCGGATCATTGGGGAAGCTGGGACATAAAGAGCTGGGACTACCCTCGTTGACAGCTTTGGACTTCTTTTTTTCCTTCTCTTCTTGCTTCCTCTCCATATACATCCTCCGAGTGTTGTACAGTGTAAACCATTGCACCATCCCCCATTCTCTTCCCCTCAAAATACCCAATTTCTCCTGTAAGTCTTCCACTGCTATCCCTACAGCTCGACACTTCACATTTATCTCCCCATCTGCCCCCGATCGCTCTGTGTTGGCAACTAACCATCCTGGCAGCTTCACCTGCGTCACCCCCCCACTTTTTTTCCCCCCGCTTCGCTGCCCCAAAGTCCAGCACGCCCCCATACTATTCTGTTTCCGTTCCAGCTCGTGACGAGAATAAGTTTGAGCTTTGACTTTGACTTGACACACTTTCTTGTGCCAATCGCTACAGACTCAAAAGTTGCCAGTGTGCAACCAGTACATATTTGACGGCCCCGTTGAGAACTTGAACAAGAACAAGAAAAAGCAATTCACGACCAGACGAATAACTCGAGACTTGCGAGATCCAACAAAATGCAGAGTAAGTTCAAGTTCCAAGAATGCCCGTTCCACTTAAATGTGAGGGGTTGTCCCACTACCAGTAGTAGTACTGGTGTACCTACCCAAGGTTACTCCTAGTAGCCCTGGAATACTAGTACCGCTACTATATTTTTCTCCCGCACTTCCAACTTGAATGCAGCGGACTGACCGTCTTTCTAGCCAAGCACTTCTTTACCGACCCAAACCACCTGGTTTTGACCGCATTGAACTCCCTGACCCTCACCAACCCGTCCCTTGCATTGGATGTTGAGAACAAGATTGTCTTCCGCCGCCGGATGCGCCCCGAAAGCCAAACAAGGTTTCCATCGTCACTGGTGGTGGTTCCGGCCATGAACCCGCCTTTGCTGGCTTTGTCGGCCAGGGTCTCTGTGATGCTGCCGTAGCCGGTACTATCTTTGCTTCTCCTTCCGCAGAGCAGATCCGCAGAACTGCCATTGATCGCGTCCCTACTGACCAAGGCGTGCTGATCATCCCCAACAACTACACTGGTGATGTCCTCAACTTTGGTATGGCCACTGAGAAGTCGCGGGCGGCCGGTATTAAGACTGAGTTCTTCGCCATGGCCGATGATGTCGGTGTTGGCCGAACTAAGAGTGGTAAGGTTGGTCGTCGTGGTATTGGCGGTGGTATCCTGATCTTGAAGTTGGCCGGTGCTTTGGCCGAAGCTGGGTAAGTCACTCCCAATTGCTGATAGAATGCAAATGCCAACATGCTTTATAGTGGCAATCTGGACCAAGTCTACCGTCTTGTCCAGCAGACCAACGACAACCTCGTGTCCATTGGTTCCTCTCTGCAGCATGTCCACGTCCCTGGCCGCGGTGTCCCCGAGGATTCCATCGCCAGCGACGAAGTCGAAGTCGGCATGGGTATTCACAACGAGCCCGGATCTCACCGTACCAAGTTCGAGTTGGTTGGACTGGTCACAACCATGCTTCGCCAGCTGCTCGACCCTAACGACTCAGACCGCGCATACATCAAATACACCCCCAAGGACAAGTTTGTCCTGTTGATTAACAACTTGGGTGGTGTCAGCCCTATTGAGCTGTCTGGTATTCTTGATGAGGTCCACCGCCAGCTTACTGGCAGCTACAACATCAAGCCTGTCCGTGTCATCCAGGGCTCCTTCCTAACAAGTCTTAACGGACTGGGTTTCAGTATTTCGCTGCTCAAGCTCGAAGACACTGGCCTCGGCGCCGGAAAATCGATGCTCGAGCTCTTGGATGCTCCCGCTGAGGCCACAGGATGGTCCAACCCAATCCCTACCCCTACTTGGGAGAATCGCAACGACAGCCCAGTGCAGCTGAAGAACTCCAACTTGGGCCATCAGAACCCCAGCAACCTGAAGCGTAAGCAATAACCCCAACTCCCTCCCCACCGTCTCACAATGAACAATCAGCTAACTCTAATACCAGTGGACCCCGCTGTCGTAAAGAAGGTCCTCGGTGCCGGTCTGAAGCGCGTCATCGCCGCCGAGCCTGAGGTCACCCGCTTCGACACAATCGTTGGCGACGGCGACTGCGGTATCGGCCTGAAGCGAGGCGCCGAAGCCATCCAGAAACTCCTCGACACCGCCCCGCTGACCGACGACATCGTCAACACGGTCAACCAGATCGTCAACGTCGTCGAAAACGTCATGGACGGTACCTCTGGTGCAATCTACGCCATTTTCCTGAATGCCTTAGCCCATGGCCTCCGCGACCAGGACAAGGGTTCCGCACTCCCGGCCTCAACCGAAGTCTGGGCCAAGGCTCTGAAGCACTCCGTCAACGCGCTGGCCAAGTACACCCCCGCCAAACCGGGTGACCGAACTCTCATCGACTCCCTGGTGCCGTTCTGCGATACTCTCTTCCAGTCCAAGGATATCCGTGGTGCGGCTGCTGCGGCTCAGAAGGGTACCGAGTCTACTAAGAGCATGAAAGCTAGTCTGGGTCGCTCGGTGTATGTTGGTGGCGAGGAGGAATGGGTTGGCAAGGTGCCTGATCCTGGTGCCTATGGTCTCAGTGAGTTCTTGTCTGGACTTGCGGACTCGGCTTAGATGCCTTTCTCCTCGTATAAATAGCCATATACCTGATTCCTCGGCCCTCTGTGGGATCTTGTTCTAATATAATTTCATGACGGTGATGACAATGAAAGCCTCCAAGGTTCTCAAGTAAATCTTACTAGTACTAGTAGGTAGTAATCTCCAAGCCTGGGGTTTGATACCCTTGGGCCCACTTCCACCAACTTGAAGCACAGGCAGGTGTCAGAGTCTGCAAACTTGAAACTTTTACAACTTGAATATATACATTAGTAGTACCTAGGTAGTAGTAGTACTGCCTGTACCGTGATTATTCCGAGTCCAACCTCGGAAGGTTCAAGTTACTAGTACTAATAGTAGTTACCTCCAGGGCTTAACCGGCATGCTGAGATGCTTTAAGCCTACCTAGGTATTCATCTCCGTATGCCGCCTAAGGTGACTATTACTAGTAGTACTAGTAGTTACTACATACTAGCACAAATTCCCCACTCTGAGGCCACAGCGGCAGAATTGCGGCTTTTCAAAACGACCCCCAGAAGCATAAAAACTCTCCAAAAGCAATCCTCCACCTGGAACTTCTCTCGACGACCGTCTGCCAGCGTTGGACCCATCATCGAAGCTGCGTTGAGGTGAGTAATAACCGGATGAGTCTGTCTGAGTTGCCACCGGAGATATTGTGTCTCATCTTCAAATCTGTAGGTTTCACACTCTGCACATGTCGACAGCAAGTGCCATGTCCTAATCACAGGAGCAAAAACAGCCAGAATCTCAGGATGATCTCAGAAGAGTATGCAGTGTATCAAAGTTTTTCTGATATACTCGCAACCCCGCTCCTATACCGGTCTGTTATTTTCCGCAGGGAGACGTCCCGTAGACGCGAGTGGTTAGAATTCCCCAACGATGAAGATGTTGCGGATCAAGATGAAGTAGATGGTCTTTCATTTGGTATTTTCTATCGGCTGCTCGATGATAGAAATGAGGTACTGAGGGAATTTGTACGCCGAATCACAGTGGAAGACCCCCCTCGCCCATTTGGCAAAAAGCTTGCTCGTCACAAACTAAAGGGTCCTCATAACCTCCTGGCTGAGCTGGTGAAGAAACTGCCAAACCTTGAACCTATGTAGTAAGTAAGCCAATTATTCCAGGCACGCCGCGCCGATTTTCAGGCAAATGACCTAATCTCCGTATTCAGCTTCAAAGGGTCATGGTCTCTTCCTATGTCAAAGGAATTTGTGGAGGTATTTCTCAATCACAAGAGATCTCCGAAGCTATTCCTGCATGGAGAACGTGGACACACGCCAACAAGTATTACTATGCCATTTGTACAAGAAATTTGTACCTCAGTTGACGCTAGAGCTTTTACACCCAGAGAAGGTCGGGCCGGATTGAATCTTGACGACCCAGATGCCGAACCCTTCGAGCCGCAAAGACTCGACCTGCACGAGCTCTTTTCTGCTTACCCAAACATTGAAAGCCTGTCGGTATCTATCAATCGACTGCGATTGGGGTGTATAGTGGGCTTGGCTCCTTCTACACGGGTATCTGGGCTACCCCCAGAGACCACGTTCCCGCCGCTGCGAAGCCTTCCAATGAGCGGCTACAATATAGCCCAGGATGAAGAAGACCAGCCCCTTTGGGCTGAAAAGTTCCCCTGGCATAAGTTACGATCACTCACTCTCGGTCGCCAATTAAACCCGGGATTTTTGAAAGCGGCTACTGGCAAAGTAGACCATTTGAAACAGTTCGAGATCACTGGCTACGAGGAGCTCAGCTCCCTTGACGCGTTCTTGTCGTCCTTCAATACTCTGGAAAGTCTCACTGTTAAAGAACCGGTTCCGTCCGTGATTGCTATGGCTCATCATTCCGACTGGGGAGCACCTTTGTCTTCACGCAATTGAGAAGTGTGATGAAGAAAGGGAATCCCTAAATGCAAAAGAAATCAAAGCTTTGGACCGGCAACACCCTCACCTCAAGAGCCTGGAGCTCGATATAGACCCACATGGCAAACGGGTAAGCTGTGCGCAGGATGTAAAGTTATTTCGAGTCATTGAAGCTAATCAGTTATTTTTCAGCCCGACGATATAGTCAAGGCTATAGCAACGAGTTTCAAGGATCTTCGACAGCTATCCATTCATGTCGGACTGAGACTCTCGCACCTGATAAAGATATGTAATGCTGGCAGAAAATTGAATGATGGACTCGGTGTTAGGAACACGGAGCCTTTCAAGTCCGTATTGACGGATGAAAAAGCACAGGCGTTCGCAAAGCAATTTTTTGAAAGCAGAGGTCCGTCAAGCTTGAAGAAAATCACGCTACAGACAGGCGAAAATCAGCGCAGGTCTCCGTAAAGGCAGTCTTGGTACTCCGATGTGGAAAAATGCCATGCTAAGATATTTGAAGCCTATCCACCCCTGCGCCAGGGTGGCGAGCCATGTCTCGAGGAACTAATGAGTAATTACGCCCGTTTCAGGAAGCGGATATCTATGCGCTCGAATCCTTGGAGGAAAAGCGTCCACTGCTCATCAGGGCTCCCCGAGTCCTCCAGGCTTCGGGGTTTCCAAGCGTCATCTAGTCATGTGTAAATAGATCGCCCTATATAGCTGCGAGTAATAATTTGACAAAATCAAATCAGAGCACTCGCATCAGACTCAGTGGAGGTTTCAGTAATACGGCAGCATACATGACTAGAATCTGAGTAATTCCGAGGCGAGGAAGAATTCAAAAGACGATCTCTATGATCTTTCCATAATCCATTGCTAACCACCTCTGCTCCAAGCTAAGACGCCACCCGACACAACAGCCCAAGAACAGGTAAAAGAATCCAAACCAATGAACGCCGGAGTTTTCTCTTGATCACTCATGCATTTTCATGGAGGTGCCTGCGGACCGAGACGTGAAAAGCAGAGCGAAAAAAATGCCTCAATCAAAGTTACATACGAGCGTCACCTCATGGGACAAATATGCTGGTTTGTGCGAGCTGCCTAGCGGTGACGAGCAGAGAAGCAAGGGCGAGAGGGAGAAAAAAAGATTCGTAGGGTTAAAGTAAAATAGAGGGTATCGAGATCGATTACATGATTGGGGTCCTTTTTTTTCTTCCGCAGGGCACAGACTTTTTTTGGATGGTGCGATGCAAGTAGGAGATCTTCAACCGCCCCGCAGATCCGATTTAATAGAGAGGGATATGCGACGAGGAGGGGTGGGACAGGTGCGCATAATAGGCGATGAGATAAAGCACTCAGCTGAGCAGAACCAGGATGACGGAATCACCACGCAGGAACCTAGAAGAGTATTAACAGGATGTAAGAACAATTGTTGAGACTGCCATAGAAGCAGATTGCGACAACAAATTGCAAGTGGAGAGCTTTCTGGAGGTCCATTGGGGCAAATCACTCACATCTTGCTGACGAAACGGTCCTTGTTCACACCCTTGCTCTTGCTGCCCTTGGGCTTCTCAGTCCACATCTCCTTCACGTTCTCGAGAACCATGTTGCAGTGTCGGTCAAAGGCCTTAACACGGGCCAAGAGCTTGCGGTTGTTGCGGCAGGAGATCAGGACCTGGGTGTGTGTGCGGGTGGCGGTCTGCAGGAGAGAGAGCGGGCCGGCGGTGAGCTCGTGCTCTTCGACGAGGGCAACCTCATATTCGCTGTTGAGATGCGCGATGCACGATTAGTTTTCTGTATGTTTCACGCATGCATCGGAATGTGGCAGGGGAGAGGGTCCGGGTCTTTCTAGGGCTTGAAGATTCAAACCCCGCACTTGTCGGACTAGGCAGAAACCAAGGGGAAGGGAAGAGAGAAAAGTGTCGTGGAATTGATAGTCATCACTTTGGAGAGACCGGGATGGATGGAACGTACGTGAGCTCGCTCTTCGGCTTGTTGAGCAGATCTCTGTAGGAGTTTGGTTAGCCAATGAAAAAGCGGGGGTGAGTCATCGAAAACGAACTGAATCTTGGGGTCCGGAGCTGTCGACATGGTGTGTAGGGATGGGGGATATAAAAGGGCCTAGAGGTCTCGCTGGTGGTCGATGATTCCCGCGACTTGAGGTTTGATGTCACGTGAGAGTAGACAGCCACGACTGTTGCTGCCTTGCTGCCTTGCTGCCTGAGTGCCTTACTGCCCAGTGGATCAGGCCATTCACCCAGGGAACTACTAGCAGAACTACTAGCGTGTAAGCCACACGCGATTGGTTGTCACGTCGCGTACACGCTTGTTTGCGAGATCGTCGGATAGCTTCAACCGCGCATGCAAGGCTTCTCATTTAAACCTCCCCCCCCAGCCATCCTCACCCTCTGCAGGTGCTGCAGCTCCCTTTCGATTTTTCCCTTTCCTCCTTCCCCCCTTTCCTCTCAGCTACAGTAGTCACTTTTGGTAAGAGCGGTCTATTCTCATCTATCCTATTTGAGAATTCTTACCTGTCAATCACCGGCTAACATTCCAGTCCTGCAGAGACTGCTCCACTACCCTGCTGCATAACCGACCTTTTCTCCCGGACGACGAAATATTTCCCAGTATTCCACGCGGGGCATTGGCTCATTTCGACCGGTCCCTTTTCCGGATACTACCTTAAGTGCATTGATTATCGTTTATCGATTATCGATCCTATTCCTCCTCCCGGCCCTACCTCGAATCCCCACCTCCCCTGCGACGACGTGCATTGTTCCCTGTCTCCTTATACCTATCTCGGATCCCCTCTTTTCTCCCTTCCCATTTATTCCTCCGCCAACATCGTCGTCGATTCTCCAATTTTCTCGTGCATGGTGGACTACCAGAGTTTTGTGAGATGGAATCTCAGGACGGAATCACCGTCCGCCCTATGAGGCGTATGGATCCTTATTCTTACCATGGGTGCTTAGAATGAAAGCTAAAGAATAAAATCAAACAGTGAAGGTTCTCTACACATTCGACAACGACAATAAAACTAACTGTCTCGCTCGGTGGCCTCACGTGCTTGATATTCAGACTGCCTATCTGGACGAACAAACCCAGATCGGAGTGATTGAGTTGAAAACATGCATTCAGGCAATTGTGTCCGCGAGGTTCGAATTTCCTTTCTCCCCTCCATTGGATTCCAATTAAATACTTATATACAACTGTTTAGTCCCGAGTTGGTGGCTCAGCTGGGCAAGGACTACACCGTTTACGCTTATGATTACTCGGAATACGAAACCCCCCTGGTCGGTCAGGGAATGCTCTCATGGGTTCTAGCATCTGCCTCGCCAACCCCCGAAGCTCCGGCCCATCAATCGAAAACCATGGTAACGGGTCGTGTGTGCAAGAACCCCCCTCGGTCTTTTTACGAAAGGGCCGGGGTCGGCCCAGGAGACCCTGGAGGTCAAGCTACGCCTGGTCCCGGTCCCCACCGTCATGCAAAGTCAATTTGTCGACAGCATGCAAACATATCGGCAGCTCAGCAATGTTATCCCTCACGACTTCGATGCCCAATCATGGACCAACTTTATGCGTCAAAATCCGGGTCTGCTGGAGCGCTCTCGAAGTCAACAACTTGAATCTGCCTCCTCGCCGATGAACCATTCGGGCATTGAACGCTTGCATCAACTATTGAGCGATGGAGCTACCCCGCGTGAATTTTCGAACTACCCTGGCAATGAATCAACCCGCTCTATATCACCCATCCATTCTTACGGTGCCCCAAGCCGGGTATCTACTCCCGGCGGAACACGACCTTCAACACAACAACAACCATCTCAATCGAAAGGCTTCACCTCTAACGACATGATTCGCCCGTCATCGAGTGCCTCTATGCGCGATAGTGATATTCAAGCTTCCAGCTACCATCAACGAAGAGGATCTATCATGTCTGGCTACGGCAGTGGGGGAAGAGTCCTCGGATCCTCAGCCTCGAAAAAGGGCCAAGGTCTACCAAGCAAATTGGCCCGGTAAATCCGATATGAACATTGAACGGCAGCCAAGCTCCCTTCGGGTGCAAGCCAGCACAGCTGCTTCGGTCCGAATTCATCGCCCAACTCCGGTGAACCCTCTTCTGGCCGCCGAACACTCCAACGAAGAGCCTGTTCGTCCGCCTACCCCCATTTCACGCCCTGGTGACCATGCCCGACGAGCAAGGCCCTCTTCGAGCCTGCTTCGTGAGTACTCTGCTCAAAGTTCCTCTTCTTACATGTCACCCTACGCCCACAGTGATGACATGCTCACTACGGATCAAACTTCACCTGATGACTCGCGCTATCAAGGTCTCTTTGAGACATCATTCAGCATGCCATCGTCACCTCCTGTTGTGGAGTACCGCTTCCCGTCCAAGTCGAGTCCCAACCTGCCTCCAATCTCCTTGGATACTGACTCTGGGTTCATGAGTGGCGGTTTGGATGATATGATGGACGACGCAACGACACCTGTTGAGGAGGTCCAAAGGACCGAGCCGAATGCTGATGACCAGAATCAATCTCGCTCTGTCCGGCCCACTGTTCAGGCCACCTCTCCGGCCAGCACTGCTGATATTATGCCCCTGAAAATCAATGATCTGTCGTCTCAACACCCGACGAGTGCCAACGCTCGGCGGCCGCTTCCACGGACGCAGTCATGCGCTTCTTCCAGGCCTAGCTCGCGAGCTGGCGCCCAATATACTCCGAAACAACTCGCCCCAGCCCCGATATCCCAGAATGAACTGGAGCAGATGATAGCCACACTCCCTGCCAGTGACCCAGTCGGCCCTTCTCATCCCCCTCTTGTCCACGCTCAAACTTGGGCGGGACCTATGAGTGACTGCTATGCCCAGACGCCGGATGCATCAGCTCCACCTCAACCTCCCAAGAGTGGGAAAAACCGCAAAGGTGACTCGTCAAAGCAGGCCAAGAGAATCCAAACACGTCTAGAGTGTGCAGTCAGGGAAGGTCAGATGCCTCCTTACTGCGAGAACTGCGGCTCTATTGAAACGCCAACATGGCGACGGGCGTGGTCCAGGGAGTTTGATGGAGATGGGAACATCGCGAAGAGCATGATGGTTAGCGAGCATCACTTACTTTGGGAAGTAGTGGATAAGGACGACAATGATCAGGTCACGAAGTTCAAGATCTATAAGAAGACTCTTCTTGAAGAAGATAATGGCTACATCCAAGTCCTCCTCTGCAATCCATGTGGCTTGTGGCTCTTCAAGGCCAAAAGTATGCGCCCGGAGAACAAGTGGAACAAACAACCTGCCGAAAAACTTGGTGAAAAGAGAAAGCGACCCTCTAGAACACGCAAACAGAGCGGAGGCCCTCTTTCTAAACCCCGCACTCGCAGCAAGGTTGCCACAAGCGAGGTTGCCGCCTCATCTCCAGCCCCGACAGAGGGATCGTCTGTACACCCCGAGGATGGCACTACTCCTCGGGACACTACTCCTCAAGTGGAGAATGCACATGACGAAACTCATACCGAGGCTGAGGATTGTGAAGGATCTGCTAGCAAACGTCGCCGAGCGAACAGCGCCGAACCACCTCGCTCTGCTAACTCTTCGAGGGGCCGCTGGGAAGGACAGGATGCCGTCGAGGCCCTCAAGCTTGCAATTCAATCCAGCCCAGCAAGGAATATGGAATCCCGAAAAGTTCCTCTGGCAGACGATACTAAGCTTACTCCAAAGCCTGTACGCCGGGCGTTGTTTCAAGCGGGCCAGCAAGACGGCCCTTTGAGAGAGCTAGGTGCCTCATTCGTCAATAGTTGTTCTCCTCGACGCAGCCCTCGCATCGCTTCTAACTCCCACGACGATAAGCGCCAACAGCAAAAGGAGAACCAGGGACATGCCGACATTGACGATCTCTTTGAAAGTCCCTCCCTGGATTTTGACCTGCCTGTCAGCCCCACTCCCCGTCGACGCAATACATGCGTCAATGTAATGCACGAGAGACGCCATTCTTTGCCTACAAACTCTCCCACCGCCAACAGAAAAAGAGAAGCTGGCGCGGCCGCAACTGCTGCCCGACTCACTGCGGAGCGTCTTCAGCGTGTCCAGGAGGGCCCTCAGTCTAATCCTCGCCAGAGTCGCTCAGCCAATAAGAATGGTTCCACGACGCTCTCCGATGGGGATCTTCACACGGATGCCTTCAACGCTCTTGATGGCATGATGCTAGACATCTTTGACGAGGCCAACCGTGACACCCTTGATTTAGATGGAGTGAAGCTATCTGGCAACGACTGGGCGGACTGGCTCCCCTCAGACTATGTTTCCCCCACTGGATCTGAAGATGGACCCGCTCCTTCGGAAGATTTGATCAATGTTATCCTCTCTGATCCCAGCGCCATGAAGGAGAACATCCACCCATCCGATTTCAACATCTTCAACTTCGATGATACCGATATCCCTGACTCGGGCTTCTTCAGCTCCGATGCCCTTCATGGAGACGGCCCGTCCAAGGTCCAGTCTATCCATGAGAACCCCAGTGGACAGGCAAATTCTCCTAATTCCTCAACACCACTTTAACTTGCTCTTTTACTTTGATGGTTTTTCTAGCGATGGCGTTCCGGTTGGGAGGTTGATTTGATTGCATACCACGTTCGTTTTAAAACGCTTTGCATATTTGTCTAGTACTCCATTTTCCTTTGACATGTTTTGAATGATGACAGATGTTGCCTGCAGCGGACTTCGATGCCGCTCACTACGCTGGTAGTGACTTGTTGCTTAGCACCTCATACCCTTGCTTATAGATTAGGCAACCCCCAACAAATTTTATGATCAATGAAAAGAAATCAAAAAAAGACAAATTCAAACCAAATTAGCTTCAGAACCTCACCACTTTGAAACCTACGAGATACAGTAAATCACGTAGTCCCGAGGTCAGAGCGCTGTTCGGCATTCTCGCAGTCAAACGTGAGGCTCTGCCGAAGCGGGGTTGGCCACTGGCGCTTGTGAGCTGAGATGATCCAGTACCCTACCCAAAATAAGCTGGAGATTGTTCCAAAAAAGGTTCTTATCCTCTCCAAACATTTGGAAAATTCCATATAGAGATGACTCCACTCCCAGAGTTAAGCCTGGACCTATGGCTCATGATTGGCGATCTCCTGGACACAACTTCAGTGAAAAGACTTGCGCAAACGTCGAAGGCGCTATATGCAACTTGTGTGCCCATCTTATATTCGAAAGTCGATCTCAGTATCCACCATGCTGAGCCCTACGGTGAACATGATGTCCAGGGCATAATCATCCGCTGGCCAAAAGACGAGTCCATATTTGGTCGACAGAGCCTGTTCATGGACACGATATTCCATCAACCGAGCCTCGCAAAGCTTGTTCGATCCTTCGTCTGGAGTATGAGTCTGCACAGCACTTGTTCGCTACCACAATGGGCATCCTGCGGTCCATCCAATCGAGAGGAATGTGACAAGCCAGCAATTTACAACCTCGAAAATTCATATACTCTCTTCGAACACCTGGAATGTGTAACCTCGGTCGACATATTTGGAGGCTACAGTCACGCTTACCCAAGCCGCAAGATACCGTCTTTGTTTCCACAAGCTAGGTCCATTCAACTGAGCGGGCAAATGCATTATGCACTTGCAAAAGCAATACTCCATGGTTCCGATAAAGCGCCGCTCCAATCCCTGGGGATAAACTACCTCCACGAAAGAGGACATACCCGCGACGGAGAAAACATACAGGGTACCCGTAGAGGACGTCCCTGTTGCGAGATAAGTGGCCACCAAGAAGAAACATGGGACACATATGCTGGTGATCTCCCTGGGCAACTACTTCCCGGCGACATGATCGGCCTCTTCACCACAGCTCTGCAGGCTCGATGTGAGAATCTGCAGACCTTCCAACTACACACCATTGGTAGCCCCATTCACCTCCCTTTCCATACGCCACCCGGATGGCGCTGGCGCTGGCGCGAGCTTCACAGGGAGCTAGCCGCGTTCTTTAAACATGTTCACCCGCGAGAGGTCAAGCTGATATATGGGGCCCTTGGTCCTCTTCCCCGGGAGGATATCTATTCGCGCTATCGACAGCGTAGCTGTCTTGGGGGCACGGATCCTCAAATACATCAAAACGATCTGATTCCGATTTTGCTGGATGGCTGGCCGACGTTGAAAAGACTTGAAATTGAGGGTGGGCACCCTTCACAATGGTCACTTGTTCTGTCGAACGAGTTGAGATTTGATCGAAGCAGGCTTTCGAATGTAGAAACCGTAATTAATTTGGATAAGTGGGATTCCTATGGAGGGCAGCTGAGAACATGGGATCCGTTTTATAAAGGATTGGAGGATTCTTCCGGGGTTGACGGTCTTTGGTGGATTTCTAGGACGACAACCTGCAAAGCTATGAGATGATTGGTACCTACTAGGTAGGGAAATGTTCGTACTATCAGCCATGGGATAGGGCTGAGCTTGTTCAAATTTTGACAATGGGCTCGTCAAGCCTACTGAAGTATGTCTTGGTGGGTTTCACAATGGCAGGCATGGAGTTGAAGAGAGAGAGAAAAACGTCTTTTCTGCATAGAGTATCGAGGGAAAGGAAAGACTCGGATATGCTTCCGAGGTAAAGCAACGCTACTTTAATCCGTAAAAAGTCCAAACATGGGCTAAGAACTCGTGCATCTCAAATAAGATCTTGGTCGCCCATCCGGCTGAAGGGGACCTGAGTTGGTCAAACTCGTCGCACATGCATTCATTCACCATCCATAGGTATCATTCACTCGCCATCGTAGAAGATCGACTTGAAGCGGTGGGTAGCTTCAACAACCTGCTCATAGGTTCGGTAGTCTATGTGGAAGACGCGATAAACGTGAGCTAATATTCCAGATTCTAGTCTGTTGAAATCGAGGGCACTCACCAGAATCGGCAGGGTTACCCCAGTCCGTTGTTCCCAAAACGCGAACACCAAGACCCTGAAAAATAGATGCATATGTCAGCTATCAACTCAAACACTGGACGTCCCCTGGCTCTCAAGTCCATATCGCAGAGTTCCACATATCAATCCAAACATACCTGTCCGCCCTCTAAATCAGCAACCTTGCCCACAACCTCAATCATCTTCCCCATCTGCAGGTGCGAATCGGGCTTCAGGATGAGAGTGACATCGCCGTTGTTACCGCATGTGATGGTCGCGGTGTCGCCGCGGAGCGAGCTCACTGTGCCGAGAATACGGATGGTGTGAGTTGAACGCCGCCCAGCGCTGGAAGGGTGAAAGGCGTTAAGGTGGGAGGGGAGAATGCGGGGAGTTTGGAGAGACATTTTTGCGGGTGGGTGTGTACGTTCAAAAACCACTTTGCCTTCGTAGGAACTGCGGAGGAACTCTCGACGCGGTGCGCGGGACGCGCGTGGTCACGTGTACCCATCTAGAAATTATACACACTGGAATTTGTAGTAGGCCTGTGTAAGGGGTTATTCTGTTGGAGATACTATTTTAAGATTTAAATGCTCGGATCTTTTATGTTTCAATTTTCAATTTTGCTTTAGAAAAAACAGGGTAAGGCGTTTCAGCAACGCTGCTTTGCAGCTTCAAATTGTAGAAAGATCTCGGCTTGACAGGCGGGAACACAAGGTCATGAGGATCTCTCGTACAAAGTGTTCATAATAATACGCTAAATTATCAGGGATGAAGTTGAAAATCAGCAGCCTTTTAAGCCGCTAAAAGACCGAATAGATCAAAATCCTCCTTTGAGAACCTAATGCGATTTGTCGTTATAGTATCCCATCACGTGACTATCAATTTCAATCCGAAGCTCTGCTTCCTACGCCGGTTCAAGCCAGCAACTCTGAACCTTACGACACAAGAACAGTCTGGCTAGAAATTCCAATGGATATCTGGCTTCTATAATACGACCACACTATTGCGACACTCGGCCTCTCCTCGCACCTCGTTTCACCCCCATATCTCAATCATGCCTCCTCCGCTTCCATCCCACCACCGCGGGATGACCGCGAACCCGCTTAAACCTGTCGGTCGGTATCGACCCGGAAAGGCGGTCGCCGAGGAGGAGTCATCTTCCGAAGAAGAAGAGGAGGACGATGTTGAGGCGCAACAAGAAGCAGAAATAAGACGACAGGCCGAAGCGCGACTCCGACGACAGCAAGCTCCCAAGGCCAGCTCATTCCCTGCGGCGGCGGTACCCAAGCTCGAAGAACCAGAAGATGACGAAGAAGGATTCGTCACTGAGGATGAAGAGGACGATGAGCCCGCACCCACAAAAGCTCCGCAAAAAGCTGCACCAGCAGTACAACCCGACACCCCGGAAGTTTTAGCGCCTAAGATCACACCTGTAGCCAAGGCACAGGAAAGCGAAGAAGAATCAGAGGAAGAAGAGGAGAGCTCGGAGGAGGAAAGTAGCTCAGAAGATGAGGCGCCACGGAGGATGCTCATTCGACCTACATTCATTAAAAAAGACAAGAGAGGCAATGCGGCAGGACAAGATGCCGGCGCACAATCGCAACCAGCTCCCGGTGCGACAGACCCCGCAGCCGATGACGAGAAGCGCCGCGCGCAGCGTCAGGAGAAAGCAGATCAACTCGTCCGGGACCAACTCGAGAAGGAAGCCATTGCGCGCTCTGCTGGGAACCGAGCCTGGGATGACGATGAACTCGTGGAGGCCGACGAAGAGGAAGCAATTGATGATCGTGACGGCCTCGACCCAGAAGCAGAATATGCGGCATGGAAATTACGAGAATTGAAGCGCGTCAAACGTGAGCGCGAATCAATCGAAGAAGCTGAGAAGGAACGCGAAGAAATCGAGCGACGCCGCAACCTCACCGCAGAGGAGCGAGATGCCGAGGACCGCGAGTTCATAGCGAAGCAGAAGGAGGAACGAGAGGCCACGCGCGGCGAGACTGGATTCATGCAGAAATATTTCCACAAGGGTGCTTTCTTCCGCGACGATTTGGAGCGCGAGGGAATTGATCAGCAGAACGTCATGGGTCGGCGATTTGCAGACGATGTCAATCGCGAAACGCTTCCTCAGTACATGCAGATCCGTGATATGACCAAGCTTGGAAAGAAAGGTCGTACTCGTTACCGTGATCTCAAGTCTGAGGATACAGGTAACTTTGGCGAGGGTTACCAGAATCGACGACGAGATAATGCTCCGCCGATTGGCATTACAGACGAGCGATTCATGCCTGATCAGGGCGATTCCCGCGGGCCTCAGGGACCGACAGGAGCCAATGCCAGTGCGGTCCGCTCGAGGCGCATGTCCAGATCTAGATCACGCTCGCCGCGACGAGATCGGTCCAGGGAGCGGCGGAAACGCAGCCCTTCGCCATATGAAGATCGGGACAAGCGCCGGCGCGTGGAGAGTTCTTCATGATCAGTTTTATGACTGGAGTGAAGAATCCTTCCTCCCTAATTCTCTCTTTTTTGGCGTTTTGGCAGAACCTACGATAAAAGTTGCATGGGCGGTGGCCTCGTTTGTGATATACTAGCAATTTGAGCAAAACATACTCTACTTACCCATGTCTGGACTGGGTACAGAAATATGATGTTCCCTCGCCGGGAGGGCCTGTATTGTTGGTATGGTAGTGCATCGGCCTAGTGCCAATGAAGACTTTGTACATTAAATTCCACAGGTGACATCTAGGGCTAGCCTTCTTCAATCGGGTGTCGCCCTTCTATGCATGCATAACTTCGTCAAGCAACCACATCTGGCATCTAGTAGAGCCATATCCCCTCAACACAGGCAACGTGTAGGCATCGCCAAGCAGACTCTGTGCCGTTTCGACCCAGTGGCAAAACAGCAGAGTGACCTTGGTCTTGGCCGGTCATACCCGTGTGAAAGGAGCATTTCAATAGCAGCGTTAAGTCGCTTATTTGATACCAGCGCGCTCAAGCACCTTCTCCCTTTCCATCACGCTATCGCCAAAACGTAGCAAGAAAACCGTGCGGCTAGGCCACATCTCCGTAGGTTGGTTATGAGCCGAAACCTTGGCCTCGAAGCCGCACCCATCGCAGACCCCCTCAATGACACCGGCAATGTATGCCGCGCAGTTGAGCATGTTCATCTCACGTGGAACACTGATATAAGTATTGACTAGGGGGGTCGTTATCGGTGATCATGTATTCATTGGGAGTATCTGGTGACACGGAATGTTCGAGGGCATCGGCGGAGCGCTGGAAGAGGAGTCTCCATAGTGGGCCGTGGATGAGATGGAGGAGGGGGAGGATCCGGAGAGGACGGTTTGGTGGGGATGATGATGTCGATGAGCTGGAGAGAGCAGAGGAGGAGGTAGAGGTAGATCGATAAAATAGAAGGTCGAGAAGGCGAAGACCAAGAGGGTATCCTTGTTCATTTAATCTGGGCTTGTCAGTGTTCATGAACTTGTAAATGAAGGTACTAATCAGAGCATCGCTGTGAACGAGCGTGGGCACAATACTCCAGTGAACCTGCAGACTGTGTTCTGATTGACCAAAATTGCCAGATCGACGTACCTTTTTTCCAAGTCTTGGATACCTGTTACCCTTCGCTGGGCATATGTGACCATCTCTGCGAAAAGGTAGGCGAAGCTCGCCCGGCTGAGCTCTGCATTGCGGCTGCGGTTGAGATGCCTGTCATAGATGGTTTTGCGGTTGGAAGGCACACGAAGACCCGAGGCCTGCTGTGGAGTTGAAGGTGGCTGCGGAGTTTGTGGTTTATCGCTTGAAGCGGACTGGGGGGTGCCGGCGTTGCTGTTGCTGATGGAGAGCATGGAGACGTGCCTGGGCGGTGCCGCCATGATGTGGAGGAAATGCGACGAGCGCGATCTCCAGACGGGAGTAGATGTCGGTAACGAGGATCGAGGTAGTAGCTGCGGGAGGTGTGGCTGGTCCAGATCAAGGGTTATGATATTTGGTCAACATAGACCAGGGGAGTGTCGGAGGTTCGACGTGGATGCGATCTACGGTGGAGCACATCGCCCTCGGGTGCAGACCCAAAGGGGAATTTTCGTCGAACAAGTTCAGGTCCAGGCTCAGCATCATGCTTAAATTTATTTGGTTTACGATATTTACAAATGAGACAAGAGGTAAATTCATGGGCTTCCAAGAAAATGTAATTCATTTGGTCTATAAAATGTTGGCGTGACTGACAACCACGCACTTCCTCCCACAAATGCGTTCCAGAGCCAATGAAGATTTTCACCAGCAAAGCAAGCACAGATGGAGATGAGCAGCGGTAGTGACAGTGGCCAGGTGAATTTGATCTAATCCAGGCCGAAGGGTGCATTGCACACGAGTATGTGAGAGAGAATCCTATTCTGAAGAACCAGCAATGTTAGCGAGGTTCGACCCAATAGTCAAGTAGAAAAAAATCAAAAATCCGTTGACCAGCATTCAATCAGACATCCAAGGAAGATTCAGCGCCCATTGCCGTCTAACTTTAGGTTCGAGCGACGGCTAGCGTGGAAACTGCGAATGTAGGAAAAGTTTTCATCATAGAAGGGCCAAAAGGCCCAGCTGGAACGGTGTTGCAAATGCAGATGCACATGCGAATAACGAAGAGAAAGAAAGGCTGCAACTTACCAGGTTAGTTTGTTGGAGAAACAAGGCGAGTTAATTCCATGCTCAACCAGGCAGCAAGAAAGCAACATAAAGCTTCTTGTGCCCGAATGTTGAGTGGAAGAAGGTTGTGAGGAGGAAAAGAATTTTCGGGAGGGAACGGGCCCTTTTATAGGGCGGTATGTACAGCTGCCCCGGAAACCACCCACCACACCGAAACCGAGACCGAGACCCATCGGAGTGGGAAGCTTCTAGAGGTCGTTATCCACTCGAGAAAATTTGCATTCGAATTACTAGTATGTAGTAATAATAAACAATAAATAATCATTTCCGTAAAGCCTTCGTATCTCGTATGCATGGCATTGAAGCATGGTCCACCATACGAAATTTTCCTACAGCAACATTACTAGCAAAAACACCCATACGTTGGGTTCTACCGAAAATACATACGTCTTAAAGTTTGATTAAGAACTGAGCTCTGCTTATTTAGGAACTCTAACCTAGTATTCGACCCGTATGTACTCCCAGCTTAGACCATCCAGTGGTCGTTGCGAACCCAATAAAAGTAAATCAGAAAGATATCGCCCGAAAGAAAAAAAAATTGCATATCATGAAGTGGGTCCGCTACTTGAAGCTCTTCTGTTTCTGGCGCGAATTCCAGTTGAGAGTTTTCGAGATGCTATGCACCCAGTCCTCGCCTCGTCGCCCTTGGGGAAGGACATTGGCAAATGGATATCTCGAGGCTGATACTGTAACGTAGTCTCCGGGGTGCAGTTCAACCCTATAATCCTTTGTTAGCTGGCTGCCAGCTGTGACATTCACTAGATATATGCATGCAAAGAGCTCACCTCTCGCGACCATCAAAGCTGGCCCAGGAACTTGTTCGAGCATCGTAAGGCACGCCCATTCGGAGTACTATGGTATCTGGTAGGATAATGGGGCGAAAGGATAGGGTGTGCGCGCAAATGGCAGTGACGAGGATTACTGGGTTCTCTGGGTGTGATAGAGATCCGCCGGCAGCGAGATTGTAGGCTGTCGAACCTGTCGGGGTCGCAATACATATCCCGTCGGCAAGGAGGGTGGTGAAGTGCTCGTCGTCGCCAAACAATTCGATTTGGGACATGGCTAGCAATGGTTAGATACGCGGATGACTCGTCGCAGCCAGATGGGAGAGTAGAGACATACTTGGATTTGGCCCACGGTCAAGCACCACGTCGTTTAGAATCTCATACACTCGGTCAGGAGTGTGTGTCAGTGTGTCTTCTCCTTCTTCGCCGATAAGCTCCTCCACCAAATCTCGGCTTGTCAGTCCCCTGGCGTGAGGATCCTTCAATCGCGCTTTGCTTCTCATAATAGTGCACTCGAAACGTAACCGGAGACTGACGACAACACCATCCCGGAAAGCGTTCTCCAGAATATGCTGGTAATCGGCAAAGTCGAAGTTTGTCAAGAATCCTAATGAGCCGAGTGCAAAAGACAGAACCGGCGGCACAATACGCTGGAATAGCCAGCTAGTGTAAAGTACCGTTCCATCACCACCCAACGTGACGACAAAATCAAAGAGATGTGGCTGATCCTGCGCGAGCTTTGGATCCCAGAAGTTCAGCCGGCCCTTCGCTGAGGGGTTCTCCTGGATGAGCTGCAGAGTCCCAAAATCTGGGTGTGTCTCCATCCGCTTTTCCACATACACATTGTAAAGAGTGTCACGGTCCTTCGAGAGAAGCCACCTTGTTACCTTGCGCGTTAAGCTAACAAGAGATTCGTCGTATGCCTTGCTCACCACGAAGACATTCTTCACCGTAAGCTTGAGCTTAATGCTACCGAGCTTCTTTGATAGCTTGCGAACATTCCAAGCCATGTCCGACAGCTGGCGCTTAGTCAAATGTCGTGATTGAATGACCGTAGGAAATGGTTTCATATTGCCACCATCACCATCAACCATCGAGACAACATGGTCGTCGTCGAGGGCGCTCGTATCGACCGTTGGTTCCTCCTCATTGAGTGTACGGATCACGTCTTGGGCCTCCTCATCCTCCGCAGTCCCGCCCGGATGCTTGAGAGGCGATGCCCATTCCCCCGCGATCAGAGAGTGGACATAGCAGGCGGTTGTCTTATCATGCTGGTCGAAGTGGTGCCGAATTCTAGGTTTCTCCATCGTCACCAGAGAGGATTTGCGGCGGTGGCTCGAGTCGGGGTAGAAGACGACCTAGAGAGAAAGAATACAAACGTAAGGCTTAGCACGGTAAAAGTAAGCCTATGAGGTATCACATACCTCCAGCCGGTTTTGCGCATCGGGGTCATTGGCCCCTCCGTAGCTCTATCATGCATGGGTCAGTTTGTTTGCGATGCCCCGCGCGTCCGCGGCCCACGTACCTCGTCTACGGCGGGCGAGGACGACTTTCGGTCAGAGTCCATCGTTCAAAGTATGTAAGCTTTGTTTGCTTGTTGATCAGATTGTCATTTTGCGTGGCTTAGATAGTTTGCTGGTCTGGGTGTGGTGGGATGCGATGAAGGGCCATCAGCGCGGATAAAAAAGAAGTGGGCATGACGTCGAACCCCTCATCCCTCGCGACTGTCCCGCCGGGCGGCGCATTTTTGATCCCTTGAGGGCCGGGGAACTAGGCGAAATCGAATCACACTCTTAGTCGAGAGATCCTTTGAGGATTTCTTTGTTTTTAAGATTACCCACGGCTATCCTATCCTAGTTTGACCAATGAAGCTACTAGTATTAACTTCGGATAAACTCGCGCTGGAATACGAAGATCCCCCCAGAATAGAATGGGTCCTAGAGTCTAGGCCCTCTACATTTGCTTTTCTTTGCTATAACTACATGGAATTCTTCATCTCTCTCAGAGCTGCCATAACATCGACTGGGTTGGTCTTTCCGGTGACTTTTTGGATCTCGGGGTCCTGCATTTCATGTTAGTATATCGATATGCCTAGCAAAGGGGCCCGGGGGGGGGGGGGAGGTTGCTTACATTGACACGCATGAACACATTGTGAAGCTATATCTCTGTGTCAGTATTAATCAGAGGCACGCGAATGTCACTGTACATACCTTCTCGTCGCCAATGGTAAATTTGCCCTGTGTTTGCTGGTTTGCGTCGGCAAATGCCTGGAGTTTCAGGATTGGCTCAGACTTAGACACATGAACGCAGAACTTGACGTTCGCCTTGGTGTACTCATGGCCGGGCTGGAAAGGGTAAGTAAGATATTTCATAGGCGGTTCTAGGTCATGAACATACGTAGACCTTGGTGTCATCAGGTAGGGATGCCAGCGTCTCGTTCAACGCCTTGTGCATCTCCTCGGCATTTCCTTCAAAGAAACGACCGCAGCCTAAGCAAGTTAGTTTCGAGCAAACCAAACTAGCGCGACATTGAAATAAATCAACAGGAAGCATACCGCCAATGAAAAGGGTGTCACCGGTGAAGACAACGCGCTGGTCCCCATCTTGCATGAAATAGCAGATGCTATCTTGTGTGTGGCACGGTGTGTGCAGTGCTTTCACTGTAATCCGCTCTCCAATCTTAAATGTCTCTCCGTGGGCTGGGGACTGTGTGACAGACTGGCAGTTCTTGCCACCAATGACAGGCAGCTTGCCAAATTGGCTCAGCTAAGCGGTGTTAGTTGGAAGAATGTGTAGATAAATCCTGAGCATCTTACCATGTCATCGTTACCTCCGGCATGATCCCAGTGGCTAGGGATATCGGTCAGTCTGGCGTACTTCCACTCAAAACAGATGAAACGAAAAACATACTGGTGTGTATTGACGATGGCAGTTAGATCAATCTTTCCAGAGTCGATCTGGGACTTCAGCTCTGGAGCCACCCTATCGCAGAGCACGGTTAGTTTCTCATATAATTCGCATAGAGAGAGAAAGAGGCTCACTCAGGAGGGTTGGCAGGGTCAATGATAACTGAATGCTTCGTGGGCTCATCTGTCACCAGATAGGCATAGTTGTTGCCCTTCCCCGTCCCTAGATGGGAAAGAATGGTAAGCTATCGGCTATTACTCGCCGCGTAGATGTAATGCGGGTCGGACAACGAACGTACACATAGGAATCGACTGGATATGCATGTTTCTGGCTGATTGAAAGCGATATGGACGAGAAGTTATAAATCGTGCAGCTCTTGCGAAACTCATTACCAACAACGGGAAGTGCGGGGGAAAGCTCTTGGATTGAATATGATCGCGTTTCGCTCAAGCTAAACAGCGGATTACAGAGCAACGTCATACGGACCGACTTTGTCCCGAGGCTCGTCGGACTACCTTAGTAATTGCACGCGATCTGATTGGTCTACTTTAATCGTATAGAAAATCGAGCAAATAATAATTGGCGGAGAAATGCTTTTTTTGTTTTGGCCTTGGCTGCCTGCAGCAAGGTGATAATAACCCTACGGTCAATTACATTAGATAACACTAGTTGATTGAAGATATCCCGAAAGGCCGACTGTCCCACTTTTGAAGGGGCTCCCATCCATGCCCGCTGAGCTTCGATGTTATGTTAGCCTCGACAGGCATGGAGCTCTTCGATGATGTTCTCTTCGACTTGAAAGAGTTACCGCTTGTGATCGGAGTAGCTTTGGTAGCCTTGCCCTTCTTCTCCAGTTCCTTGCTAAGCGCCTGAGTCCAGTGGCTAGAGCACTGTTCACATACGCTTAAAACATAACTGCGCGGGAAAAATGGTCGATAAATCCCCCAGATAGACGATGTCGATATATGGTTTAGCCATGAGTAGAGTGCTTCTGCGTATGCATTCTGCGGCGATTCAATTGCGGGATCGAAGGCCAGTCTGTTTACCAGCTCTTCGGCAAAATGAGTGAAGAAAAAAGAACTGCTTTCAGTTACTTTCAAAAGGACGGGATCCCAATGCTTGAAAGCCTTATTTAAAGACTCTCCGAGTCTATGAGTGTTGTTAGCATATATTCTGGCGTGGAATTTGACCTCCTAAGCGCGGTCTTGGGCACAGAACTTACTGTCGTTCAGAATCAATCAACACTGACTCTTCCAACAGAACAGCAGGCAGCAATTTCAACCCTTCATCTGACGCAGCGCATCTCGAAATGAGTTGGGTTGCAAGTTCATCATCCTCATCCCGCTTCCGCTTCTTTTGCGATTGCTCCGATCCAGTTGAAAATTTCCGCAGGATATCACCCAGGGTAGACCTGATGGAAGCAGTATCGTTGCGTTCAATCATTGGCACATCCCCCAGCTCTTCAATTCCGGCCCAGTAGTTGTCCCAAAGCCATTCGAGGGACCGCTGTGAGGCCTTACGCAGCACAACTAACGAGGGGGGTTCACGGTGAGTTGCCTCATGGCGTAATTCCACAAATGAGGCAGGCAACCCCAGGTCAACAGCACGTTGAAACATGGTCTTGCGCGGGCCCTGGACTTTTGAGTCCACAAGGCCGGTCACAAATCTATGATGTACTTAGTATTTATTGAATAGAAAGGGAAAATAGATAAATGCGAGGTAGCATACCGACAAAAGGCCGCCGAGTAAGTGGCTCGAATAGAAAAAATCGAGTTGTGCTGGGCATCGTCGTGAAGAATCGCGTCTGTCAGCAGCGCAGTTGCTTCAACATGATGCGGGACATTGCCGCGCAGCTTCCATGCCTCAACCTAAACAAAATAGTCAGCACAAATCAAAGAAAGAAAAGTACTCTATATGGCATGATTCACATACTGTGGCACAGGCGTGTGAGCGCAAGTCTGGGCCTTCATATGAAGCTGACGGGTAGAATTCGCTTCGCACGTCAAGTAACTGCGACTGATCTTTCCAAGCGGTGAATATGACCTTGGCCATTTTGACGAGCTAGTAAATTCACCAGTTGAAGTCTCACTGAATTTTTGTCGAGCTCGACATCCGATTGGAGATATCTTTTCTCAGCGAGGAAATATTTTCGGAATGAGGTTGTTCCATCGGGAATGTTTTGCCGACGCGGTCTTACTCGTCCAGCCAAGTGGAAATGCACTTCAGGTTTGGATCGCAGTATTACCCCAGGCAGGAGTCCTATATTCCAGAAAGCTGCTGAATGCAATGCACAGTGCATTTTGCTTTCATAGAGGCCCTGCCCTGTCTTTCAAATAGGACCAGCTACGAAAATACGTATCATTGAAAGCTCGGTCATTTCCGCTGCATCTACTGCATCTACTGCAAGTGTGTATCTGGATGGTACCGGCGGTACATGTGTTGAGATATCTTTTGTTCTAAATACCGGCGATACTGCAGTGCCCCCAGTCATTTCAAATTGGTCAATGAGAAAGTAAAATAACGGTGAATTCTGCAAAACTTGGTTTGGCGGGCTTGCGATCAGAGCCGCCTCAAAGTGAGATTATTTTACCGAACGGAGCTAGTCTGCAACCAATCAGCGGTCCGATCGGCTGAACTCCCCAAAAGAGTAATACTGCAACATACTGCAACTACTCGTACATACTAAATGTCTCCACATGAATATACAAAGGGGTTATTTGGTGAGGTAATTTGATTGTGTTTGTGAGACTAGCTTCTCGCTAAGGTCTCAAAAAGCAACGTGGTTAAGCCACGGCTTGTTTGCTATGCTATTCCCAGGGTATCCAACCATGCATTCTAACTCCGTCAATCCGAAAAAAAAGAAAATCAAATAAAACTCCTTGCTATGCCGCTGTCGTACCACGCAATCAAGTAAAATAATCGGGGGAAAATGCAGAAGATAAAAAAGAAAACATAATCTCAGGATGGCCTTCAAATCCATCCACCATACCCATAGTTCATGCAGGACTGGTTCAAATTCGCAAATGGCTGTGCCATGGGCATCGGCTGCTGATCAAGGTCATCGTGATCGAAGAAAAAAGATTTGTGAAGCAGGTTCAATCCAGATTTAGATGGTTGCTTGGGAATTGTCGTCTGCGGTTGTTGTGGCTGGATCATGATCGCAGGTTGCTCGGTTGGGACTTGCTGAACCTGTTGGAAGCCGTTTTCCTCATCCACATCCTGAACACTCTCGTCGTTCTCATCGTCGGATGGCGAAAATGTTTCCTCGAGTTTGAGGCCCTTGCCCAGGGATCCCGGTTGAGTTTGGGTGAGAGATCGGTCGGGTTGGTTGTAGAGACCCATGCCAACTAGCTCCTCCTCGGCTTTACCATCTTTTTTAGTTTGAGTTGAGATCGGAATATCGTCGAGTTGTTGAATTGGCAAAAAGTCCGGTGTTGAGGGCCCGCTGAGTTCACCTGGTGATGGTACACTAGCATAGCTAGGGCAAGCTGTTTCCGCAGGGGGAATGTTGGCCATCGAAAGCATATCTAAGGACCAGCCATCAGAAGTCGTTTGGGCCACGTTCGGGAAGTCAGCGTTGGTTGCAGTGACATCCCAGGCCATTTGCTCGACCTGCGAGCCAGGCATCGATAGTGCTGGAGTCGGATGAGGCATGGGCATGGCCTCTTGCATTGGATCAGAATACACGGGAAGATAGTCAGGTGAATAGGCGGGGCCGGCTGACATGGCATAGGGCATCATGTTGTCGCTACCATAGACGGGGAAAGCGTTTGTTTGATCCGAGACGCCACCCATGCCGGGGTACATCTCCGAGGAGAAATCAGGGACATATGATGAATGCGAAAGGCCACGGGCCCTGTTTGAGGATGGATGCCAGCTGATCGGACGAGAGTTCCGAGCTGCAGAGGCGAGTAAAGCAGCTTCAAGGGACGACTGATACTGGGTCGGCATCCCTTGCATGGCACTCTGGGCAACGGTTGTTCTCCTTCGGCTGACAGACGAGGGACTGTTGCCCGCACTACGAGGCTTCACGACCCTAGTGTGTCGAGGACGAGGGAAAACATGAGTCCAATCTTGCATGTTGGCGGATTGGTTAGAGACATTTTGCGGGAACCATTGCGAGCCTGGCGAAGAGGCTGGTTGTTGATAGCAGTAGTTGGCCATAGAAGGAGATGCGTGAGTTGACTGAAGCAGCTGAGCGTCAATGATATGATGCTCAGGCTGTCCAGTGAGAGGATGACCAAAGTAGTTATAAGGAAAGTTCGCTGGTTAAGAAAGAAGGACGGGATGTTGGGGGAAGGTGAATATTGTAAGGCCGTTGTCCCTGTGAAGGAACAGCAGCACGGGAGCGTGGGATAGTCACAGTGTATGTATCTAGGATTGAAGGCGGGCCGCGCCAGGGCGAGCAGATTGTATTATTATAAAGGGAATCCAGGGAGGCTGCGATCTACCACCCGCCCCAGCTCCACGATCCCACCGCACATGCTAAGATGACACGACGTTGACACTAACGAAACGAGCCTAGTCCCAGAACCAAATAAAGGGCCGGGTCCATGATGAATCAAAGTTCCACCGTTTCGGGCAGGGACCCATAGGAAGGAGACAGGGAATCTTCCGGAGGTACAGGTACAAAATGCACGGTGGGGATTTCCTATACGTCGCGCGCGTCTGCGTGGGGAAAAAAAGCAGAGTCAGAATCCAGTCACATCTCCACTGGCTTCAAGGTGGACCTTCACACGGACCCAGTCTGGGGCGACACAACTCCCGTTTTCCTCGTTTTTTTCCATTTTTTAATTTTATCGACTTTTTTTGGCTCAATATTTTTTAGTTTCCAACCCAAGAGTCAGGAACCTTGGCCCTCTTTAACCGCCCATGGAATGCTGCTTGGCCCGCGATCCGTCCCGATCGACAGCCAATACTTCCCTCCTCAGTCGCTAGGGACTGATTTTTCTTTCGTTTCACGGAGATGATCAGCCATGCAATAAGAGAATGTCAATACATACCGACGATGTGGTAGTGGTTGGCATTTATGATTTCCTTTGTTCTCTTCATGGAACATGGCGCTCCCTAGTCCAAAAATCAAAAAAAGAAAAACCCCCATCCTGTCCTGTAATGGAGTACATGCTAACTACTATACCACACCTCCGTACATGCACCGGACTCCGTTACGCAAGGGTTACAATGTGATGAGCTCCATTCAAGATCGCCTCGCACATCCTTCGTGTTCCTGCCGGGATATGGACAAGGGGCCGAGTGGAGTCACCCTAATGTCGACGAGAGAACATGACGGAGTCATGTCTCTACCAGATGCTTGGTTGTTCACGGAGCTTTTCCCAAGTGGTCTAGATTAGTACGCTAGAGTCAAGTCTTTCTCACTTGACGGAGGGGCAAAGCCACGTCCCAACTTTCCTGGTTGCTGGTTGCTGGTTGCTGGCTGGCTAGCTTTCTGACACCCTTAGTGTATTGGATTCTCCCCAATCACCACGGTTTCTCGTCTGCTTCGTCGCAGCCTACTGTAGATTATCTCACTTCCAACTTGGTTTCTTTTCTCCGGCATGCGCCCTCTTCCATCCGGAGTACATGATGCAGGAGATGCATCATCGCCACCGCGATCTTTATTATCTTTTCTTCCGATCCAGCCCCTCTCGGCTCTTGATTGGGCCAATGAGACACCTGGAACTATGCTCCGTAGGCGGGCTGCATTTAGGGATCACCATCGTCAAGTAATATAACATATACGGGACGGCGCCGTACGGCAGTCATCCTCAAGCGTCACCTGAGTTGCATGGGGCACACACAACCTGCATTACCCGAGAAGGCGTTGTACGGGCTAGTGGACCTGTTTCATTGAGGTAAAAGAGTGGAAGTCGTACCGGCACCAGCGTTCGCCCGTGTTCAACGCTGGGCGGGAAGCTCGGCAATTCCAATGAACGTGGAGTTGTTGGTCAAGGTTTTTTTTATGTATTATTTCTTTTTTTTAAGTTATCCTATTCGAGTACACCCATCTTTCCAAATCAGCCAGGGTCGAGTCCAACCAAATTACATAGCAAATCGAGAGTTTCCGACCGTGTGGCCGGGGTCTATTCCTGGGGAGGGGGATGCACATAGTGACCAGGATCTGATTTGAATGTGATCAGTCCCCTGCGCCATGATTTCTACCAAGTACGGAGTAGGAGATCATAATTCCTGATCTTCTCATTCCTGAATCCTGATTCATGGACCCAATGAATCCTGGCACTTGGGCTCCGATAGGTGCCTTGAGGGCCAATTTCCAGTTGGGATGGTCACTAACGTGGCACTAGTCAACGGGGTTAGGATCAATAGATACATACTACTCCGTACTGTACTCATACTAATTCTGGCCCGTGTGGTCTGTGAGCAACTTTTAGGAGAGAAACCCCCAACGAAAATTCTGTGGAAAAGCCCAAAAAGGAAATCCACTACTCTGGCGGTAGAGCCACCATTCACAACGTGGCCGGGCGGATCTCATCGTGTTTAGCGCTGAACTGCCAAACCAGCCCTGTTCGGGCCCGCCGGGAACCGGTTTGTTTCTGTTTAGGGCTCGCTTTTATTGATTATTCTTCATTGGGGAGAGGGTCGGGCTTTCAGGTTAGTGCTCCCAACTCTTTTGGGACTATAATGGTGCCCATACTCCCTCTATAGACGTTCTTCAGGTGGTCTCACCCATTAATGTACACCACATACACATAGTTCACCCTAGATCTCTGTCCCCCTCTGCTTGTTTTACCCCTCTGGCCTAATTGACTCCACTTCCAACGCAAACGATGTCATGGGGACAGGGATGCGGCGCTCAGGGGACCAATGCCAAAATGCAAAACACCCACCGCAAGCGATCCAAGCCCGCCTCGGAACGCATTTGCAGGGCTCCACTTCCTGCACTGCAGGGGCCACATTTACAAAGTGAAAAATTGGAGAATGCGCCCACGGTCCATTTCCAGAAGCTCAGGGGCCAATATTCCCCCTTGAGGTGGGCCCTGACACAATCCCAGCTTGCCGATCTCTGGAGTATGCCGCCTTGAGCACACCGCAGCAGGTGGTGGCCGTCAGCTTTCGGCGGCATCCTGTTAAGTGCCGAGGTGTGTACGAAGTTCGGAGTGCATGGAGCTAGGTTATTGCGCCAGTGTAAATACTCCTACATGCTACGGTAGCTACAGGCAACTAGTATAGAGAAAAAGTGGGCATGGGTCGGTATGTACGGACTACTCCGTACATACAGTAGCATACCTTGGAGAGATATTGATAACCTTGTCCTGTCCTGTACTTCCTACCTTTAGTCAGGTTCGGGCTTCTAGTTCTAGACCCTGGTGACACGAACGGTACTCTGTCTTAAGTATTAGTACTCGTACGAGATCAGAAGTACGTCGTCGTCAACTCCGTGTTGCGGTGATTGCCTTGCATTTCTTTGATCCAGCTGATCCAGGATCCACGACCAAATAGTCAAAAATTCATTATCCATGACCCCAATATCCATTGAAGGCCCGAGATTGAATAGCGGTCACTCTCCGAGACCCGATGCCAGATCGGGCTTTGATCAACTCTTTGTTGCGAGCCTCTTTTTCGCCCTCCTATCCCCACTTCCCTCTCTGACCTGTGACGCGTGCTAGTTCCTGGGCGAACTCCATTCCACTCTCACGGGCGGAGCCGATCCAGCCTTCCTTGGTCTTCCAGACGTTCTATCTGACCCTTCTGATTGCTCCGTTTGTTAGTGGGTTCTCTATCCACTTTCCCCTCGTCTCCCCTCCCTCCCCTTTACGGCGTAGCCGCAGTCGGGAACAACTGCGGGCAAATCAATTTGGCTTGCCTTAGCGGCATGTCATCAACTTCTTACGGTGTAGCACCGCCTTCGGGGACCAAGGCATGGGGGCCCTTGCGATGATGTGCTCCACGACGATATAAAACAAACTCCCAACGCGAGGCCTGTGAGGGGGGCAAAAATGTGCTCTCTTTCTCGGTTGGGTTCCTTCTAGTACTAGTATCTGATCCGGTCACTTGGTATGGCTTAGCTTGGCCCCCCTTCTTGTTGCCCAGGCGGTTGCCCTGATGACTCGGACGATCTCCTATGGAGTAGGGGTGTTGGAATCTGTAAAAGGCGTGTGGATAGATTGGACCCATTATCCTCCGAGCGTTGTCCTCCCACCCCGCCGTCGTCTCCTAAATGGATAATGGACTCAACGGTATGCAGTTGGCCCGTTGTCTCAATGTGATTTGCACAAATTAGCTGAAACCGGGCCTGCCGTTCTCCAGTAGGCTGCAACGCAGCGAGACGGCTGTGCTTCAGAATCGAACCATTGCAAGACTCTCTGTGACAGGGCGCATCGCCCAGCTGTAGAGAGGCCTTAGACCACGCATATATGTACATCCACATCTATCCCGTAAGTTTCTTTCAGATAAGGAGCTTCGACGTTTCGTCATGCATCGCAGGGCGCCTATCCGTCGGGCAGAGTCCGGCATGCAGACCAGCTTTCTCAGTCAGGAGGTCCTGACGCCTGAGGCGCGACGCCACACAAGGCCCAGGTGCGAGTGGGTCGAGGCCGATCAACATTTTTGGATCGGAGCCTGACTAGTAGAGCAGATTCAAGAGTCTCGTACGAGGCAGCGGTCAAAGACTTTTGTTGGTACGGTATATCCGCATGTATTTTCAGAAATTACGGCGTACGGAGTATTCGTAGTCAATATTCCCGACTCACCCCATCAAGAGTACCCTCTCTACTCCGTACATACGTAGAGTACCTGTTCAAAGGTGGATGTTTAAAGGATCCAACTGGACCAGGGGGTTGGGCCAATCGATGGGTCGCATTTTCACTTTCAACCTTCTTGGCCCCCAATTTACTTGCTACAAACATACTAGTCCCGCCATTCACTCTAATAAAAAGTCTGTTTCTAATATTGAATCTGTGAACCCCCGGGTTTGGGGTGTGGTCCATGCACTCTCGGATGGGACCTGGCGGTATGCTTATCCTGCTCCAATTTTCAGTTCTCCTGGCCTACGATAGGTCCAGCTGCAGGGGCCGATCCTGAACCCTCTCTGCGCCTCGTTCCTCGTTGGTAACTACTTGGTGGCACTCAGACATGCCTCCTCCACTCCAAGGGGCCGATCGGTGCAGCGGGCAAGGGTGAGTCCGCAGTGCTGCAGTGAGATGGCACACACATGCCCAGCCGCAAGGCATGGCGCCGATTATCGACCTGCGGGTGATGGGTGCTAGACAAGTGAAAGGAATTTGGGGCTTCTCATGGTCTCCATCAGCAGCCCCTAGTACTGATGGGCTAACGGAGGGGCCTATCTCTAGCGGCATTGGGTCGGTGAGTGCCTCCGTCCTGCACACACCGTGATCCGTGATCCATGTTCATTCCCCTTCTCATCCTGCGCTGACGAGCGAGGCTCGAGGCTCGAGCTTGGAACTCGAGTCAGCTGGCGAATTCGGATGCCTGGGTGTGTTTCGTCTGCTGCTTACGAGCGTTGGATATATGCTTTGCCCCCCCAGCCATGCGCCCGTCCCACTGGGGAACGGTGTACGTATGTCCGTGATCACTATTTTATCGAATCGACGTCCCCGGAGGCCCCCTCAGCGCCTCCTATGTAGGCTGTGTATCTCTATCCCACCTTGAGTGAGCACACCCAGGGGTGCATTCCGCAACGACTCACAACTCCATACGCCGTACTCGTACTCCGTGCATCCTGTGCAATGACTCCTACACTTCGTGATCGTACCCACCTGGTTAATCACTGTCAATCACGGCCGAGAGGGATCTGCATCTGCAGCAATTCAGAGTGGAAACACGCCCTCCCAAAGTCCTAACCCTCGACTCCACCGCGCATCCCTTCCCAAAATGCCCATCACAATGGGGACTCCCGTCTCGTTCCGCCATCGTGGAGGTGAAGGGACCCTCGTGCCAGTTTCCCGCGATGTGCACGGTAACCCCAGTCGCATGGCTAGCGCAGAGGTTAGCGTGCCACAGCTGGATCGTCTTATTGACTTTGGGCCCGCGAATGGAGTCCGTCAAGCCACTCCCAGCAATTGGAAACACTGGGTACTCTCGTTTAAAAACTTCCAATCTCCCATTTTCTTCGTTTGTGTAGATCGGGTGGAGTCCGTGGCCATATTATGGAGTCTATGCCTCAAGACTGGAGAGACCGCCGTATCCATATCATCTCGTTCTAACTTTTCAGCCCGTCCTGCATTGTACGTTTCGGCTTTTTCGCCTATCGACAGGGACGGAGTACCATAGCCTTGTATGTCCTTAGTGGCTTCCAGGTTCGTTACCAGTGCAAGATTGGCTGCATTGGGGAAAATAGTTGATTTTCTGGTGCAGGTCTACCGGCCGATCGCTGGGTCATGTGCTCCCCCACTGTTGGGCTCGTTCTTCCGGACTTCTCCGTGGAGTTAGAGTGAGCTGAAGACTTGCCGTTTCTAGGTATTCAAACGGTAAGGTTGTGAGAGGAAAGTCTACTCGTAATCTTTGAGCTGAAGAATTTTTCTGATGGGGCTCGGATTGGGGAGGGGGAGGGGGTCAATTCAAGTTTTTAACCCTCCAAATACGGAGCACCGTATAGTAGTAAGTTTACAGCGTAGAGGATATATTGCATACTGTACGAGTACTTTGAGCAAAATCACCAAGCCTGAAAACGATGACTGCATGTCTGGACAACAAATACTCGTTGTTATCGATCACAATTCATGTCCAGCACCCTACACCTTGATGTACATATGTATGTCCAAGCCCAATAATGCAGCAAGACCAGCAAGGATGCCAAGCCAGATATGACACGTAGAATCAGCAAATTATCCGCCCGCCATGAATGCGGTCAAGGATCTTATTTCAATAGACCTGTACGTGTTTGCCTCATCTTCGGCAGATGGGAAACTGCATCATTTTTGAGTTCCTTTCAATCCTCGATTTGCAATCATCCCGGCAAATCATGTCGGGTGCTGATCAAATGTAGCACAACATTCGCATTGACAACATCACATATGCGATGAATCAGAGGATAGTCTTGTATACTCTCCTCAGAGCTATCTTCAATGCCCCTTACGTGGTTCTGTTATGTCTTAATGTATTTACAACAGAGGATGTATCGTCTCATCGGGCATCATTCACCTGTGTTGCAGATAACTTCAGCATCCTGGGCAACACAAAGATCAGCAGCGTTACATAAATAATCTGTCAAAGCACAAGCAAATATTGAGGTTACAATAATGGAATCTGGAGCAATAAATTCAGGGAAATTGATTGGGAGGGGTGAGGCCCGAATCATCAGAGGTTTCAATCAAGACTTCTTCTAGGAACTTCAAGTTGCATGGATTGCTCGGGAAACTTGGACATCAGGTTCCAAGGTTTATTGTTGAAGGCAATGGATTTATTTGGTCTGGTCAAACAGCCGGGAATTTATTTATTAATGTACTATGTCATGCCCGAGTACATAGTATAGAGCCGAGTGGTAAATCTACAGTCATTGTGACGTCAAACTAACCAAAATCCACGAGGAGCATTAATGTCTTGTTTCTTCCGAGTATGTTTGCCTGCGAATTCACTTTGCTTCTCGGGGTACTTTCAAGTTTGCCATGATTTAACTTACTATCCCATTCCAATTATTGACTGCTACCTTTTCTCAATCGATAACCTCGAAAGTTGGAGGTCGGTCTGAACTTGAAAATATATACTACCTAGCCTAGTAGTACTAGGTGCCAAGGTGCCACCTGCTACACAACATGTCGGCATGCGCAGGAAGCTCCGGCCCAGAGCTCAGCGGTATTCCAGGCGATCCTCGAACCGTGAAAAGCAAGATACTTGAAACAGGCGCGGCAATGGTGCAGGACTTCAAACCGATACAGCAAATATGCGCCCATTTAAATGCATTCCACGTTTACGCCAACGACCCAACCCGCTGCATCGAGGCGAATCACTATTGCACACATCTCACAGAAGGTAAGCCTAGCTCCGGACAAAACTACCCAGCCGTACTACTAGTGCTAGTACAACCCGGAACGAAGGAACTAATCCAGGATTTATTCTTGCATCTAGACGTTCGTCAATGTCTGATCTACGACTCACCCAATACTAATGCCCGGCTCATTGGCGTCGAGTATATGGTCACCCCACGCATCTTTAGAACACTTCCGGAGGAGGAGCGCAAGCTATGGCACACACACGAGTTCGAGGTCAAGAGCGGGATGCTCATCATGCCCGCGCCAGTAGGCATTGCTGCCCCAGCTTGGGATGCGGCGGAGACGGCGGAGATGGAGGATATTGTTCCCATCTATGGTAAAACATATCATATGTGGCAGGTTGATCGGGGTGATGTAGTGCCAATGGGACCGCCGCAGTTGATGGGGAGTTTCACGTCCCCCGAGAGTGTGGAAAAGGCTCGGAAGGGAGGAGTAGAGGCGCTCCTGAAGGAAAGAGACGAGAGATTTGGCGTAGATCATCGACAGAAGGCGAAAAAGAGGGAGAATATTGCGGCGGTTGATAAGCATCCAGGTATGTCGCTGATTGTTGTATTATTTCATAATTCCAACTTCGCGAGCGCTCGTTCCACTAACGATGTTTTTGTTTTTGCATAGATGCCGACTCGATGTGGGCGACTGAAACAGAAAGATAAATAGAATCTTCGGTTTGGATATGGAACCAAAGTTACAAGCTGATTGGAAACATGGATAGAGAGGAAATTCGAAAACTTGAGATTGATTTGAGTCATAGCAATTATAAGTATTTAGGGGATTGTCTCCCCACTGCACATGCCTCATAGACCCAGTCCCATAGTTAAATGGGGTCGAGATGAGACAAGTTAGGGGGATGGCCTGTCATATAGACGGACCGGTCGTGTCAATCTTGCTTCGTTTTCCACACTTGCTCGTCCTGGTGCTGTATTTCGGCGACGGCAAGCTCTAGCATTGGAGAAGCGGTGGATCCCAACAGCGATAAGCTGAGAGACGGTGTATAGTTTAATTCCGAGAAACAGGGTGATGTGACCGAGTCCCCAATACCTAGGTAGACGAGATCAAGGTATCCCTGCTCGATGAATCAAGGCAACCATATGGAGAAATAGACCGAGTCAACCAAGTGTTTCACACATTAATGAAACGCCGAGACGACAGGTCATCAATCACCCAAGACGGGGACAGCATTTAAGACAGCTCTCTGCCATTGCTGTGCTCATTGTGAAGAGCGCGCAGTGACGGGGAGGAAGAGGGGTCGCGGGAAAAATCGAAATTTAAAGGGAGCCGTTACCACGTGATATGGTCTCCGCAATATCCGATAATCAATTCGGAATCGATGGGCAACACATCCAGAGCTCTGCGAAAAATCGAGGCATGTGCTTGCCGCCCACTCAATGGAGAAGCTACTTCGATATGCATTGACAGTCAAACCGGGCAGGTTTGCTCGTCTTGCGCTCAATGGCGCCGGCACGTTCTGCGCCTGCACCCTGGTCTGGGAGCACCTAGTGACCGTACAATCCAGCGAGGGACCCTCGATGTACCCGACCTTCAACCCACGCGGCGATTGGCTCCTTGTTTCACGACTGCATAGCAATGGAAAGGGAATCCAGGTCGGCGATGTTGTGCGATTCAACCACCCATCGTTTTTGGGTGTACATGCGGCAAAAAGAGTTATTGGTATGCCGGGGGATTTTGTTTGTCGTGATCAGCCACTCAGTACAGATGCTGGGAAGCAACCGGATATGATTCAGGTATGTTGCTCTTCATAACTACCGAAATATGCTTATTGGGTCAGAACTAACCGAGTTTGTTTCGAGATAGGTCCCCGAAGGACATGTATTCCTCGTTGGCGATAACCTACCCTGGTCAAGAGATTCGAGAAACTACGGCCCCGTCCCGCTGGGCCTGATCAATGGAAAAATCGTGGCTCGTGTCTGGCCACCGTCGAAGATGGAATGGGTCAAGAACACTATGCAACCGGCCGAACTGGATGGCTAGGCCTTACGCGATGGGTTGAGCATTTACATGGAGTTTGGTGTTTTGTTTTCAGAGGGAATTGGTCTGCTGTGCATATTCATACATATTCACTTGTACAATACAAATCTATACTCAAATGGCGCCTTGAAAGGAGATATAGTGAACAGGAATCAAAAATTACCTGAACGAGGAAGGGTTTCTGCGCTTGTAGGGAAGAGGCTCGACCTTCTTCCGGCGAAGCTCCAGCTCCACTCCCTTGAAACCGATTTGGTTCATCACCTCCAGAGTGGTCTCGTCGAATTGGCTGCGGAACAGGTGTGCGCCGATAGCCTTGAGGTGGTAGCGGGCCTGGATAGTGCGGAGGAGGGTGTTGTCCCGGTCAGCCTCCTTGGCCTTGACAGCCGCAAAGTCGAGGGGCTGCGCGTCCTTTTGCTCCATGATGAGGACGGAAAGGCGGTGATAAGGGCTACCCTTCTGAGCAACGGGAGGCAGCCAGGGGAGAACGACTTGGGAGTCTTCAGAAAGCTGGGCGAGATCGACCTTGGTGTTGACGGCCGAGATGGGCACGTTTACGGCAAGATAGTGCGTCTTATAGTCGAAGCTATCTGCCTCCACATTAGGGACATCGGAGTCGACAACGGCGATGGTAACGAGTTTCTCGCCACGCTCGAACATCTGAACGTCTAGTTTGGGGGCGCTCGTGCTCACGTTCGCGAGGACGTAGTCACCAGCCTGGACCTGCCGCTTGCCGAAGTAGAGCTTCGTGTCAACAACGGGGTCGCAGTGAGGAAGGACGTCGGGGATGACCTTCATTTGTGTGATACGCTGAACGAGGATCTTGCGGCGGTACTCCCGCCATTTCCGGTCGGCCAGAAAACGGTAGATGGGCTTGCTCATATCGCCTATGAGGAAGCAAATTAGCACCAATTCACTAGATTGCTCAAAATTAGAAGCCTTATCGAACGTACCTTGACCATCTTCGAATTTGCGCTTGACCAGAGGGTCATTAATATCGGCATGGATCTTAAGTTGCTCCAAATGCAATTGCATCGCGCCCAAGCGAGACTTTCGTGATTGCTCTCCTCCAGCCTCTTCGGTCGAAAGAGCCTCAACTCTCGCGATTCTTTGTCTCATCTTCTCAATTTCCTCCAGTTTCTCTGCACGATCGGCAAGCAGAACATTTCGCGCTTCTTGGAAGCATTGGTAGGGGAGCTGCTCGAAGGGAATGTTGGGGGAGCCCTGCAGCGCGGCACGTCGACGACGGGAGCCAATTGGAGTGGTACCCTGTCGCATAAGACGTCTCTCTAGGCGAGGGCTTGAGACAAGCTCAGGATCGGGGTTCTTGTGGAAAGGTTGGGTCTCTTCGGATTGAGCCTCTGCAACACCGGCTGTTGACTGGAAGCCACGTGCCTGGACCTGGAGGCCGGTCAGGCTTCTAGCGTAAGAGCTACGAAGACATTGAAGCAGCGGCCTAGATGCCCGCTCGCAATGGGCCATAGTGTGAGAGTCCTGTGGTTGGGTTGTTTGGGGGTGAGGTCGAGGGTTGGCAAGTTGTTTGACCCGGGGAACATTTTCTCGTCGCCGCCAAGACTTCTGCTAGCTGTCACCGCCTAGTCAACTTTTGCTCCTAAACTCCTCCAAAGGCTCGAGGCAACACATCAATCAGACCACACAACTCAATCACTGTCGTGGTTCTTCATAATGCCTGGCAGCGAGGCTTTCCGGGCGCTTAGGCTGCTCTCACGCACATCAGGTGGACTTTTGTCGGGATCAGAGGCCGTCACGGTATGATCATTGAATCTTCTTTTTTGTCCGCGCGATGCGGATCGCTTGAATGAACTGAATAAGTGGCAGGGATACAGCTTGCTAACCCCATACTCACAACAGCGGCGATGCCTCACTCGTTCAATGGCCACCGAGGCCCAAGCCAACGCTTTATCCACACCTGATCTCTCGAAAACTTCGCCGTTCGCTCCGTGGGACGCCCCAGTCCAAGTCATGACTTACAACTTTCCTTCTATGGAGCCCACTCGTCTCGTGGAATACTCCCAGAAACAATTACAGATGCCCATTCGGAAAGATATCCTTCACCGCGCGGTTATCTACGAGGGTGACATGACCCGGCAAGGAACGGCCAGCACGAAGTGGAGGGGAGACGTTCATGGTAGCCACCGCAAGCTCATGGCACAGAAGGGCTCTGGCCGTGCTCGTGTTGGTCACAAGCAGTCGCCAATTCGAGTGGGTGGTGGTGTTGCCCATGGTCCTCATCCTCGCGATTTTTCGACCGGGCTACCTGCTAAGCTCTACGACCAAGCTTGGCGCATTGCCCTCAGTTATCGATTTGCGCGCGGCGAATTGATTGTTATCGACAACAACATTGCCATCCCTTCTAAGTCTACACCTTTCCTGATGGAGCGTATTCTGAAGGAACATGGATGGAACACCAAGAAGGGCCGTTCAACTCTGATCACCGCGGACTTTGACGAGGAATTGTTTGATACGATGGACAAGCTGAAGAGATTCGCGACCCTGAGGGATAGCAGTGAGGTGGATGTGAAGAACCTTTTGGAGACTGAGCGGTTGATCATCGAGAAAAGGGGCGCTGGACCGGTTCTTCCAGTGGCACTCGCGGGATTTGAAGAGTAAGCCCTCCAAGGCACGTTACCTTGACCTGTGAAGGGGATGATCTAGGAGCGGACATGTGCATTTATATCTCTTTCTTTCGTTTCTGTATTCTGGCCAATATGTACAAATAGAATATGATCTACTACTACCACTTTACCACTTCTACAATTCCTAGTAGCAACACAAGACTCTTGCTAGTCCGAGTCCTTTACCGGGGAACCATGACTGTAAATAGATGAAGATCCATTGAATCGCTGGCAAATATTACAAGTAACAATATTATTGCCTGTTCATATATTTCTAATGACAATACTAAATATTACCTACTACTATACTATGCAGATACCAGTGGCTACGTTGCGGCTATCTGCGGACGCGGTCACTTTCGCGCAGGCGGAGAAGTGGCCCTCGGACCGGAGAAAATCCAGTCCAAAAAACTCCCGAGGTCGACGGTAAAGCGGAGAAACATCTGATCGTCCATTATAATCCTACCCCCTCTCCGTCGTTTCTTCGGCACCAGTCTTCTTCATGCTGCTGCGACACTCATTCTCACGATTGCCCTCGCCGCCGAGCTGGATCTCGCGGGTCTCATCGCCAGCAATGCCTCTACGCGCCAAGGTGACCAACCCTGCCTTCAGGGCAACAGCTTCGGTGAGTCGACGAAGAAGTGCCTGTAGCGATACTGCGAGAGATGCTAATTGCTGCAAGCTGTCAACCTCCCCCGAAATCCCCAAGGAACTCCCCGGCGACGAGCCTGACGATGTCCTGTTCAACTCTATCTACGGCCTCCGCAGCGTCGAGCTCAACCGACCCAAGAAGCTCAACTCCCTTAATGGCTCCATGGCCCGAAAAATCTTCCCCCGTTTGAAGGTGAGTGGGACTTTGATACGCAGGTTAGCGGGTATGCTAATGGTTGGGGATACAGGAATGGGAAAAGTCTCAAATCGCAAACATCATCCTCATCTCGGGAGCAGGATCGAAGGCGCTTTGTGCTGGCGGCGATGTTGCTGCTCTGGCACTGCAAAATGAACAGGGACCGGAGGGACAAAAGGCTTCGACAGACTTCTTCGGACTCGAATTTCGCCTCGACCACACCATTGCCACGTACTCCAAGCCGGTTATCTCATTCATGGACGGTATCACCATGGGCGGCGGTGTCGGCCTCAGCATGCACGCCCCGTTCAGAATTGCTACCGAGCGCACAGTTTTCGCCATGCCCGAGACAACTATCGGTTACTTCCCCGACGTCGGTGGTTCTTTCTTCCTTCCGCGCCTGGATGGCGAGACTGGTACCTACCTGGCTCTGACTTCTGAGCGCCTGAACGGTGTCCAGGCCCTGTACTCTGGCATTGCAACCCACTATTTGCACTCCAGTGTACTCAGCAACGTCACTCAGCGTCTGTCCGAGCTGGTTTTCCCCGACCATGTTGGTCTGCCCGAGCGACTGCAAACCGTGAACAAGACCATGGCTGAGTACTCGCTTGGTCTCCCGTCTCTGCAGGAGGAGCCAATGCTTTTGGCTGGCGAGCTGCGCAAGGCAATTGACCGTTGCTTCAGCTTCAACACCGTCGAAGAGATCTTCGCGGCCCTGGAGAACGAGACTGAGCAGAAGGACTGGGCTGAGAAGACCCTCAAGTCTCTCTCAAGCCGTTCCCCCACCTCCTTGAAGGTTACCCTCCGCCAAATGCGCCTCGGAAAAAAGTGGAGTATCTCAGAGACCTTCCAGCGTGAACACCAGGTTGCCGCCAACTTCATGCGTCACCCCGATTTCGTTGAGGGAGTCAAGGCTCGTCTAATGTCTAAGCCCCCCCGTCAAGCGGAGTGGCAACCAGCCACCCTGGCTGAAGTCTCAAATGAGACTGTTGAGTCTTTCTTCGCCATCCCCGAAGGCGAGAGCCGCCTGCAGCTGTTGAGCGAGGGTGACTACACAAGTTACCCTCACGAACAGCTTGCCCTGCCCTCCGAGAGCGAGATTGAGAAATTTGTCCGTACTCACGGTACATCAGTTTCTCAGGTCACCAGCGAGTTCGCTCAACGGTGGAACCAGAAGGAGGGTGTCCGCGAGAAGGTCTCCGAGGTCCTGACTCGCCGGACGAAGCGAACTGAGAAGGGCATTGAGTGGATTTAAAGAGCGAGAGTCTTATATTGCAGCATGTAATTTTTATTTCGATGGCGAGAGCTTTTCCACCGCCCGTATGTATTAGAATTTACCCCAATTTTCTGTTAAACCATCTTGCATTCAATCAATGGTATTTGTGCACCACATCCGATTCCAATTCATGGCCATGTGTATGGCCTATAAAGCCCCCATCGCCGAGAAGACCTAAAGTTAGCTACTACTCGTAGTACGCAGGAATGAAACATCGAAAAAAAGAAGCTTTAAAAGGGCAAGGTTGGCCTAACTAGGCTTGATCCAATGGCGTTATCAGCCCACCCGGCATCCGCACTGCCAATCTTCCCGTCCCTCCCAACACGTTCGTCTTGATCTTAACGTCCACTTCCAAGCTTTCACAATCTTCAGGGAGTATACAGTCCACAATATTCAATAACATCTAGGGCTCCAATGAGCCATCCGATATTATCATGAGGGACGAACAAAGCTCTCTATTGACCAGTCACTCGTCAATGGGCGAAGGCGAGTCCGATATTCCCCCTCCCCATACTGGCGGGAATGCGTCTCAAATAGAACTCAATGGCCCTGCACTGGAGGCTCGGTCGGTTCTGAGGCGACTTTATGTGTCCCACAGTCTTTCGGCATGGAATTCCCGAATGTTTGAGTTCGGCGCAGTCCTCTTTCTGGCTTCTATCTTTCCCGGAACTTTGCTTTATGCCTCGATCTACGCCCTCGTTAGATCGCTCGCTGCCGTTGCGCTTTCATCGTGGCTAGGTTCGAAAGTTGACAATTCGGACCGGTTGGTTGCTTTGAGACATTCGATTGGTAGGTAATGTATTCGTGTGGGTGAGGCTTAGGTTGATCTCGCTAATTGATCTCCTCAATCTAGTCTGGCAAAGGATCCCTGTTGCGGTGTCTTGTTTGTGCTTCATAGCACTATTCACAATTGCTGAATCTCGGGATTTATCCTGGATTTTATTTGTCTTTGTTAGCCTCTTGGCCTGTGTAGAGAAGTTGGCGGCGGCGGCCAATACAGTGGCCGTCGAACGAGATTGGGTACGTTCAAGGCCTTATCGACCATTGCTTCATCAAGTCGTTGCTGATGATTTAACCTTGAATAGGCTATTGTCATATCAGAAAGCATTGATGTTCCCCGACAGGGTAAGTTTTCCCCAAAATTGTCTTCGCTGCTAGGGTTTTCTAACAATACAATGACCATTGCAGACTTGAATGCTTCAATGAGACGGATTGATCTTTTTTGCAAATTGGTAGCTCCTGTTTTCATCTCCCTCGTCGACAGCTTTTCGACCCGAGTGGCTATCTGGACAGTTCTTGGGTGGAACACGGCTTCCGTATTGGTCGAATATGTGGCCATCGCTCAAGTATACCGAGCAGTTCCCAACTTGAAAAGGACCTCTGCAGCTATTCTGCAAACCGAGACTTTAGATGGAATCGCAACACAAGCCCAACATCACTCCCCACAGAATCTCATGGGCCGACTGCGGGACACCCTAGCACCATGGCAAGAATTCGCGACAAGCCGGGTATTCATGGCCTCGTTTGCCTTGAGCCTGCTGTATCTAACAGTTTTATCATTCGGCGCTACAATGGTCACCTATCTGCTCCATAGTGGATTTAGCCCGCTGGAGGTTAGCTACATGCGCATCGGTTCAGTCGCAGCAGAGCTATCTGGAACATGGATCGCACCTATTATCATGAATCGTATTGGCCCAATCCGATCCGGACTCTGGTTCTTGAATTGGCAATTTTGTTGCGTGGCTGGTGCTGCCGCAGCATTTGTGCCCTGGGATTCGAATTCCCGATTAGTTGCGGGATGTCTCGTTATTGGAGTCGCTTTTAGTCGGGTAGGACTCTGGGGCTTCGACCTATCTGTCCAGTTCCTTGTGCAAGAGGTAAGTAGTAATCGTGTCGGTATTCGAACTTCCTGTTGTTTATGCTGACTTGAAACTATAGAATGTCGAAGAGCATGCCCGAGCGCGGTTTTCGGCGACTGAGATGGCACTGCAGAACATCTTTGAGATGCTGTCTTTCGCGTCTACTATTGTGTTTTCTCGTCCGGAGCAGTTTGAATACCCGGTGATCATCAGTTCGGGAGCAGTGGCAGTGGCAGCGATCTGCTTTGCAGCCTATGTGCGCAAGGAGCGGGGACATTTGCTGCATCGATCCAAGTGTATTGGGGGAGACAAAGTGCATTATCGAGTTGTAGAATCGGCGGCATAAATCACATATTGCATCACATAGAGAAGTACTATTCGTAGATATCAAGTGCCTACACCTCCTTTTGCCATGACGCCCGCTCGACCACGTGGAGTCTGAGCGCCGTGCATATCATTGCTGCGATCGCTGTCGGATGAAGTAAACCCCATGAATCCCATGATACCTAGCTCTGGTAACCCTGGACATCGCGAATGACCATCAAATCTCACCCGTGGCGCCATCGAGCTCGTCATCCTCTCGCACCATCGCCAACCGTGGGACCGAAATTGCGGGGAAACCGGCCACCGCCGTTCCTGACACAACAACAATGCCTCTGGCCTCAACCCTGGGACTGTTCGTTCCATCATGGAGGTACCGTTCTTGGATACTCGTGCACATTCCGACCGCCTTTCTCGACTAATGCCAGCCTTTGTCGCTTCACATTCACAGGTACCGAAAGCCCGGGGAGCTGGTAGATCAGGCCCGCGCCGCCGCACCGGTTGCTTGACATGTAGAGCTCGCAAAGTGCGCTGCGACGAGGCCAAACCGAGCTGTGCAAACTGCGACCGCTTGCGTCTTCGATGTGTCTTTAAGCCCCCGATCGCATACAGCAACTCGTTGAGTTCCTCGCCCCATCGGTCTCGCAATTCGATCGTCGGCCTGCAGGGCGTTTCCTCTCAAGGCGCTCCCACCCCGGCCTGGGACCTGCGTCTGCAGCGGCAGCAATAGCGGCAGCATCAAATGTTTCACAAAGATCACCAGACCTGAATTTCTTCAACACCGTGTTGCGCTCGGATGATCACCATCGAACAATCCCTGCGATGGCAGCCCCCACCGATATCGAACCATACCCTGCTGCACAGCTGGGAGGACCTTTCGACATGCTTGGATTTATGGGAGGAATCACATCGGAGCTGGAGCAGAAACACCTCGATTTGACGAGTGGCCTAGAGGCGTTCACTGGGAGCCCCTCGCAGGCAATGACCGCTGAGTTCGCGATGAACGGAGCAGAAGAAGGTCAATTTGAAACCGAACAACGATCGTCGTTCAGTCCCGACGGCTCCTCCCCCTCGACGGACGGAGTTTCGATTGGAGATGTATCCGACGCTGCGACGACACGGCGTAGCTGGTCCGATCCGGGCACCACTTCGTATGAAGACCAGCTACTTCAACACTTCTTGTCTATTGATCCACCAGCCGTCATCTTCGGTCCGATCAATATGGAGTGGAAATATGTACGCCCGTCTGTGCTGGATCATGCCCGGGACTTTAGCCCCCTTCTGAATGCGATATACTGCTATTCAGATGTCCATAAAGCTGTCACGGAAGGCAAACAATGGCGCTGGGCGCCGACGTATTTCCGAGTAGCCAGCTCGGAGATCCATGCATCTTTATTGGGAGATGTGTCCGAAGCAACCTTGCTCAAGGTGTTCGCGGCAGTGTTTTTCTTGATGCTATCTGAGGTTTGTGTTCTCGGTGATGGGGGGTGTTCAATTCTTGAAGAGGATACTAACATCCGACCAGTTGTTCTCATCTCCCGACATTTGTGCAGCGGGTACTTCTTATCTTCATTCTTCATATCTTATTCTGCAACGATTTAGTGATCGCACCCGAGAATGGACTGGACTCGGACGCCTCCTGGTCTCGTGGGTTTCACTTCTCGATGTCAAATCCCTCATTGCTGGCCGTGACGGTGACTTATTGACCGAGATGGGAAATCTTCCGGAGGATAGACCGAAAAGCAAGCCACTGGAAGTACAGAGCACGTCAGATCCCCGCATCATCGAGTCGCCTGAAGAGCGCAAAGAAGAAGAAATGAAAGATGACCTCTTCCACAGCCCTAGCTACCTGGTCTATCAGGCGATTGTGGGTCCGGCATTTGAGTTCTTCGTACAGGCACAGCAAGTTGTTCGACGTATCATCTGCATTGATTTACATCACCGCAGTCGTGGAACACTGAGCGACGAATTCGAGGTGTTACAGATCGCCCACAAAGTTGGCGCCGACCTCGAGACCCTTTGGCACCGCAGACCCTCCGTGATCGACGTGTACGGGCAACCGGAAGCCTTGCATGATACACTCTGTGCCCCAGTTGCTCTTGAAGTCTGCCGTACTTTCAGACAATATGTGGCAAACTTTTTAGCAAACTTCATCTACCTCCACCGAGTCGCCTTTGCAATATATCCTCGGACAGACCGTGTCAACGGTGCTGTCGACAAGATTATCCAGCTAGCTACGATCGAGTCTGCAGGATCTTTACCTGGTCATCTACCAGTCAGCTTCATGTGGCCAATATTCATCGCAGGTCTGGAAGGCTCGCAGGACCAACGTCAGTGGATTGTCCAAGAGATGCAGCGAATGGCAGCCGCACGCGAGAATGAACCAGCCACGTCGATTTCACGACATCCCTCGGCCGATAAGATTCTCTTGTTACTGGAAGAGATGACCCGTAGGCAAGATGTCTCACGATCCTGGGCGGATTCGCGGTGCGTGCGACGAGAACTATTCTCGAATCCGTTTGTCATCATTTGAATTCTGCTCTGCTCAACTTAATGTCCATATTATACCCTCTAGAAGAAAGCATATATCATGCAATGCCCAATATATTAGATCTGTTTCAATGTGAAAGTGTTGAAGTTACTAGCTTTTGGTCCTCGGACTAGTCGATCACGTAGCGTTGCTAAAACCGAAGAGAATCTTTGGCAGTCATTCTATTATCCATTTATGTACCATCTGACTCAATTTGCCGTGGTACTAGCTTCACCGACACCGCGTAGCATGCATCAGTATGCGTTTCTGCTTAAATGCTGAGGTAGATCATCCTTCAGGGGATAATCACATCGTCTGTAGTATTGCCCTTGATTCAATACAACTTCGGTACTGTTCAAATTGAGATTACTCTAAACCAACAATAGATAATTGCAAATAGCTTTAACGAAAGTATTCATTTGAATGCTAAAACAAGTATCTTGATAACGAAAAGACCAATATAATACCATATTGAGACAAATTTGGTTGAAGGTGCAAAACAACTTGTACCAACCCGGACAATTTCGTTCATTCCACAGTTTACAAAGAAGAGCCAGAATATGCTGGAAATTCAATATCTTGCAACCTAGTGGTTGAAAAGGGAGGCCATCGAAGAATAGACCTTGACATTCAGACCAGCAGACAAGACAGACTTCTGGCCATCGTTGACAGTGTACGAAATGGTCTTAGCAATCTTGTCCTTGGCCCGCTTCTCGAACCACAGGACGTGCTTCCAATCGATGAACACTTCGTAACCATCGCCTTGATCGTGGACAAGGATAGATGGCTTATCAGTTCGGAATCGTCCTTCAAGACTAACACGGACTTCCTTGCCCCAGTTATTGTCGATCCTGGAGTTGAAAACGATGGCATTCTCAGCACGACGGATAGAAAGCAGGAACAGAATATTGCCGTCGTCGTTATTACCATCAGTGAAGTAGAACTGGGTATTATCAATACCCTTGGTCTTGGCCGGGGTCAGATTCAAGCTGTTCGAGTCAATCAGGACGACAGCATCGGCCTTGAGAGACTCCTTGAATTTCCTGTTGGTGTTGATCTTGAGAGCCGCCTTGGGGATCTTAGGCACGGCGGGAGGGGGGATAGTGACGGGTTGCTTCAGGTGTGGGCTAAGCGCACCGTCCTTTCCACCAGAGATCGTGGGCTCTTTCACGAAGTTTGACAAGATAGGAGGCTTGCTCGCATCTTGGAAAACAGTCGTGTCATTGGTGGCTCCGATGATCTCGAGATCAAGAGGGTCAAGTTCGTACAGAGGTACTTCCCTTGCCTCCCCTGGTCACTCTCCAGTAAACTCTGTCCTGGAGGAACTTGAGAACCTCGTCTTTGTTAAGGCTGGTCAGGTCCTTGCCAAGCTTGAGAAGGTTCAGAAGTACCGGCGTAATGGAGATATTGGCGTTCACCTTAAGGCCATTCTTCTCATTACCCTTGCAGTTGGCACATGCAAGCTTTCCTGCCTCGTCTTGCGGCTTCTGGCTGAAGTTGTAAACTTCAGTTAGTTTGTCCGAAGAAGGATTCTGCTTAACTCCATCCTGGGACAGGTAAATCCGAACCCAGAAAGGATCACCCCCAAAGGCGTACTTGCGGAAGCGGACACTGAAAGAGAAGTCAAGAGCTTTGAAGCTGTCCTCGGAGACCTCGACACCCTTCAACTTAGAGCCGGCATCGAGCAAGGTCTTTCTTGAAGTTCCATATAGATCATTGATGGCAGTCTGGAGATCTGCTTGGAAATCCTTGTTTTGGTAGCCTGGCTGCTTGTACTTCCACGTCTGCAGCTCCGGATATGTGTGACCAATCTTATGAGGATAGCGAACGTCGGCAGAAACCATTAGAGTTCCCTCCACATCTTTGTGAAACGGTCGCAGACCAGTCTCGGGGGTAATTACAGAGCCCGGTGGTAGACCGATAGCATCTTGTAGGAATGCATTGACCTTGGACTCGGTGAACCACTTGTCCGGATTTTTGGCTTGCCACAAGGCAAAGAGGCGGTCAGCGTTACTATGCATTTGGTTAGCTAGAGCTACAAACATTGCTCTCGCTAGAGGATTGTTTGTCAACTAACCAATGTAGGAGCCAGAACGAGGGATCGAAAGCCGCCATGGGGATCTGAGACATATGACCCATATGATCACCTCCAACCCAACCGTGAATGTTGTTGTGAACTATTGAAACTTGTCAGTTCTGGAACTCATATATCAAAAGAAAGAAAACACATACTGTACTCCAGATTCAGATCCTTTTCGACGGGTTGGTCATCACCCTGCAGACCAGTTGTGGCAAAGGTGAGATAGTCCATGTCAACATTGAGCAGACGGTGCACCATCTCAGAGGCCTGGCCATATTCTCCTCCTTCATCCCACTTAGGGGCCGTCAAAGCGTCCCGGACCTTGGAGTTGTTGACCACACCATATTTCCACGTCGATGTACCCGAGGCATTATCGCCCTCTTCAGGCCAGCGGCTGGTTGCAATACATTCGCTAAACTATTTTCAGTTAGCTAAGTTTTGGAGTATTCAGTGTCGGAAACATACAAAGAGCTCCTGCTTGGCATCCCCGTCCCACTCAGTCACGAAGTCCTTTATACCAGCGGTGCCCATAGGCTTGTGGGTTGGCATGCGGAACTGGTAGAGCGGGTTGGGGATATTGTACAAATCCTTGCCATCGAAGGTTGGAACAGCAATTGTGGGATACTTGCAGAGCTCAGGGACTGAGACCTGAGCGCCGAAGTCCCAGAAAGGGAGACGCCATGAGTGGGCAAGTTCGGTCCACTCTTCGCGATCCTCCTCGGGGAAATTGGGGATAATTTCAAGCATGCACTCGTAAATACGTTGCTGAATAAAAGTCAGTCAAGGTCAATCTGGCTGCAGATGGGAAGTATTACCTCATAGAGAGCCAAGTAGGCACGATGCCAGATTGGAAACAGAATGTTGTTGTGAGTACAATATCCCTTACCCGCTGCCTCGTCCGCGTCAATGGGCTCATCCCATGGTACATTAGGTTGTCCATGAATTCCTGCGGCCTGAAAGTATGAGTCCCGATCCAAGGGGTCGATCTTCTGGTAGCGGTCTAAGCCCAACACAAACAATTGGACTTGCTTCTCATTTTCGGGGTCTTTGCTCCATGTGTCGATGTTCTGACGGATGGGAACCGGGGTGTCGAAGCCGATGTTTGGAAGGTCGAGATCTCCGACCGGGACACCGGTGATGGGATAGTACTTGTGGTCGGACTTAGACATCTTACTGAGTCGTGACGATGAAGCAGAATTCCTCAACGACCTTCGTGATCTTCTCGGGTCTTGATTGGGATGAATGAAGGGTTTGAGAAGAAACATCTGGGAATTAACGTGTCCAGGTGGCGTATTATTTATATTCAGAATTCCAAGACCGAGCAAGAATTAAGTATCATATTCCACCTCGATTGACATCAGCTAGGTCAGAGCTGCAGCTGTGGGGATGCAGGGGCTAGCTGGGAAAAAGCATACCCCTCTCAGTTGTGTAGTATACACCCACAGCCTGCAGAAAAGCAAAACAATATATGCAGGAGCACTTGTATCACAGCATATCCCAGCTATGTAATCATAGTGGGGAAGGAAAGAGAACTAAAATATAAATATAAGCCACAAGATATATTGAGAGACAAATAGCCGAAGCTCTGTAGCAGAATAATTCGAGCACACGTGTCTGTCAGCTTTTAGTGAAGACAATTACCAGCTTGAACGGGAATAGAGCAATAAAACTGTGATTATCTGCATGGATTTGATGGTTTCGACAGTTTGCCTTCCGTGGCAGCTGCCGATCAATGTCTGGGAGCTCAGCTCGCCACTATTATTATGGCTGAGAGGCGTGTTACACGAGGAGCTGTGCATAGCAAGTAGGGTGCGCTCATCCTGCATCCTGCATGATTCGCAATGCATGAACCCGCATACGTACACCCAATCAACAATGGGGTATCTGTGTTACCATGGTTAATTAGTGTGTTTGTTTTACCCTCGTAAAAAAAGCAAAAAGAGGTTTCAGCGGGATACTCCGTATAGCTCGATAATCCAGCTTCTGTTCGAACCCCTCAGCCAATGTGAGCCCTTGCACTCATGCACAGAGCTGCGCCATACAGTATTTTGTGAAAAACTTGCCGCGCAAGACTCGAAATGTAGCTAGGCTGGCGCTGCTGATGCTGGTAGCTCAGGTATCCCTTACCTGTTAAGTTAGGCCGGAGCATGGCCTTTTACTCTGCGCAACCCCAGCTCTACTCCTAAAATCCGTACTCCGTACTTGGATTTATTTTATGCAGAGCACCATATGCTTCCTTTTGATTACGTATCGTAGCCTAGTAATTCAATCTTCCAACGTCATCCGGCGGTTAGCAGTCAAGGGGCCTTCACAGGGACGCGTGATCGGGTTTAAAAGTGGCCATGTCTTGCATTCGCATCATAATACATAGTCAACCCAAGTAAACGGCAGATAATAGTTACCATGTCGTCATGGGCGATTTCAAAGAGATGCATTAGATAGTGCTCGAAAGTTACGACTAGCAGTATCAGCTCAGTTCCACCAAAGGCTAGAAATCGTGTTGTCTTTCACAATACGAGGAAGCGGCCAATAGTATACATACAATACTTTTCGAATGGTCTATTCGGGGGGCTCGCCATTTCTTCGAGTTTTTACGCTAAACACAAGCTGAAAATACATAATTATCAACTTGAAGGCTAGATGCCCCATGATATCGCATTGCCTTACAATCCAATGATAATGGCATAAAATACTCCTAGCCAGGCACAGAATGGTTTAGACTATCGTATAAGAAGTTATTGAGGGTTTAAACGAGAGCTCAAATTTTTCGACCATGTGAAGTTTTGAAGAGATGACTATCACCTGAAACATACCATATTGTGAAGAGAAATATTCCGACTACACTGATTAGAGCATTGAACACCCGGCGCAAAGCAACCAACTTAATGACTGCTAACATTTGAATTTACTATCCGTAATCGTTATAAACGTCAAACAATTAAAGCAGAACAAACACTAGCAACGAGTCATCGAAAATAAAAAGTACTCGCAATTTCTGCTTCATCCATGGATGCTATCGCTGAGCATCTTTGGCCGTTTCAGACCTAAGGTAGCCCCCCCTCAGAGCTCTACCCCAGGAGTTACTAATTCCAAACCATCATCTTGGAAAATATAATAGCCTTGGAATTTGAGCGACCCTCCAAGGTGAGATTCCACTTCGGGCCCACAACCTCTGTGACTTGAAGGTCGTCGTTAATTCGAGCTGCCCAGCTGTATAGCAACCAATATTCCAATTTTCGAATACGGGAACAAATCAATTTGTCACTGTGACCGGAGCTAGCGAATTTCAATTTCCAAGAAGCCCTAGTAGGAACTGGTTTGAAGGGAACAGGACATGTAGGTAGGACATCCCAAGTAAGAGACTCAAATGCTTTCTCAGCGAAAAAGGCCTGTAGTTGAAAATGAAATATATGCAAATACTATAGAAAGTGGGCCGCAGTGCAAAGTTCATAAAATATTGTGCAGAGAGCGCCATAGTATTGGTAGACGTACCACATCCCGTAACAAATGTCCAGAGGCTTACTTCAGCTCACTTCAGCTCACTTCAAGTTCGCCCCTGAGCACTGAATGCCCTCATCTAGCCCCGAGTTTTTCTTAATCGTCCGGTCTTGCTGCCGTTCAGTACGGCCAATTTTCATACTCGGTAGTGCCGATCCCGGGACCGGGATGGTTATTTTAAGGCGAGGCTGAACGGATAGATTGAGAACAAATCTACTTCTTCTGATCTAGAAACCTTAATTTTTCACTTCACTCCACATCATGATTACAAAATCAATTCTATTTTCATATATTCATCAAGCGAGGTATCATTACAATCAAATCGCCAATGCAGTCCCTAGAACGGCTTCACCGTTCGCTGAAACCGAGGAGGCTCACGAGTGAACTTCTCAGGTGTGTCGCGCGCACCTTCTTTCCAGTAATCAAACTCCATCCATGCATTCTCAGGCATTTGTGCCTCAGTCGCTTCCAAGAAGTCTCCCAGATCGGGACAGAGAGGAATGATACCGGTCTCCAGAACATACTGATCCCACATTTTGAGGAGAGTCTTCAGCTTCTCAGGTTCTTGATCTGCTAGATCATGTATCTCACCAGGGTCCTTGGCGAGGTTGTATAGTTGCCATTTTTCGGGACCCTTTGGCTTGGGGATGAAGACGATCTTCCAGTCTGCACAGCGCAGTGCGGCCCGACCGCAGGTCTCCCAGCCTTGGATGAAGTCCTTCGGGTGAATACGCTCGGATTCGCCGATAGCCCAAGGGTGGAAGCTACGGCCACGCATGGAGACGACTTCACGACCCTGGTAGCTCGGGGCCGGGTGTTTGAGACCGGCCATGTCCAGAATGGAGGGTGCGAGATCCATAACGGTAGAGAACTGGTCGGTGATACCACCAGCCGTTACACCTTGCGGATTGAGATTGATATTCTTGGGGAAGCGGCATGTAAAAGGGACGCGAACGCCACCTTCAGTTGTGTAGGCTTTGTAGAGGCGGGAGGGGGCTGTAGCAGCCTGGGCCCAACGCGGACCATACCAGATGAAAGAGTTGCCGTTGCCCAAGTTCTCGAGGCTGTTATCGTAGTATTTTTGTAGGTGAGGCATCACACCGTTCTGCACCATCGGATAAGCTTCGTACGCGGCTCCCTCGGCACCATTGTCGGACATAAAGCAGACAAAGGTATTGTCTAACTCGTCGATCGAGCGCAGATACTCGACTACCTTACCCACGTTACTATCAATGCACTCTACCATTCCAGCAAAAACTTCCATAGCAGTCGCGGACTTCTTCTTCTCATCAGGTGTGAAGTCATCCCAAGGCTTAACTTCCTCGGCGTTGACAGGGTGTGCTTCAACATTGTCCCGGATCATACCCAGTTCCTTCAGGCGCTGCAGACGCTTCTGGCGCAGCACATCAGGGCCTTCGTCATACACACCACGGTAGTGGTCAATGTACTCCCGGGGAGCCTGCAGAGGCCAATGAGGGGCCGTGAAAGGCAGATATCCAAAGAAAGGACGATCACCATTGCCATCTGGACCTGCACTGCCACCACTCTCCTTCCACTCGCGTATATAGTCGACCATCTTGTCACCGTAACCATCAGACGAATACCAGTCCTCTGGCAGTTTTCGCACGTACTCGCCATCTTCCATATGCAGAGCAATATAAGAGGCTTCGATAAAGGTCGGGATCTGGTCCTTGTCTCGCAACTCGGGTTCGTAGGCGTAGTGGTTGGAGCAGGCGGGTAAATGGGCGAATGATCGAACGAAACCACGTTTGTGAGGGGATCGCTCCGGGGTTAGACCTGGATGCCATTTTCCAGACATAATTGTATGATACCCGCCATCACGGAGCAACTCCGGCAGTGCAACGACTCGCTCGTTTAGGTACCCCTCGTATCCGGGCATGCCACGCTGCGGGGCTGTACTCATAGCAGACCCCTTGGGACCATTTTGACCAGAGATGTTGGTCCATTCAATAAGATTACCGAGGCCGGCGATGTGATGGTCGGTACCAGTCATGATCATTGCTCGCGTGGGACTAGAAGTTGGCCATGGTAAGCTTCGGAGGGTAATTTTAGAACAGGCTTGAGCTGCTGTGTGTACTTACGAGCATGCTGCAGCGGCGTGGAAATCGGTGAATCGCAGACCTTCCTTTGCGATCTGATCGATATTTGGGGTGCGAATCTCGCCTCCAAAACAGCCCACATCGGAGAAGCCGAGATCGTCGGCGACGACAACGAGGAAGTTGGGGCGTTTGGCCATGACGAGGGGTCGAAGAAGCAAGCAGTGGAGTCCAAAGAGGCGGTGTTGACTTTATTCTTCGGTCAGTGGCACAGAATGGGATTCAACAGAGAACGGAAGCAATGGAGAGGGAAAAAGTGAGGAGGGGTACGCCTGCATATGCAGTCTTATAGCGTCGGAACAAGCACCTCCCAGCAGCACTCGGCCTCCAGGCCGATCCTCTGTTCCAGGGGTATACGTGTAGCCATGCCCCATACTATTGCCCCTCGTCCCTCGCCATCGTGGATCCACATTTCGTGCTCGGCTGCGATCAATCGCTAATCGGCCATCGGCTCCAGTGGATTCTCTCCAGAGTGGAGCGAGTCCATCTTTTCACGGAAGTGTGGTAATCGGCTGTTTTGTTACATGCGGGGGAAGCTTATCCCCCGCAATTTG